CCATCGAGACACGATCTTCGAGTTTGTGTGTACTGTTTGTATATATGTGTGGTGTGTCATATCAATCGGTGTATTTTGGATTAATTGTGTTAACTCGTTGTTTTCGTACCTTGTTGTTATTGCGTAATTTTGTTAAAATTTTCGTCGTGATTACTTCTGAAGTTGTTTCGAGTCTTCTACATCCGTGAATGAATTGATTGATGTTAGAGACAGCAGATGGGTCGTATACACCGGGAGGCTATTGCTGAGAATGAAATGCATACGGAGATAATTGTTAGCTGCGGTCCGACACGCCGGGGAGAAAGAGTGTAAAAGACTGAGGCTTGCATACGTCACCGTTACTAGAGCTGAGGCAGAATGAGTGACAAGCGATTGCAGTGGTAATTGGTAGTGAGTAGATAAGAGGATGTGCGTGGAGTATCATGAGGTGCTGCTATGGTCACGTTGCATTCTGCAAGAGTCATTCTAGCAAGTGGCGATTGTGTTGCAAGTGGATGTGTCAAGTGGACACCTTTAACTGGAAGGCGCAGGTAGTCATTGATGTATGAGATTGTGCTGTGGGTATGCTTGTGATGTGTTGGCTTTTCTGTTTGTTTTCCATTTCAGCTCTGTCCGTGTGACCCAGGTTCTCGCAATGGCATCCAAGTCAACGTGCATTGGTCGTGATGGAGAAAAGGAATGGATCCATTTTTTGCCGGGGAGTGTCAATGTAGTTGAAGATTGAACGATCAATTCATGGTTGTTTGCTCAAAACCAACTTCCCCAATTTTCGCGGAGGCATCAATACGACAGTCATCGTCTCATCGGTCGCTGTTCAGAATGAAGTCAGGAGAGAACAGTCAGAAACTTTAGTTATAAAGCTTAGTTTTATATCGGCTATATGTTGGTGTTAGACTAAAGAATTCTCGAGGGGCTAATCCGTGTTCTGGTTTTTGCGTCCGTTCGTACTAAGCGTATCTGAGAAGCTTCGAGGAAAAGCGTGAGTCCCAGCGTAGCAAGAGCTGGGCATTGACGGTTTACGAGACCTGACTTACAACTGTCTTTGCTTGATCCTCATTATATTCCAGTAACCCTTACATTATATAGCTTTTATGAATTTGATTCGACTTATTCTATTCCTATTCTCTGTAGAGTAAGTTTTTTCACCAAATAGACAAAAGGCATGAAATAAAAACAACTGCCTTGAAAATAATTTTATTAAAGCCAAATTTGGACATCATGATAATAAGACATATATGGGTAGCTTTATACATTGCAAATGAACGTTGTCGGCCTAGGGATTAATTAAGTTCCCACTCTATTTCCCATATAAATGTATTTATTAATGATATATTTCACTTACTTATTTTATTACACTTTAATGATTCACCTTATCACTTTATCTTTTCTAAAACACTTTTCAATCCCTTGTAAACGTTGTGCCTACCTCAATATTGGCTGGTTATCGTATGCTTACAACCACTGGTTGAAAACGAAACAAAGTCGATTTTCCCGCTCAACCAGGAGGACAACTGTACAATTCAGTAACTATATGGCCTGGTTCAGACAATGAGTGTACTTATATATATATATATATATATATATATATATATATATATATATATATATATCAGATACTTAACTGTTGAAACATTATTAACTTGTAGACAATCTACGATTTGACATTATATCATACTTGATCGTGCCTGTAAAAATGGCATGCATTTTCATGTAAATTTATATGTTTATATGAAAATATAAATTATTATTATTATACACAGTGTATATAGAATAGACCAAAAGCCTGACCCTTCAGTAAGTCAGCTTGTACTTCTCAAAGTCGTACAAAAGTCGAAAGAGGAGAGGGATGCTATTCTAAGCAACTCATATTCCTAAAGGATCAGGGATATGTGTCCGCGCCGACTTAAGCCTAGCAGACTGTATCAAAAGACAGTCTGCAGCCGTAGAATAAAGTAAGCGACGCCGAAACTACTTAAAGGACCTCAAGATTAAGGGTTTTCAGGTTGTCCGAGTTCGCAGTTTAATGATCCTGAAACCTCTGTGGGTAGGCCGGGGAAGCACTAATCTGAATTATTAGTCTGCTACACAACCGCCTGCAGCCTGTTAAATAAACGCACTGAGCTGGCTAACGTGATAGACTCCGGAAAATTGGATGTAATTATTATCACAGAGACATAGCTCACACCCGATGTCACTGACAACGAAGTTAATCTGCCAAACTTCGAAGTGCATACGGTGGACCGACTCAACCGCAAAGGAGGTAGCGTAGTCATCCACCTCAAGAAATGCTTAACCGTGTGTAGTACTGAAGCACTCGCTCACGAAAGTGAGTCATGCGAAATTCTACGCTGCAGACTTAAATGCATAGGCCAAGACATTGACTTCGTTGCCGTGTACCACATTCCTGACTGCAGTGCAGATGACTTCCTGAAAGAGAAGCTAGGCTCCCGGACTTCGAAATGTCGAAGTCTCGTAGTCGGCGACTTCAACGTCCCAACAGTTGACTGACTGAGCCTAACAACTCCATCTTCAGTCAACTCCCTTGATCATAAACTGCTGGAATCTAGTATATCGCTAGCCCAACATATCATTAATCCCACGCACTACGACTCACAGCACTCCTCGTCAACTCTGGACCTAGTGTTCTCCCACGGTGAGGATGTGGATCTCATACATCTTCCTCCGTTAGGAAGAAGCGACCATGCTGTGCTCACTTTCAAGTTGACAGCAACGGCAGCAAGGGCCAAAACCCCAGCTCGACCAAACGTTTGGAAAGCTGGTATAAATGCAATCGTCTCAGCAGCCAACTCAGTAAACTGGTTCATCAACCCAGAGTCCAAAGTAGAAGCTGCATGGAACCAATTTAAACAACTTTACGCCCAAGTAACTGAACCTTTCATCCCTTGGTCCATCCCAAAGGGTCGGAAATATTGCCCCCTTGGATAAACCGGGAGATTCTTAAGTTACTCAGACGTAAACACAAATGTTGGAACCTGTTTGCCACACTTGAGACTTCTGAGACCAGGGAATCATATAACACTGCTAGAAATAAAGCTATTGCAGAAATCCGCCAATCAAGGATGAAGTTCGAGGCACACCTGGCTCAAAATGCAAGGGCACAACCTACGAAAATTTTCTCGTACATGAATTTCAGGAATAAAACATCCAATGGTGTCCAAAACCTGATTATTGACAATGATACAATCGAAGAAGATCAAGGAAAAGCAGAAGCAATGGCAAACTACTTCTCCCAAGTCTTCACTCAGGAGTCATCACTGCCTATAGCATCAGCTCTGGTTGCATCAGAAGAACATGGGCTAGATTCCATCGACATCGACCAAGACATCGTGATCAACTGCTTAATGAAACTAGGTGCAGGGAAATCAATGGGTCCTGATAATCTTCATCCAAGGCTTCCCAAGGAGCTATCAGACCACATAGCCGGCCCCTTGACCACGATCTGTGCGTCAGTGGCACAGTGGTTAGGACTCTCGCCGACAATGCTCATCGTCCGGGGTTCAAGCCCACGCCGACGCACACCTGATATCTATGGTCGGCCTGCAAATTTTGGGCTACCGATATCCACGCTGAAAATTCCACACTTGTACCAAAAGTATGGTGTGGAATCAAGCTGTAATCAATAATAATAATAAGCTATCTCTGCTAAATGGAGTGTTACCGCGTGACTGGAAAGACGCCATAGTAGCTTCCCCCATCAAGACAAAGCCTTTCAAATTACAGGCCTATCAGTCTCACCAGCACTTTAATCAAGACACTGGAAAGAATCATCAGGAAGAGCATAATGGCATATCTGGAAAATAGCAACTTGTTATCTAGAGGACAGCATGGCTTCCGAAAGAACCTCTCATGCCTGTCAAATCTCCTCACTGCAAGAGAAAGTTGGGTCAGATCAAAGGACAATAGAAGACCCGTTGACGTCGTCTTCATAGACTTCAGTAAAGCCTTTGATAAAGTACCTCACAAAAGACTACTCAGGAAGTTGAAAAGTCTTGGTATCAAAGGCAGGTTCCTGGCTGGTTCAGGGAATTCCTCATAGATAGGAGGAAGAGGGTTAGGATCAACTCGAAACTCTCCTCCTGGACAGCAGTACGTAGCGGAGTGCCACAAGGCACGGTACTCGGACCTCTCCTATTTAATTTGTATATCAACGAGTTATCTCTGCTCACCGACTCCCCTATGGTCCTATACGCAGATGACTTAAAGATTTGGAGAAAGCTGAAGGGCAATAGTGATACGTCCACGTTGCAAGAGGACCTCAACAAATAGAATGGATGCTCTCGATCAATGTGGCAAAATGTGCAACCATGCGCATTGGACAAGCGAGCACGAGCTCCTACGAACTAGAGGGAATAACACTTCCATCAGTTCAGACTCACTTGGACTTAGGTGTCATAGTTAGCCACGGCTGAAAAACTACAGCACTCTGTCGCGCGGTGGCTGCACGTATTTTCAGGTCCTTGTGGGAAATTCGCAGAGCCTTCACTAGAAAAACCAGAGATATGTTCACCTCCTTATACACATCTCTGGTGAGATTAGGACCGGAAAACTGCATCCAGGCCGCCAGTCCTTGTCTAAAAGGGGACTCACACATTCTAGAAAGGGTTCAAAGGAAGGCAACACGTATGGTTCACGGCATGACTAACTTATCATACGAGGGAAGACTAGACAGTTTAAATCTCTTCTCACTGTCATACCGTAGACAGAGAGGAGATTTAATCACAATGTTTAAAATTCTAAATAATGACTACGGACCTGACCTATTCTCTCTTTTCCTTCCCACCAGGTTGGAACACCTTAGAGGATATAGTAGGGGAGTTCAGAAGCCACGAAGAAATCATATTGCTGTCGAGTACTGCTTCTCATACCAACTCATACACTCTTGAAACCAACTCCCAGAAGAAGTGGAGTCTGCAATCTCAACTGGTTTATTGAAGAAGGGTTTGGACAACCACAGAAATTTACCGGAAAAAGATTAACATGGGCTCCAAGCTTTCGATCCTACACCAGCAAATCTGAATCTGAAATCTGAATTGTACCTACTGTATGTTGAAGAGTTTTTGAAAGGTGTGCTACCGCTTTGGGTGACCCTGTCGAATGAGTGTTCAAAGGACATAATAATGGACATGCAGTTATTACAAATCTGCTGATAATGGAGTCTAAAGTGGCCGAAATTGCGAAAAAATTATCTTTACCCCAGTCAATATTCATTGACCAGTCAACGTGTAAGTATATAAATTACTGTGAGTTCGTAAGGAAAACTGTGTTCATATCACTATTAGTCTTTGATGTTTTGTATGAATGAGTTAAATGGTCACTCATTTATTCATTTGGCAAGTTTAGTGTGAAACACTGAAGTGCTATGAAGGTGGTTAATGTCTCCGAAGTGTTCGAACGTCCGAATTAATTCGGACGATTGCTGATTGTTAATCCTCGAGACCATTTTTCTTGAGAATTCATACAAGGATGATTGGTATATTCTGTCGCTTCATCCGTTTATACTTGTTGGGGCAAACAATTAAAGCCTTGGGATATCTTTAATCAAGAACACAATTTTCAGCGAAGAGACTCTTTTCAACGAATTTATTATCAAGCTGTACAATCGTATATATATGGTTTTATAGAGAAATTATATCCGGTGAGGGAATTAGGTCAAAGGTGTAAATACATGAAATAATAATAGTATGAAATAAATTTAAAATATTTCTGATTATATTCATAGTTTAAGTCAAGTGGAACAGTAATTAATGTCATATATAAGATAATACATCTGGTGTATAGATTTTGGGGAGAGGAATATAATTGTAAGATTAATAGACGAATATAAATTCGTTGAAAAGAGTCTCTTCCCTGAAAATTGTGTTCTTAATGCTACAATGGGAATTATTAAATTATATCTTTAATCCCCTTAAAAATAACAGTTTTTACCATTTTTAATATTCTTGTCACTCAACAGGAATTGCCTCCCTGTAGGTAGCCTTATCAAACATGATTCTAGATTTTTAGGATAACAGCTGTTTCCGTTACTAGTTATTAGTGCGATGAATCAAGAGTTGTATCCTGGGGTTATAGAAATAGTATTATAATTGTTGCATTTTGGATGGGTATTGAGGTATTTACCCTATAGTTGCCTCAACAACAGTATAAGCAGGAGTGGTGGAAATTTTCGGGTTTAATTTTCATCAGGATTTTATGTGTAAATTGTTCGCACAATCAGAAGGTATTCAAAACATTATCTCCTCACAAATCTACAGGGGCTAACTACCTGATATGTAGAAATTTATGATTATTCATTATTGTTTCCTTTAGTTCCTAGAGGAACATAGGGATCCACCTGCACGTCTCCATTGTGTTCGGTTTTCCGCCAACTTTTTCACCTCGCCCCAGGTCTGCCCACATGCTTCCATCTCCTCTTCCCATCACCTCCTCTGTCACCCTCAAACTGACTACCAACTCGCCGATTATCACTCGCCTTCCACTTGAGTTGTGGCCTGCAATGGGGGTGATGTCGCTTGATTGTTGTGGATTACCTGGAATGCAGCATTGTCGTACAACAGTTGGATGAGATGTATACTTGTTGGAGGCACCCCCTAGTAGCGAAATAGTGTCCGAATCACCTCTCGAACGACACCGTCGAAGGCCTTTTCAAAGTCGATGAAGTTGAGATAGAGAGGGGTGACTGCCATTCCAAGCTCTGTTGAATGATGATCCGTAGTGTGGCGATTTATCCATACATGACTTGTTTCTCCTGAATCCAGCTTGTTCCGGTCAAATTTTTCATCCAGGTTGGCTTGTTTGATTCTCTCCAGGATGATGCGGCTTAGTATTTTGCTTGGGATGGACATGCCTGTTCTTGCATTGACTTAAATCTCCTTTCCTTGCAGTTAGAATAAGTAGCCTTTTTTCCAATCTGCAGGTACGTTGCTCTCTTTCCACACCTCTAGTAGTGGTATCATCAAGTCCACTGATGTCTCTAGGTCCATTTTCAGTGTCTCTGCTGGAATACTTACTTTTACTTTACTTCGGCTATCTCCTACGGGAGGATGAGCCGGCTTCATGTACATCTCGAATCATCGCTGCCCAGGCGCGGCGATCTGATGCAAGGTTTTGTGACAGGGTTATCCAATTCTTGTTCCACAGACGGGGTTCGTAGCCGGTTTGTAATCCCAGGCACTCCATATCATCCTTGACTGTACCAAGCCATGTTTTCAGCTGTCCACCCCTGCGACATCGCCAAAATGGAAATGGTGAGGGATTTAGAACTGATTTGACCAGATCGTCATCTGGTCGGCGCAGAACATGGCCAAACCACCGAAGGCGACGTTGTTGGACCAGTACTGGAATTTGGTTGATGTTGTAGAGAGTTCATGAAGTTTCATGGGAATTAGGTACGAGTGATGTCCCCAGCATCGCTCGGCCTTTTGCTTGAGAGTGCAGCTCTAGCCTTTGCACAAGCAAGTGTGACCTACAAGGCAGTAGGAGTGGAGTAGGGAGTCCACTATCCATTGGCAGCCGGTGACCGGAGTCCGGTTCATACGCCTTTTTGAATGGGGCCAGACATCCAGGGCATCCAATAAGCCCTTTGTCCATACGTCTGCCGGTGAGCTTCATACGCCAGTCGTTGAAGGTTTGGAATCAGGGTTTAGCCATCTCCCTTAGACTGTCTTCCAACGGACAGTCAACCCGGTGAGGAGCGCCGGGCATCCACTTTTGTCCTCTCACTTTGGTGAGAAACACCTCCGCCACGTGAAGGCAGTGAGTAGGACTTCCTCAGGAGAGGCTATGTAAGACGCCCGGTCATATGGGAGCATTTCAAGAGGTGTACGGAGGGGTGGCCAACCCGCAGCGCAAGGCACCCACTCCCGACCATCCTGAGGCTTTGGAGGCTGCTGGAATGCCGTCTGGCCCTGCTACTTTTCCTGTTCTTAGCATCTTGACTGCCTTCTGGATTTCTGTTCTCGTCGGAGGGTGGTAGTTCTGCTTCCGCTGTTGGTATTATTAAGCTCGTTGTAGGCGGCGGTCGATTTAGAAGTCTTTTGAAGTGTTCAGCCCAGTGTTTCTTTTGCTTCACCTCTTTGGTGATTGACTTTCCATTGTCCTCCTTGACTGGCTTAATCTGTGTCGAACTTTTGCCCGATAGGTTCCTAGTTGTTTGGTAGAGTGTGGTGAGGTCTCCTTTGCCTATAGTGCAGCTTGTTCTGCTTCACTTGACATGGCTTCATAATATTTTCTTTTGTCTTCCCTGGCACTTTTCTTTATTCTTTTGTTCAGCGTATTGTAGCTTGAATTCAACTCCTGTTTTTGTTGCTCGTCGTGGCACTGGATAATCTTTTGTTTCACTATCCTTCTCTCTTCTATTAGTTTCCAAGTGTCCGTAGTGAGCCACTGTTTGTCCTGTCTCTTATTTCTGCCTAGAACTTCCATTCAGGTTTGACTCGACACCGTTTACAAGTTGTTCCAGTGCTTTTCGACGCCGACCTCTTCGCTAGTGTTGATTTGTGTCTCGCCTTTGTCCCTTATGTTTGCAATGAAGATGTCTCTTGTATCTTGTTCTTTCACCTTTTGAGTGTTGAACTCGGCTTGTGGTCTATCTGGAACTCCTATTTCCCTGAAAGCTTTTAATTTGATTTGGATTGTCCCTTGTACGAGATAGTGGTCTGAGCCAACGTCTGCTCCTCTTCTTACTTTTGTGTCCAGTAGGCTGCGCTTCCACTTCCTTGAGCATTATTGAGATGAAGTCAATTTGGTTTTTGATTTGCCCGTCTGGTGACACCCATGTAGCCTTGTGGATATCTTTGTGCTTGTATACACTGCTACCAATCACTAGTTCGTTGAAGGCGCAGAAGTCGGCGAAGAGTTCTCCATTTTCATTCATTTCTCCGAGAGCTTCTCTACCCATGATGAGTTCCCTTCCTGTGTTGTCTGGTCCCAGTTTGGCGTTCATGTCTCCCATTAGTAGTTTAATGTCACCAGCTGGAGTATTGTCCATTGTTGCCTGTAGTTGTCTGTAGAGTTCTTCCTTTTCGAGGTCTGCGTTGTTTGTGGGCGCATAGCATTGCATAACTGACACTTTCCTTCCTTTGAAGTTGAATCTGGCGGCCATTATCGTGGGTGAGATCGCCTTTGTTTCCGTTGGTGACATCATGATAGCCACGCCTTCGGTGTGCGTGTGGTTATCTTCTGGGTGACCGGAGTAGATCACTGCCTCACCCGTTGGCGATTTGGTGAGTCCGTTACCGTTTCATCTGCTTTCACATATTCCCAGTGCTTGGATTCCGTATCTTTTTATCTAGTTTGCGATCTGGGCAGCTTTTCCAATCTCGTATATGGTGCAGACGTTCCATGTCCCCACACAGACTTTTCCTTTTGGTGCAAAGAGATTCATCGTGCTGAAGTTTCTGTAGCAGCTTTGTTTACAGGGTGGGGTTGCTAGCCTCACGCCTGAGAAAGGGGTTGTTACATGGACATGTAGTTAACAGAAGAGTGACTTTATTGGGTTGCTGCCCTTAGAATCAGGAAAACAAGGAATAAAGCAATCAGATGATTTTATTTGTATCGTAATCTTTAACGTTATCTAGGAATTTAAATACATGAATTTGTTAGTCGTAAAAGTGTCAAATGTGAAGTTACCATTTTATACGTTTACTTGAAATCCAACGACTCGTCGGGAGGTATTTTATATTCTACGCTATGATCAACTATGTGTATGTTAGTTCTCAATATATTGTACTCACCCAGGTTATAACGAGTAGAGGAGGTCGTATAAGTTGGAGTCTAAGTGCTTGAATCGGCCGGTTAGACTGCATAATTCATGCTTTTTTCCTTCATTATATGTAGGTTGAAGAGTCCTTATTGTCTTAAAACTATCTTGTACAGAGGACTAAGTGTAAAACAGCCACCACATACTGACTCACTGGTTAAGGGGCAGGGAAATAGACATATCTTAATGTCTGTATTCAGAAAGAAAACCCCATCCCCCAACAAATATCAAGATTTCGAATCACCACACTCCATCAGCTCAAAGGTATAACTTGTTTCAAGTCTTCTTAGACTAGCTCACTATACTAATAAATCAAAAAATCAAATATCTCCGAGATTCTCGTGAAAAACTATTCAAAGAATTTCATTGATAAAATCAACAACAGCACCAAACATGACCGAAAACCTATCCCAACATGATTTAGAATCAGACCACGAAATTGATTGTGTGACGTTGACAAAGTATTCTGTGTGCACCTTGATGGAGAGCCACCTAGCTGGGTGGCCACATTGCAAACTTGACTGACAGAATTAAGTTTGAGGAAGCGAAAGTCTAGATGCATGTCATTAGTTAGTGTCTTATCAAAGTAAATTTGAAGTTATCCAGAAAAATTTCCAAAATCACAAAGAACGTCTCATATCAGAAGCACTTCGTGTTAAAAAGAATCCAAATAGTCTGAATAGAAATAACAGATTAAGATAAAATTTCATCCGGTTCCAACACTCCCGATAAGGTGACAAAATCAACATAAATAGGGTAAGCAATTTCACTGTGTAGATACTTTTTTTATAATGCCATGCACTTATCCAACACAGTAATTTGCCCATGGTTTGTTATCTTTAGCAACTCACCCACTTAACAACATGGTAACTACCTCATAGTGGAAAACTACGATCAAGTTGTTGTATGTAGGCCGATAATTTGTAATTTCTAGTTTAAGATTAATTTGACAGAGCTGTTAGCAGCATTAAATAGTGGAACGTCAGTGAAAATAGTATCGTTTTGCTTTTTCATCCATTGGGAAACAGAAGAACTTTTATGATAATTAATGTCATACACCCACTGCTCAAATTTTTTCAAACTATTAAATGTGAACGTGGTTCGGACATAAATACCTGAATCACCCCTTATTCTACTGAAATGCGTTAGGATATTCAAAACTTCCTAAGTTTAGTTTAACGGACAAGAAGACTCTAAAATTGTAGAGCCCAAGGAGAATATGTGTCTACCACCTATATCAGAACCATAAAAGGAAATCAATTGTTATTGATCACTTATCTTGTTGACCTGTTAATGTGTGTGTGTGTGCCAAGGAATTAGTTGTAATAAGTGTATTTCTACCCAAATACGTATAAGGTCCTTTTAATTCTAAACACATCTGTCTTCCAAATAACTTTTCAGCATGCAGCAAGTGTTTCTTTAGTGGAAAATCATATGAGATGCTCTGACAATTATCAAAGCTTTTTGCATAAAAGTTGTTAAAACGATTGGTATTACGGTAAGATTTCTTCTTCACCGCATTTCTAAAATGAATTGATCATGGCATGATCCTGACATAACTTGAAATCCAAAGTTTAACATGTTTGTTTCTTATTTTAGGTCAGCAATTAGCAAAGGAGTATTGGATTGAGAAATGTTCTTCGCATCCTGAATACGAAGTAAGTAGATGTATTAATAGATGTTGATGTAAAGTTAACGATTACAATAAACAAATAGTTGTATTGAGTGCCATTTCACTTCTCGGCGAAGAAGTTGACGAAATGCAGAGTCTTCTAAACACCTTGAGCCGCAATCTACGAATGTTTGGCATGCGATTCGCTCCCGCCAAATGCAAGATGATGTAACAGGACTGGACTACATCGACGCCTTGTTTAAAAATAGGAAGTGAAGTGGTAGAGCACGTTAACCGCTTCACTTATTTGGGAAGTACCATCAGCCCCAACGGGCTGATCTCTGACGAAATCTCAGCACGAATACAAGGGGCTCGTTTCGCATTTGTTAGTTTACGCCGACTCTGGCGTAGACGAGATGTTCGACTATCGACCAAAGGGCGGGTGTACTGCTCATCAGTCCGCTCCGTCCTCCTTTATGGTTGTGAGACCTGGCCACTGAGAGTGGAAGACATGAAAAGACTAGCTGTCTTTGATCATAGGTGCCTGCGCTCTATTTCCCGTGTAAAGTGGTATAATAAGGTGAGCAACATTGAGGTTAGGCGTAGAGTTCTAGGTAAACAGGGGAAATCAATCGACGAAGTCGTGAAGCTACAAAGACTGAGATGGTTAGGACATGTGTTACGTATGCCAAGCCATCGCCTCCCCCGACGAGCTATGTTAGCGGATATAGGGTCAGGCTGGAAAAAAGCTAGCGGCGGTCAAACAAAAACTTGGCACCAGTTAATGAAATCCACAACAGTTGGTCTAAGCCACGTAGGAAGGTGTAGACTTCCAGGCTGGGGTTCTCGGGACGGTAAAAATCTATGGTTGGAAACAATTGGTGACATGGCTGAAAATCGTTCTCAGTGGCGCAGATGCATCCACTCCTTGCGACTTATGATTTCCAATGAAACTGTTTTGTTTTTCTTCATTACTCCTTTGTCTCACACCTCTGCTCACTGTTTCTATTATGCTTTTCTTGTACTTTCTTCTCTTGCTTCGCGTGCTACACGGAGTGTGGCGACTTGAACTTCCGCACATTTGTGCAAAGTTCTATGTCGAAAACAGACAGAGGCCATTTCACTTTTGTCTTACGCAGACAAGGTATGCAATAAACTCCTCATTTAATTCACAACTTAGGTTTATACGCTTCTGTTATAAAGGTGGTCACATTTCTGGTGCTTTTCCGGTTGGCTTTAAGAACTTGATAGTTTAGACATATTCTATATTATTTACTGTTTGTTACTGATGGATTTCTATTTCGTTTTATCGTTACCTACCCCCCATTGCCTAATCATAGTTTGCTTATGTTGTCAGCACCTTAAAGGTATAGCTCGTTCAGAAATGTCATATGAAATTCGTTTGTATTTCCTACGCAATACGAACACATTATAAACAAGCAACAAATACTTTATTCAGCGAATGTTAAATCGAGTTGTAGGTTATCTAAACTTATGACCATTTTTAACTTGTTTGGTAGGTTATGCTGACTCAATTTTGTTGGGTATATATATACATATATAGTGTACAAATACTGTGTTATTATCACAAGAAAAGATTACGTGGCGTATGTGAATCGTACTAAGCAGTATAGCATACCTTGATTGTAAGTGAATTTGTTAAACTGCAATCCGATTCTCAAGTGTTTTCACTAAATTGTGACTTTATGCAGATGAGTAATTTAGAAGACAAACTCAAAAATGCAATGCAAACTAGCTAGAATTAATATGATCTTATGACGAAATGTAAAAATGCGAAGGGATGAATGCATATTCAGTTACTCTTTTCTTGGAAGCTGGATTCACAAGTTTTCTAAATTCTTTTATTTTCGTCGTCTCGTTATAATTTGAATTCTACTCCGCTCGCTTTGGTTTTAATTAGTAGGTAGTAAAGTCACTTCGCATCTGGAAATACAACCTATTATATGTGATACTGTCTGTCTGTCTGTCTGTTTTCGACATAGAACTTTGCACAAATGTGCGGAAGTTCAAGTCGCCACATTCCGTGTAGCACGCGAAGCAAGAGAAGAAAGTACAAGAAAAGCATAATAGAAACAGTGAGCAGAGGTGTGAGACAAAGGAGTAATGAAGAAAAACAAAACAGTTTCATTGGAAATCATAAGTCGCAAGGAGTGGATGCATCTGCGCCACTGAGAACGATTTTCAGCCATGTCACCAATTGTTTCCAACCATAGATTTTTACCGTCCCGAGAACCCCAGCCTGGAAGTCTACACCTTCCTACGTGGCTTAGACCAACTGTTGTGGATTTCATTAACTGGTGCCAAGTTTTTGTTTGACCGCCGCTAGCTTTTTTCCAGCCTGACCCTATATCCGCTAACATAGCTCGTCGGGGGAGGCGATGGCTTGGCATACGTAACACATGTCCTAACCATCTCAGTCTTTGTAGCTTCACGACTTCGTCGATTGATTTCCCCTGTTTACCTAGAACTCTACGCCTAACCTCAATGTTGCTCACCTTATTATACCACTTTACACGGGAAATAGAGCGCAGGCACCTATGATCAAAGACAGCTAGTCTTTTCATGTCTTCCACTCTCAGTGGCCAGGTCTCACAACCATAAAGGAGGACGGAGCGGACTGATGAGCAGTACACCCGCCCTTTGGTCGATAGTCGAACATCTCGTCTACGCCAGAGTCGGCGTAAACTAACAAATGCGAAACGAGCCCCTTGTATTCGTGCTGAGATTTCGTCAGAGATCAGCCCGTTGGGGCTGATGGTACTTCCCAAATAAGTGAAGCGGTTAACGTGCTCTACCACTTCACTTCCTATTTTTAAACAAGGCGTCGATGTAGTCCAGTCCTGTTACATCATCTTGCATTTGGCGGGAGCGAATCGCATGCCAAACATTCGTAGATTGCTGCTCAAGGTGTTTAGAAGACTCTGCATTTCGTCAGCGTCTTCGCCTAGAAGGACTATATCGTCTGCATATTCGAAGTCAACGAGATTATTCCCCGGTAGCAAGTCAATCCCTGAGTCTCTGAAGTCACTTAGCGTTAAGTCCATTAACACATCTATGATGAAGTTGAATAGAAAAGGGGATAATGGGCATCCTTGACGGACAGCACTAGTCGTCATCAGTTCAGATGACAGCTCGCCGTAAGCCCTCAGATATGCATTTTGTCGTTGGGAGGAGATCAAGTGACTGGAAGAGTGATTTTTTCAAAAAATCCTCTTAACCTGTCACCTTTTCTCTTTTTGCGTTTGTTCATGTTCTTAGGGTCAGTAGCAATCTGACACTTAAAGCTGTGTTGGTTGTTCCGAATGTGGTAGTGATATATTTACACATTCAACTTCTACACGTTAGACAAAGTGAAATGTACGTATCCTTATGTGTTTTTAGAGGTTATGACTGTCTGAGTTTGCTGAATTATATAGTTCGTCTGTAAAACTGACAAATTCTCCGTCTTCCCCCAACCTACTTGAATGCGAATAGAGTTTCATTCCTAATTGTATCCGTTATTACTGACCACGTAATTTTCTACATTAATTTCTCCTTCTTTTTTACTCATATTTCACAAAATAATGACTAGTTTATTTTTTGCGCGTTTTTTTCATTAGCTTCTTAAACCATCTGAAAATGAACCGTTGCGTTCTATCACTTCATTTTCGTCTGATGTACTACGAGAATGTTATCAATTGATGGCTGAATGGAGATCGGAAGCTCGTAAACGTGTAGCGTGTATGAGTGACGAAGAAAGACAGAATATCCTAGCTTCAGTTGGTATTCAAGCATTTTCAGAGGATAAATTATCTTCGAGGTATGAAAATAATTATACTGGTCATCATGCTGAGAATTCATCGCATAAAACCTCTAATAATTCTGCGTCAGGGAAAATCTCCAACTTTTCTAGTTTACAAAAACGAAAATCAAGCCAGCTAGTTCGAGGTGCTCGTTTGTCAAAGGTTGGTTTATTTGAAGTATTACTCTAATGAGTTATTATAAGCCTAAAGTATGCTAATATTAGAAAACGTTTTTGTCTATTGCTTTACACACACAAAAAACAACTTTATTTCTACCTAAAAATACTGTTTTCTTTACAAAGACATCATTAATATTCATTTAAAATGACACTAATGAAGAGTATAGACCGAAGTAATAAATGAACCAATGATCTTAAACACTTTAATATCTGACGGACAATTAACTCGAAAAGTTTTTGGTAAATATGCGAGAATTTGTTAGGACTTTTGTTTGCTCCTTGGTTCTTGTAATGCACTAGTCTGTGACAAAATTTGTTCAAAAGTGACTTCAATTGCTCCATTTAACTCATCTATATTATTATTTCCTTTAATTCCTAGTTGGAACATAGGGCTTCAGCCCCACGTCTCCATTGCGTTCGGTTTTCTCCCAACGTTTTCACCCCTCTCCAAGTCTACCCACACGCCTTCATCTCCTCTTCACATGACCTCCTCCAAGTCACCCTTGCACTGACAACCAACTCGCCGCTTCCCTTTCGGGTTCCACTCAAGCAGTGGCTTGTCTAGTGATGTCGCTTGCTGGTTTTCTCAGAGTATGGCCAATCCATTTCCATTTCTTCCTGCCTATTTGTTTCACAATCCGTTCCTGGTTGTTTTGCTCCAGAGATCCCTGTTGCTGATCTCTTCTGGCCATCTGATATTGAGCAGTATTGAGCGAAGACAGCTGTTGATGACGACCTGTAGTTTGTTCGAAGTGGCCTTCGTGATGCAGCGCCAAGTCTCTGATCCGTATAGTGAGCAGCACTGACTTCACATTGGAGTTGAGAATCCGGATCTCATTTTCATTTTCGTGTTGAGTGCTGTTGACCTCCACACAGACTTGGGAGTAATGAAAGCTTGCCTTGCTTTCCCGATCCTCGCTTTGACGACATCCTCATAAGTTCCGTCCGCCTGTAGTTGAGACAATGCTTCCCAGGTAGGTAGGTAAAGGAGGTTGCTTCAGATTTCAGATTCCTCCCATTTATGCTGGCTGATTGTTGTCTGTTGTTGTTGATGTTGCTGTTGGTGTTGGCCAGGAAACTTCATCACCTCTGTTTTCTCTATGTTCACCTGAAGTTCTTCCTATCGTTGGTGCTTCTTCTGACAACTTGTTGCTTTTCACTTGCATATCTTCCAGTTTGTGGGAAATCAGACATGTATCATCGGCGAAGAATTCATCTATATACCCTGGCAAATCTATTGATCTCTAGTATTACTACCGTAGTTGGCTTGCTTTCCACTTTCACGTAAGCACGTCAGCATATTTAATTCCAAGTTTCAAAGCTCTACTTATCAGATGAAATACCTAAATAATCTTTTATAATACAATAAAATAGTTAGCTTTAAGTTCTTTTTTTTTTGCTTGGCCGACTTTTATTAGCATTAGAAATTTGAGATTTGTTCAGCATCGTTGCATTGCTGCAATCTCATTTGTAAATTTACTGCGTCATAAGTCTTTCTTAATATATCGGCCGAGTAATGTAGGACATTGTACTTTTTATCTAAAAAACAGAATTGTTTCTTTTCATGGCTAAATTTCCTGCTTCTTTTCAAGGTTTGACTAGTCTCTACTGTAAACGATACGTATAGATTTAATAAAAATAAATGATTTGAATTGCACATTCTTGGAAACACTTTAGCTATGTCGATTGGAAATTACAACAGCAATACTGAGTACATGAAAAATTGCACTAAATAAAAACCCAGGAAGGAGTAGATCCAAAGCAAGATTCAAAGCAAGTTGTTTGAGTAAGGGGATATAATTATGAGTAGTGAATTGTGATCGATACATCATTCAGTCAATAATAATATAGCAAATAAATTTATCTAACAAGGGATATAATTATTTCACCCTCCAGCTATCATTTTATTCAAATGTTTGTGTTGACCTGCCAACTACTACTACTACTACTACTACTAAGGAAAGTGTTTTGTCGTGTTTGTAGGAGTTTGGTTGATTTTAATCTGGATTTTGTCACAAACGACCATAGAAACCTGAAGAGCACTAAAGAGCTGTCATGCCCTTGTATGGGACACTTCAGCAGTGCGCAACCACCATCTAGTAAGGGATCAAGATCATGATTATCAGGCTTCTAGGTGAACACATCCTTATTAAGTCAGTAGAAACCCAATAGCTACTGATCGCCAACTCCTCGCATTTTGCTGAAATTTTACAGCTATTCAGTGTCACCAAACCATTGGTTGTCCTCGCTTTCAGCTTGGTCAGTGGAGTTTAAAAGAAGGCTAAGGCACCTTTCCTGTATGCTTGTGTTTTGTGATGAAATCTATCTTGAAGGGGATCAAGATATCAAGAATTCGCTAACGCTCATAGAAGTCATCAATAATATTCTGGTACGCTTTAATCTTGTGTAGTGCATATATTAGTTGTATTTTAGTCTGATGACGAAAGGTAATTGGTCGAAAGTTTTGGTTTATAAGAAAGAAGCAAAGATTTAGTGATCTGATAGGAAGAAGTAATGCTTATTAGACTTCTGCCTAATTGTATATTTGAGAAGCTTCCATAAACGACTTGGTACAGTTGAGGTTGGATAGACTTGAGTTTTCCTCTCGAAATACTTTTATGTGGTCACGCACTCATAGCTCCTGCCAGGTAAGTCCTACTCACTGCCTTCATGCGACAAGGGTGGTCCTTACAAAAGCGAAGTGATGAATTTGAGCGTTTGGTACTTAAAACCAGACTGACTGTTGGTAATGCTGGTCTACCTAGTGGGGCCGGAGAACCGTGATTCCGCACCTATAGTGCCAGAATCCAAAAGGATCAACTGCCGTCTGAACTTGTTTTGTTCACTGGAAACCGTGGGAATGTAGCTCCTAACACTGCCTACTACTTTGTGAATCACACTTCCAGTCAAATGGTCGAAGACGGAGTAGTCCTTTAAGACCGCCATTTACTTTGCTGTGGGTGCCCAGGTAGCATCCCAGCCTTCGCGAAAACTTTGAGATTTTGTGTGGTGCATCTCTCTTGAGATTAAGACAAAGCAAGTTGTTTGAGTAAGGGGATATAATTATGAGTAGTGAATTGTGATCGATACATCATTCAGTCAATAATAATATAGCAAATAAATTTATCTAACAAGGGATATAATTATTTCACCCTCCAGCTATCATTTTATTCAAATGTTTGTGTTGACCTGCCAACTACTACTACTACTACTACTACTAAGGAAAGTGTTTTGTCGTGTTTGTAGGAGTTTGGTTGATTTTAATCTGGATTTTGTCACAAACGACCATAGAAACCTGAAGAGCACTAAAGAGCTGTCATGCCCTTGTATGGGACACTTCAGCAGTGCGCAACCACCATCTAGTAAGGGATCAAGATCATGATTATCAGGCTTCTAGGTGAACACATCCTTATTAAGTCAGTAGAAACCCAATAGCTACTGATCGCCAACTCCTCGCATTTTGCTGAAATTTTACAGCTATTCAGTGTCACCAAACCATTGGTTGTCCTCGCTTTCAGCTTGGTCAGTGGAGTTTAAAAGAAGGCTAAGGCACCTTTCCTGTATGCTTGTGTTTTGTGATGAAATCTATCTTGAAGGGGATCAAGATATCAAGAATTCGCTAACGCTCATAGAAGTCATCAATAATATTCTGGTACGCTTTAATCTTGTGTAGTGCATATATTAGTTGTATTTTAGTCTGATGACGAAAGGTAATTGGTCGAAAGTTTTGGTTTATAAGAAAGAAGCAAAGATTTAGTGATCTGATAGGAAGAAGTAATGCTTATTAGACTTCTGCCTAATTGTATATTTGAGAAGCTTCCATAAACGACTTGGTACAGTTGAGGTTGGATAGACTTGAGTTTTCCTCTCGAAATACTTTTATGTGGTCACGCACTCATAGCTCCTGCCAGGTAAGTCCTACTCACTGCCTTCATGCGACAAGGGTGGTCCTTACAAAAGCGAAGTGATGAATTTGAGCGTTTGGTACTTAAAACCAGACTGACTGTTGGTAATGCTGGTCTACCTAGTGGGGCCGGAGAACCGTGATTCCGCACCTATAGTGCCAGAATCCAAAAGGATCAACTGCCGTCTGAACTTGTTTTGTTCACTGGAAACCGTGGGAATGTAGCTCCTAACACTGCCTACTACTTTGTGAATCACACTTCCAGTCAAATGGTCGAAGACGGAGTAGTCCTTTAAGACCGCCATTTACTTTGCTGTGGGTGCCCAGGTAGCATCCCAGCCTTCGCGAAAACTTTGAGATTTTGTGTGGTGCATCTCTCTTGAGATTAAGATAAAGCAGTTTACTATCTCCAATGTATTTTTCCTGATTGCGGTAAACTGGATAATGCGACAAACAGCGGGCAACGAGGAGACTCATAAAATTGACCCACACAAAAAACGTGGAGGATCTGAATTTCACCGATGATATATATCTGATTTCCCACAAACTGAAAGATGTGCAAGTGGAAAACAGCAGATTGGCAGAATCAACAAGAATCAAAGATAAGCCTTCAGTTGAACATAGAGAAAACAGAGGTAATGGAGATTCCTGGCCGACAGTAACAGCAACAACAATCAGCCAGCATAAATGGGAGGAATCTGAAGCAACCTCCTTTACCTACCTACCTACCTACCTGGGAAGCATCGTTTCAACTACAGGCGGACGGAACTTATGAGGATGTCGTCAAAGCGAGGATCGGGAAAGCAAGGCAAGCTTTCATTTCTCCCAAGTCTGTGTGGAGGTCAACAGCACTCAACACGAAAATGAAAATGAGATCCAGATTCTCAACTCCAATGTGAAGTCAGTGCTACTCACTATACGGATCAGAGACTTGACGCTGCGTCACGAAGGCCACTTCGAACAAACTACAGGTCGTCATAAACAGCTGTCTTCGCTCGATAGCACTCAATATCAGATGGCCAGAAAAGATCAGCAACAAGGAGGGGTATCTGGGAGCGAATTAATTCAACAGGAACCAATTATGCAACAAATAGGCAGGAAGAAATGGAGGTGGATTAGTCATACTCTGAGAAAACCATCGAGTGACATCACCCGCAATGCAGGCCATCACACGGGTGGAAGGTGAGTGGGAATCGGCGAGTTGGTCGTCAGTTCGTGGGTGACACAGCGGAGGTGATGGGAAGAGGAGATGAAAGCATGTGGGCAGACCTGGAGCGAGGTGAAAAAGTTGGTGGAACACCGAACACAATGGAGACGTGCAGGTGAAGCCTTGTGTTCCTCTAGGAATTAAAGAGAATAATAATATAATAATAATAATCTGTTGGCGCCCACAGTACATCAAGTTTGTATTTTTAATAATAATAATATTTGAGAAAATAGACACACTTACTAATGCTTTTTGCATAAGTTTGTCACTCGACTTCATGTTTATGTGATTTCACTGACAGATTTAAAGAGTATCCTTTGTAATTAAAAGCTTTAGACTCAGAGAACACAAAGACAGTCTTCGTCGGACAAGTATATCGGGAAAAAGACAAGAATGCCTCTGTATATCTGATGTGATGAACATTTGTCAATGAGTTCGTTCGCTTAGAAATTCCATTAATTGTCTCATACAATGATTGAATGGTGTACTAATCACCACTAGATAATGATGATATTTCAACTTACAAAGAAAAAAAAAGATTCGATTATTATTGTTATTTTATTTTGTTGAGTTACCAGGTTCTCAGGTAGTCGTAAATTGATGTCTGCATTCAAAGAGAACCAGTGTAGCCTTAAATTTAATTTATCATACGCTTTTTTTAAACTCATTAATTTTTTGCATAATTCCCTTTAATTCTCAGTTTTGCGAGTTGTCTTTCTCGCGGTTTTGTGATTACATAACTAGTTTCATGTTAATTTGTTGAAATTATCTAGTTTGGTCGTCTATCCACTTATCCTTCAAATTCACTTTCGCCACGGAAGTATCACAATAAACCAGTCGGGAAAAGACATGATCTAAGCAAGATGTCGTTTGTTGATGAGAAGTTAAAAATGCACATTCATAATGACACTACACCACAATACATCGATGATGAAGAAGAAGTGGATGATGATGATGATGATGACGACGACGATGACGATGATGACGAGGAGGAGGAGGAGGAGGAAGAAGAAGACCAACTAACCGCTATTATCTCTCGTCAACGTGAAGCATTTTCAGCACGTGTAGCTGCCGGTCGTCCAAGTATCCGTGAAATGAAATCAAATCCTCAAAAGAAACCTATTAGTCCTCAGTTCACCACTACCGGTTCTAGTCTGCCAGCGGCTAGACGACTTTCTGCTAAGGTGTTACGTGCTTGGAAATCTCTAGCTAAAAAGGAAGTATGCAAGTGGGCAAGACAACGTATTGCTATTCGTCGAGATAAAATAGCAATGGCTAAGCGTGCTGCCCGGGAATGTGCACGTTTACTACGTCAAAAGGCATTGTTATCTCAAAAAGCTTCTAAAGATTCAATAAGTAAGTAAGATTAAGCTATCTTATTTTGTGATGAGTTCTACTATTGGTATTGAATGAATTCTTAATGAAAATTTGTAGTCAGCTTATCACCTGAATTAGATATTTCATCGTATTATCGGTAATCTCAAAATGCTAATTGAGGCTACTTATATTTAGTCAATTTCCTTCGATTGCTTAATTGAAACATCTATACTGATACGCAATGATGCAGGCCTGTTTTTTCCTTCACGTTCCGAGTGGAACATAGGGGGTTTCAAGCTAGTGGCTTGAAGTTTCTGTAGCAGTGCCGTTTAATTTTACAGGATGGGGTTGCTAGCCTCATGCCCAACCTTTCCTCTTTACCAGCATTATTCCTGGCTTAGCGAGGTAAAGGAGTGCGGTGTCGGCCAGAAATCGAACCCTGGACCATGTGCATGGTTGGCGAGCGTCCTAACCGCTGTTCCACCGACGTACAGGCCTGTAATAATTGTATATCTTGCTTCATGATGTAAACATCTAGTAATTCTTTACTTCAATTACATTCAATCATTCAGTTTATGTGGATAATAAATAATAATAATTGATATAACTGATAACGTTTTAAACTTTGAAGGCGTATAATTTCTTAAACTTTGACAAAATGTTCTGGATACGTCATCACATTTTGCTCCTATACAAATGTATTTCAGTACTATGATATACTGTTTCTCAAGCTGACCATTTTCAAGAGTTGGTGTGTGCAGGAATTTTATTTGTTTCAAGTTTAACTACGGATTGATATCAGTTAGAGAACCACTGGAAACTAGGGAGTACTTGAAAATTAATCTGGTGCTCGCCAGTGATTGGTTACAGGAGGAAGTTCTAATCAGAAGTCATGAGTCGTGGGATACACCATGTTGGGAGTGTGAGAACAAATACTCGCTGATGACATTGGCTGGTACCATTTGCTCTGAAATCACAAATTGGAAGAAGTTGGAATTCACGGTCTGGCCATTGAGTATGGTCGCAATGGATGAGTGAGTGGTTTACAAGCTTGTCTTATAACGGGAAGGTCCTGGGTTAGAACCGTGGTGTGTGCGCACTGCCGAGGAGTTCAAAACTAGGATGAAATAGTTGTCCGTGGTCCAACCTCATCATTTTGCACATTTTTTTCGTGAATTTTCGACGATAGCATATGTTACTTAGAATGAGATTAGCTTTAACATTACTCTTAGAACATGTTCCAGCTTTCGAGACTACAGCTGTAAAATTGCCTCTGTTGCTGAAAAAAACAGATCTTCGTTGTAGTAGAAAATTTGTGCTGGAAATCCTTTTTAATCATGCATACCGTCTCCATTTATGTTTGATGTCTCACAAAATCGAAGACTTACAAGCGAAAACCGACAAACTGGTCGAAGAAGCAGACAGTGAAGACAGGACTCCAAGTGAATATAAACAAGACGGAGGTTATGAAAATAACAAACCAACCAACCAACCAACAACAGCAGCAACATACAGCGCCAATCACCATCAACGGGAGGGGTTTGAAGGAAGTTACTTCATTCACTCACTTATCTAGGGAGGGAGCATTGTCTCAACTACAGGAAGTCGGAACGGACGAGGATGTCAAATCGAGCGAGAATCGGGAAGGCGCGAAACACATCAACATCATCGACCTGAAACCAATCTGGAAATCTTCGTCACTCAGCCAGCATCAGAAACCAAAATTCGGTCGGATTTTCATTACAAACAACGTCAAGTCAGTCAGTTCTTCTATACGGATCAGATCAGAAACTTGGCGGGCGGGCGGGTCACAAAGAATATTTCCAACAGCCTGTTGCAGACCTTTATCAACAACTAACTGTCATCGCTGGATCTATACTGAAGATGAGGTGGTCGGACCGGAAAGTATCACCAACAAGAAACAATGGGAACAAACAAAGCAAAACAAGAACCAATCGCCAACCAACAAATATTCAGGCGAAAGTGGAGATGGATTGGACACTGGCTGAGGAGGCCGCCGGGTGACATCGGGCGCGCGTCAGGCCATTTCTTGAATGGAACCAGGCCGAAAGGGAAGCGGCGAGTGGGACGTTAGTGCGAAGTTGGGGTGACATGGAGGAGATGGTGTGAAGAGGAGTTGAAACAGAATGGACTAACATGGATTCAGGTGAAAAGTACCGCAGAAGGAAGACAGAATCAAGTGGAGACATGTAGTTGAAGCCCTATGTTCCACTAGGAACCCAAGGGAACAATAATAATAATAATAATAAATAATACCGTCTCCATTGCTATCTAGTACCAGCAATATTGGTACGATAACTCATTCAATTCTTAATACTGTACAACTTACTTGATCCTAGGCATGCTAACTTACACGTCTTTAGAGTTTTTGTGCTCAAGTAAACATCGTGATGATATATAATAACCCTGGTGGTGGTTATACGCGTGGAGATTTTAACAAATGCTACATATATGTTTGTACACGATGTCGAAGTCAATACTGTTTTATAATGGTGCATTCTTAAGCTGGAAGAGTTTTTTTTCGGCGATAGATATTAAAACAAATTCAGTGGCCTATGAATTCTAACTTATAGCAATTCGTAATTTTAGCACGACTGGCACCAGCCGATGTCATAGATGAGTGTTTGTCCCTACTTTTGACCGGGTAGATCCCAATGGCCACGATTTCTCAATAAAACTTGAGTCAACTTCGTCCTGCAGGCAGTCGCTGGCGAGCATCAGATTAATTTTCAAGAGTTATTTTGTAAGGATTTGACTTGGGGATTGATCTGTTTCCAGGGAATAATCTTGTTGACATAGAAGGCGTAGATGATATAGTCCTCTTAGGTGAAGACGTTGATAAAATTTCCACTCTTTTGAACATCTTTGGCAGTAGTCTTCGAATGTTTGGCATATGTTTCTCTCCTATCAAATATAAGATGATAATGCTACAGTACTGGACTACACATAAAATAACTTATCATGATAGTCTTCATCGATTATTTTTGATATTTACTTTTCCTACATTATTTTATCGTTTTTTATTCTTCAAGGTCGTGGACACCGTTTGTCACGTGAAATTGCAGTGAATTGGCGCAGCTCTGCGTCTAGTATAGCCAATGGTTCTGGTCCCTTGACAATTAATGGTATAACTATGCCATCCAGTTCCAACACTACTCATTCATCCTCATGTATGAATTTACCTGAATATTATACTTCAGTCAGTTCGGAAGGTGGAGGAGCTATGGATCTCAATGCATCTGTAACAATGATGGAGTCCAGTACAGCTGCACGTCGTCGAGCAGAGAAAGCTGCAGCTGAACAACGTAAAGCTGACTTAGAACTTTTAGAGGCAAGAAGACAACAAAGAAAATTGAATTTTTTAATTACTCAAACAGAATTGTACGCTCATTTTATGGCTAAAAAAATGGCAGATGTAAATATTGATAATGGTAAATTTGAAGGTGATTCTGAAAATCCTGAAGCACTATCGAATAATGCTAGCCAAGAGGACGGTCTACCAGAAGAAGAAGAAGAAGAAGAAGCTCGTAGAATCTTACGTCGACTTGAAGAAGTCGATGATGACTCTGTAGAAACAAAAACAAATGATGATGGGACTGACACGGGATCCGATATCTCTGCACCAATGGATTCTATTCAAAATGACCAAGATTGTTCTAGTACAATAACTGGATCTCAAATGAAAAAGTCATATAGTTCAATAGCTGTAGCCGCAAAAGCTGCAGCCAGTCGATTAGGCATTAATGTTGAAGAAGAGTATGGTAAGTTTAAATTATTTACAAAATGTTTATTCGGTAGTCTGTCTGTCTGTTTTCGACATAGAACTTTGCACCGACGTGCGACAGTTGGAGTCACCACACTTCATGTAGCACACAGAGCAAGAGAAGAAAGTAGAAGAAATACATAATAGAGCCAGTAAACAGAGGTGTGAGACAAAGGAATAGTAATAACGAAGAACAAAACAGTTTCATTGGAAATCATAAGTCACAGGGAGTGGATGCATCTCCGCCAGCCGGCCATTGAGAACGATTTTGAGCCATATCACCAATAGTTTACAACCATTGGTTTTTCCCGTCCCGAGGACCCCAACCAGTCAGGATGTCTACACCTTCCTACGTGGCTGGCTTAGACTAACTGTTGTAGATTTCATTGACTAGTGCCATGTTTTGGTTTGACCGCCACTAGCTGGCTCTTTTCCAGCCTAACCCTATGTCAGCTAACATTGCCCAGTAGTATCTTCTTTTATTGTGCATTGTTTTTATAGATGGTTTTACTACTATTGAATATTTCAAAATCCAAATAAAAAGTTCATCTTGAAAAGACAAAAATTTGTCGTTCAAGTGGTTTTATGATCTCTGAGTTGGGTGATTTAATAATTAAGTGTTTCTGTCTTGTTTGACTGACAACATATTCATATTAGTGAAGGTTCATCTTTAAATATTGTTGAAAAGTGTAATATGGAACTGCATTTTCAGCAATGTAGTTCTATATTGCTAAAAAAACCAGGTAGGTTTTACACAAGGAATAGGATGTATTAATCATATCTTTATCGTCCGACAGCTTCTGGAAAATAGCCATACTTACCGGCGACCAGTAATTGCCATATTTATTGGCCTGGAGGCGAGATTCGACTCCGTCGATCGAGAGTAGTGTGGTAATGTTTGGCCGTGAAGGGAGTTCTGAGAAAGTACATTGCACTAATCAAAGCACTTTACTTCAACTCTTGCAGTCGTGTATGAAATTATGGAGGGTTGTCATCTGAAGTGATAACAACCAGTGGTGACTGTCAGGGATGCTCATTTCGGTCTAATTTTATCATAGGTATGCTAATGGAATAGACCCTAACTGGATTCAGTGACTTAGGAATTAACTTGTCACTAGGGAATTGTCTTGTTGACTTAGAATATACGGATGATATATCCCTTCTGGGTGAAAACGTTGACAAAATGTAGAGCCTTCTTAACGCCTTGAGTAGCAATTTTCGAATTTCTGACATTTGATTTTCTTCCGTCAAATGTAAGATGATGCATTTGTCAGTTTACGCTACCTATCGCGTATACGTGATATCCGAATGACTATAGATCAAAGGACGTGTGTACTGCGCAGCAGTTCATACCGTCTTGTTTGTATATGGGTATGTGTGTAACGCTTTCCAAATAAAGTTAATACATCCACCTAAAGATTACAATACTAAGAAGAGTGTATTTGAAACACCAGTAGTCCTCTCATACGCAAAGCTAACCTGAAATCCTATGTAAGAGGGATTCTCAACAAGGTAGGAATCTGAATCTTGTTTCATATGCCTAATGTAGTTGACTTCCAGACTGATTTCAGAGTAATGAATGTCTGTCTTGGCTTTCCGAGCTTGATTGGCGTTGAAATCTTCGTCCATACTGTCACTTGTAGTTGGGACGATTCTTTCTAGATAAGTGTTGTTAATGTTGGTTAGGTATATTCATCACCTATATCTTGTCGATGTTGATTTGAAGTCCGGTCTTTTCTGTCTGCGTCTTCTCACAATTTGTCAGATTTTGCTTTTAGATCCTGGAGTTTTTCATTGAATGTGGAACAAAACAGAACTGTATGCTCTTTTTTCTCCTGATTCTGTTAGATTTTTATGAATTAATCCTGAGATTTGGTTGGATATCTAGTTAATGAAACGTTGTAGATTTAATTTCATTACATTTCTGTATTTAAATTGTCTCTACTTAGATATTGAACGAGTGAAATCTGAAGCTTTAATGAAGGTCAAAGCGGCTGTTACCACTGAACGTAATCGTGTATGTTTACAATATGAACAAGTTTTTACTGATTTTAGTTTATCGTTTATAACTATAATTAATTCTTTATATTCATTATTTTATTTCTCTTAATTCATAGTGGAACATAAGACTTCAAGCTAGAGCTTTGAAGTTTCAGTAGCGGTGGGTTTTTCTACTTTTGCGGTGTGGGTATGCCCACCCACCCCATCTTTACCAGGTTAATTACAAGTCTAGCGAGGCATAGAAGTGCATCAGCCGTGGATCGAACCCCGGACCACATGGGTGGTTGGGGAGCACTCCATTGCTGGACCGCTGATGCGCATAAGTAATTGTAGAATATCCTAATTGGTATATCTACAATTAGCGTGGTTATCATTTGGATGATTGGGATTGTTTATAACCTGAATGTATATATTAATAGTTAATTCTTTAAATTTGAAACGAAAAAGTTTATGGAGTTCAAATTTGAAAGGTAGCATAAGTTTCCATTTGAATAGTAGAGTTTCTTGCCGGTTGTCTTTTAACATACCTAATATCAAACTACAGCGTATCATAATGCACAAGGGAGAGTTGTATCACTTATCCAGTTGTCCAAATTATACTGTGGTGAGAGCAGGCTGCTAGCCGATTGGTTGGCACTAATCTACGTTAATGTCTAGGTCACTAATATTGGCCGTGAACAAGGCTGTTTCAACAACCAATCACAGCAAACTAAATGTGGACAAATATGATTCGCAGATAGATGGCTCTACTTTCCGAGAAATATCGAACACAACCAATCATAAGACTGTGTTTGTCTGCTTAACTTCCGAGAAACAACCAATCAGAAGACTGCCTTTTTCTGCTTGCATAAGCCTTATTAATGCATATAAAATATATATAAATACGTGTTGATTTTCGTAATAAAACGATCTGTTGCCAGCCCTTGTCTTCTGTTGTTACATTTGGTGTCGCTGCCTCCAAAAGATGAAGATCCCGTGGCCAGCTGCGTTTGAAGAAGGTGACATACGGAGCTTCTTACGTGACTTCGAGCCGTTGCTGAGCTGGTGGGTGTCAAGGAGCAGGCGGCGAAGGCAGTTGTCCTGGGGACGCTGTTGAGAGGCCGAGCGAAGGCTGCATATGACAGCGTAGACAGGTCAAATGGCACAGCGTCTTGGAAGAAATTGGTTGAACGACTAGTGTCCGAGTTTGACAGCGAAACAGACAGACAGCTAGCAATGCAGCAGTTCCGGTCAATGAAGCTTGGACCTGATGGAGACCCGCTAGTGTTGGCGGTGAAACTGACTAATCTACTTCGACGCGCGCTTCCCACTTTAGATGAAGAATCAGAAGCGCAGTTACTGTCTTCCCAATTCATCGAGAGTGTCCCCGACCACATTTCTCAGCGATTAAAACTGGTTAACGCAACGCAGCCGATGGATATTAGTGAGCTGGCGAAGGTGACCAGACAGCTGCTGAGCACAACGGTAGCCGCTATAGACCAACCAAAACCAAACGAATATGAGCAAAAATTGAAGCATTGCAGCGGGAAGTGGCGGCGTTAAAGTTGGCTGATAGAAAAGACCGGTGTTTTGAATGCGGTAAGCCGGGACACTGGAGAAGATACTGCCCAGAAAGGCGAAAAAGAAAAAATTTCAGACGGTATAATGCTTGTTCTTTCTTTCGTATGAACCTAGGTTTAGTGGGGGCTATTGAGAAAGGCGCTCTGTATTCGAAGTTGCGAGTGAATGATCGAGAAGTAGTATGTTTGATAGATACAGGGCGGCCGTGTCGTTAATAGATAAGAATTTATGTAAGAGTGTTAATCCGTGTTCATTGACAGTACAAACAGTAGGCGGGTATGTGTTGCGTATCACGGGTAGATCGAACTGTACGGTCGTTGTTGGTGGCTGCGAGGTGACGTTTCCTTTCATTGTTGTACCCGAACTACAGCGAACGATATTAGGAGCGGATTTTCTGCGTGAGATTGGTGCCATAATCGACACGCAAGCGAACGTGGTGATCACGAAATACGGGCATATCAACATGTATGAGACCAGCGAGATAGCAGCGATTAAGCTGTCGACGGTACACAATGTGACAGAGTTAATTAATAAATACGATCATCTGTTCACTGGAGATGGGACCCATACGGTTATTGCGATAAGGTGAATCATGAAATTCCGTTAAGTGATCCTAAAGTAAGGTCATTTTTAACGCGAAGAGTTCCATGTCATCTGGAAGGCGAAGTGGAGCGACAAGTGCAAGAGATGTTAAAAGATGATATTATTGAGGAAGCTGATAGCCCATACAACTCTCCAGTGCTGTTAGTAAAAAAAGCGAATGGGAAATATAGATTCTGTGTTGATTTCGACAGTTAAACAGTATGACAGAGTTAAGACCGTGTGCCATGCCAACAGTGATAGAAACTTAGATCGACTACAAGGTGCGAATGTGTTTTCGGTTCTCGATCTTCGCTCAGGATACTGGCAGATACCGATAAAACAAAGTGACAGAGATAAGACGGCTTTCATCGTGGGTCAGACGCAATATCGATTTAAACGCATGCCGTTTGGACTAGCAGGTGCACCGTTTACGTTCAGGCGACTGATGAAGCTATTACTTAAGAACTTGAAAAACGTGGAGGTTTATGGTGATGATCTCGTCATATACAGTCAAACGAAAACGATCACGTCAACCATGTAGAAGCCGTGCTGCGACGCATCGAAGAGTTTGGACTACGCGTCAACAAAACCAAGTCTCAGATAGCCAAAAAGAATGTTACTCTGTTGGGACATAAAGTGGGAAATGGTGAGATTAAACCACTGCCGGAGAAAATTTTGACGATTAAAACGATTCCAGCCCCGAATTCAAAGAGAAAACTGAGACAATTCTTGGGTAGAGCAGCGTTTTATAGTCGCTTCGTGAAGAACTTCAATGAGATAGCAGCCCCTCTATACAGGCTACTAGGTGAGCCAAAGTTTGTTTGGTCGGAAGAATCGCAGAGGACATTCGACAGAATTAAACAGCTGCTCGACCACCAACAAATGACGCTAAAACTACCTGTGCCAGGAAGACAGTTCACAGTGTGCACAGATGCCAGTGACTACGCTATAGGTGCGGTCCTAAGACAGGACGAGGGAATCGTTGAGTATGCCAGTAGGGTGTTGACCCTCACAGAGAGAAAGTATTCAACGATAGAGAAAGAATGTTTAGCAATGGTATGGGCAGTCGACAAATGGAGACCTTATTTACTCGGCCGGCGGTTCCACATCGAAACTGATCATAAGCCGCTACAATTTTTGAAGACAGCGAGAGACCCACGGGGGAAGTTGTCACGGTGGATGTTGCGTCTTCAGGAATACGATTTTACGATCTCACACGTTCCTGGAAGTGAAAATGTCTTGGCAGATTTGTTATCGAGACCAGAAGATGAGTCTGAGTTGCCCGAGGTCGCTTACGGAGTGCATGCAGTAGAACAAGACCCACTAAGACTTGCACGTAGGCAGAGGTTGGACGATACGCTGAATACAGTAATACAGGTGATCACCAACGGAATAGAAGTGGATCAAACTACGGCGAGTAAGGAGCTAACCACACTACTCAGACAGAGGGATCGACTCAGAGTGAATGCCTACGGGACTCTGACCTGGCGAGAGAACGACGGAAGCTGGCTGGCTGTCATACCTCAATCGTCGCGCCACGACATGATAGAAGAATGTCACCAGCTAGCGCATACAGGCGTGGCCAGAACGACCGACCTCCTAAGACAAAGTATGTACTGGCCAGGTATGAGAGAAGACGTAGCAAGATACGTACTTGGATGTCCACGGTGCCAGCTGATGAAAGGTGACCGGTATATACGACCACCACTTCAGTCGATTCCAGTTACCGCGATAGGTGACTTGTGGTCCGTAGATGTCATGGGTCCATTTCCTCAGACATCCAATGGTAATCAGTACCTCTTGGTGATGACGGAACACGCGACACGATGGGTAGACGCCGTAGCAATCCCAGACCAACGTGCAAGAACCGTGACAGATGCAGTAGTTAGACACATTGTTGCAGACCACGGCGTACCGAAGACAATACTGACAGACCAAGGTCCCTGTTTCGAGAGTGAAGAGTTTACTTCCCGTTTGCAACAGCTGGGCATCAAGAGGATCAGAACGACCCCATACCATCCACAAACGAATGGCCTAACGGAGAGAAACAACCGTACACTGAAAGAGTGGCTGGCTTCGAAGGGCGGGAACTGGGAAACGGAGCTTCCACTGATTTTACTAACACATCGGGCTACCACTCAGGAAACAACGAAGAAGTCACCCTTCCAACTGATGTATGGCAGAAAACCACGATTACCGGTACACAATGAGACCTGGCCCATGCACCAAAAGTGGAGTACGACGAAATTAAAAGCAGAGAGGAAAGAGGCAGTCAAGAATGTAATACGGAAGCAGCGCAGTGATGTCACGAAGTCTCAGATGAAAGAAAGGACGCAGTGCATTACTTTTGCAGTCGGGGACCAAGTGAAGTGTAGAGACAGGAGATATACAGTTGGAGGCGGGCTAGGTTCACGGAAACTCCTTCCAAAGTGGGAAGGACCATACACAATCACAAAAAGACGGGGTCAAGTATATACCATCCGAAGAGGTGATAAACAGAAACGAGTTAACGCCAGTCAGCTACAAAGATGGGTACAGTGGGACAAGCCGGTCAGTAACAATCCTCAACTAGAGGATGTAGCACCCAGAAGGTCGGAACGTCTGCGCACAAAGCTATTTGACGGGGGGACGAGTGTGGTGAGAGCAGGCTGCTAGCCGATTGGTTGGCACTAATCTACGTTAATGTCTAGGTCACTAATATTGGCCGTGAACAAGGCTGTTTCAACAACCAATCACAGCAAACTAAATGTGGACAAATATGATTCGCAGATAGATGGCTCTACTTTCCGAGAAATATCGAACACAACCAATCATAAGACTGTGTTTGTCTGCTTAACTTCCGAGAAACAACCAATCAGAAGACTGCCTTTTTCTGCTTGCATAAGCCTTATTAATGCATATAAAATATATATAAATACGTGTTGATTTTCGTAATAAAACGATCTGTTGCCAGCCCTTGTCTTCTGTTGTTACAATACTCCTGTTCGTTATATTTCAATCAACCTATTCAGGAATTGATATCTACAGTTTTTACCATTTGCTGATCGATTCGTGAACATAACGCACTCGTAGACGTACCCGGAATACCTCAGTAGATTTAGTTTCCAAACTTGACACTGATTGATCTGATTCAAAATTGTGAGGGTAGTATGAATTTCCCACTCAAACGACCTGGTAAGATAGAGGGTGAATAGACTTCGGTCCTCCTCTTGAAGTGCTGTCACGTGGCCACACATTCCAGGCCTCTGACAGGGAAGTTTTGTTCACTGCCCTCATACAGCAGGGGTGTACTTCATGAAGGTGAAAGGATGAAGTCAAATGTCTGATGCTTACTAGGGTAGCTGGGAAATTCCGACTCCAAATCTGTGGTGTACATGGGCTCTAGAATCCGAAAAGATCCACTGGCGTATGAACCCGCTTTAGTCACGGGAAACCATGACAGCATAGCTCTTGACACTAGTACCCTGCCTTATGGATTGGACTTCAAATCAAAGACCCGCGGGGCGGCCTCTTAAGAGAACCACCTGCTTCCATCTGGGCGTCCAGACAGTATTCCAGCCTTTGCACGAACTAGTTGTGTGGCGCATCTCTTGGTGCCTATAATATGCCAAGTCTATGTTTTCAGAATAATAATGATAATAATTTCCTCAAGGACCATGTTTCTGATAGGTGCTAACAAGTATGAAATTATAGGTCAAATAAAGCTCTAACTTCTAACACCAACAAAACTATACACTATCATTTTCGAGTGCTAAAATAAAGCTTCAGATGGCTGTTGCTTGTTTATTATTATCTAAACGCAGAAAAAACTTGGTACATTATGGCACCAAGAAAGATGCTCCACACAGTAATAATAAAACAACATAGATTAAAAGTAAAAGTACAAGTAGAGAGCGGATAAAGAACTTCATCTGGAAGGAAAACAGTCATACTTAACAACTTCAAACAGTATTCGTCAACTATCATCAGGAAGGGAAGAAAGAACAAAATTGCAGCACGTTCGCCACTAAGTACGATTCTTGGCGATATCCGACAACGTGTCGAGCCATCGATTCGAGCTATCTCCCGGACTCCAACCACGGAGACGTGACGCACCAACCGATGCTAACCTAGAACAAATACCCTTCATCCCACGACGCCACATCATCGACTGACGACCTCTACGCCTTTTCCACCCCGTACCAGGGCTAGCGAACAGAGACCTGTACGGAAGCCTCTGGGATGACATTCACGGCACATGTCCAAGTCACCGGAGCCGGTGTTTCCAGATGACGACTCTCAATGAATGGTGATCTCCACTGTGTTCAAACACACGCCGCCGAACTTTGGGATTACTCACTCAATGATGCCATCAAACACAAGCAATCCTGCGGAGAAAGCAATGATCGAATACGCAGAGCCGCCGCACATCCCCAGCTTGGAGATGACTGTTGCTGGAAACTAACGATTCTCAAAACATAATTTTGGGATTGTTCACGTAATGTCTTGTTTATCTAAATGCAAGGTTGCAATTTCTTCAAAGTCAAAGTCATAGTCTTTAAAAAATTACTTTATTTCGTGTATTAATTATGCAGACTTCATTTATGTGTTAAACGTAAAGTGTTATGGAAAGCAGGCAAATCAGTCGATGAATGTATAAATCTCTTCATCAATTTAAAAATGTTGAACAAGTATAACATACGCTTAGCTGTTACTTTTTGGATTACCAATGTTCACTAAAGTAAGGCTAGGTTAGAAAACTAAAAGTGATCAGACCAATACGTGGAACTGCTGTACAACTGTTCTATCTCTAATGTGTAGGTGGATTATGAAAATGTTGAGAATGATAAGTCGAGAAACTTCCTGTAACACCTCTTGAAGTCCACTCACTATAACGTAGCCCTCAAGTGTTGGTTTGTAGGGATTTGATTGGTTACAGAATTTCATCATGCGCTGACATTTGTTAGAGAACCATTGGAAAACCTGGGGGTACTGGACAGTTGTTTCGTCCTAGTTTGGGACTCTTCATCAGTATGCACCCACCAAACTAGGACGAAACAGCTGTCCAGTACTCTCAGGTTTTCGATGGTTCTCTAACTAATGTCAGCTCATGATGAAATCCTATAACGTAGCTTTGTTGACTTTTTATCATTGTCTGTCAGGATGTTAACTTTTTATCCGTTTTGGATCGCTTACTTAGCTTCAGTCAGAATAAAGACGAAAGTATGGTACTTAGGTACAATAGAATACTCATTAATCTTCACATAAAGTGAACTTTCATCTCTGCACTATAATTTGAATTCAATGAAGTCAGTTCGTGATCATTCTTGAACTCAGTCAATCAAATCCATGCAAACCAAAACTTGAAAATTAATCTAACGCTCACCAGTGAATGACTGACTACACAGGATAAAGTTGCCTGAAGTTCTAATTGGAAGTCATGACCAGCGAAGGTCAATTACCAAATTTAGCGAGAGGGGACAGATACTCACCGATTATGACATTGGCTGGCAGTGCCTCGACATATATTGTGAATTGGCAGAATTTAAGATTGGTGGGTCGTTGGGTCTCGTCTCAGGGCTGAATAGTCAGTGAAGATGCCTGAGTTCAATCTCCGATGGGGTCATGGGTACTTGATGCAGAAGAGTCCCAAACAGGGACTCTCCAACTGAAGTCAGTTCATGATCAATCTTGAAAGCAGCCAAGTTCCTACAAATGAAAAATTAGTGTAATCTGGGAAATGGTTTTCGCATCACAAAGTTTAGCGAATTTGAAGGTATTCACGGAGTAGTGTTAATATTTAGTTGCCTATGATATTCAGTACCACCTGTATTATTATTCCGTGTGTTGACTTTGGTGGTTTACTAGTGTGTCTCATCTCCATATCTGCCTATAAATGAGTAGGCTCTGTGTTTAATTCCTTTGCGAACTAGATAACTCAATGTGCTAAATATAACTGGAGTACAAATAGATAGGTGTTCAACTCTCTTGTTACTTCATCAGTTGTTTCGAAGTGTAGTAGTCCGAAATAAGTTACATCTAGTTCGTGGAGAATTTATATCTAATGTCACATAAACTCAAAGATCTACTAGCGAAAACTTGCAAGTTAGCAGGAGAGGCAGGCAGATAAGACAGGACTTCAAGTGAACATATAGAGTAGAGGGAGGCGATGAAGATAACCAACCAACCAACCAACAACAACAACAGTCACCAATTACCATCAACGGGGGAAATTTGAAGGAAGTCACTTCTTTCAGTTATGTAGGCATCATCGTTCCGGCTACAGGAGACAGCACGGATGAAGAATTCAAGGCCAGTCAAAATCAGAAAGTCAAGGGAGACCTTCATTCATCTTAAATCAGTGTAGAGATATTCTTTACTAAGCATAAAAAAAGTAGTCCGGATTTTCAACACTGATGTCAAGAATGATCAAGTGACTTGTCCAGTTTGTCACTGAAGGCATTTCAAACAGATCACTTCAGACTTTCATGTGCAGTTTCCTTCACTAGCTCAAAGATACTAAAAATCAGATGACTGACGAGAAAGGATTAGCGCCAAGGAACTCTGGCAGAGCCTATTGCTGACCAAACAAATATAGCGAAGAAATCGGAGATGGGTTAGACAAATGTTAAGGTGACAGATGATGAGATAGGTCATTGCTAGAGTGGAATCCGAACGGGAAACTATGAGTTGAGTCTTGGTCTGAAGGTAACAGAGAGGGAATGGAAGCTTATGAACAGTCGTGCAACCAGATGAAGAGAACTGCAGAGAACAGGATGAAATCGAGATGAGTCGTTGACGCCCTATGTTCCACCTAAAATCTAAGGGAATATATAATAATTTAATGTTCCGCTCTGACCTGTATCAGTTAGTAGTTGGTGTACGCTATTTGATAAAGAGAACTTTTCAAATTCCCAGTCTTTCATTTTTATAATGGAGATAATTTCTGATTGGTGCTTTTTTCAGGTGTCACAATTTCATCCATTGCCACCAACCAATCAAAATCTGAACACTTCAGCTACTAATCCTGCTGCTGCTACTACAACTACTACTATTACAACTAGTACAGACGCTAATACAACAACTGTACAGGTTGAAGCACCGAAATTATTCAAAGGTCAACTTAAAGCTTATCAAATACGTGGTTTAAATTGGCTTCTTGGTTTATTCGATCAAGGCATTAATGGAATATTAGCCGATGAAATGGGTTTAGGCAAAACCATACAAACTATTGCATTTTTTGGTTGTTTGGCTGAGGTAAGTTTTCATTGAGGTGTTTTTTTTCTTTTAAATATTAACAGTGAATATTTCTTTTTTCCTCACTGAGTATTTTTATATTTTGTTGTAGTCGCTTGACCATATTTTTATTCGGCTTGTTAAATACAGCCAAAATTAAACCTTGTTAAAAGATCTAGAATGCTGTTTAAATCATATTTCGTTGATTGCGTGATAAAACAAGTTGCAATTCAATTAGTTGCTCACTACACGAGAACACGAGAGTATGACTCACACTGTCTGTGTACTTTTTCTTATTCTTGTGCATTTCTAGTAGAAAATTGGGCTTCAAGCTTGAGCTTTGACTTCTCATCAGTAGTATTGGTGCTTACTTTTTTAAAGGATGCGGTTGTTAGCCTCAAGCCCAACCTCCCCTCTTTTCCGGGCCGAATACCGGCTAAGCAAGGTTAAGGATTTCGTTGGTCGGGGACAGAACTCTGAATCACTTTTGTGTGCATTTCGGATTGTGAGGGCGTTTGTTACTTTCCGGCTGCCCACACCGTGGAAGTTGGTTGCGTGACCTCAGAGCCCAGGGGACAACTGTTTGAAGCCGGTCACACGCGGCCTGTTTTTGTTTGTTCTTTATTGTTTGGTGTGTCTCAGTAGCATATTTATCACTCCTGCCCTATGAGACGGCAGCAGGAATCGCGGTCGTTGTCAATCCGGGCCACGGCCGATCCGGTATGATATTTTGTGAATTTCTTTGAATCATGGTATTGGATGGGGTAGCTGCTTTTTGTTTAACCGCTATCCAAACAACCTGCCTGGCATGGTAAAACCTCAAGAGACATAAGTCTCAGCCAGTATAGCGTGATTAGGTCATTGAGATGTTCAAGCCCGACCACCACGTCAAGGTAGCAGCTTTCTGTCGGGACTGAACAGACATAGGAAACAGCTGGCGGTAAACCCATCACGTCCCCAGCTCGATCAGGAAACTAAATCCCTATTTGAGGAAGAACTAGCTAAACACATATCTCAGTTCGACAGCTGTGCTCACCCTGAAGAAGCCTGGAAGAATATTCAGTCAGCCATAGATACAGCTGTAAAAGATGTGAATAAGGTAAATCCAAAGGTGAGTAAAAACCATTGGATTTCGACTGCCTCATCCGAACTGATAGATGCTAGAAGGCTTATTCCGGCGAGCTCGGAATTCAATGAGGAGCGAAAGCTGCACAAAAGGAAACTTACGAAAAGTCTCCGCAAGGACCGTGAACAGTGGTGGGTGGCAAAGGCAAAAGAGGTGGAAAAAGCATCGGCGATAGGCAACACCAGACAACTCTTTAGACTCATCAGGGAAACAGGTGGGAGAAGGCAAATCATAAGTGCGACTATTTCTGAGAGAAATGGCTCTTTAATTAGCTCTCAGGATAGACGCCTTGAACGCTGGAAAGAACACTTTGAGGGACAATTTAACTTGCCCACAGCCACACTGAACCTCCCCCCCCAATCCAGCACACACCCGAATGGGATATAGACACTGGTCCGCCGTCTGTAAGTGAGGTCACAAAAGCTATCAGTAATTTGAAACGAGGCAAAGCGGCAGGACCTGACGGAATTATTCCGGAGGTGTTTATATATGGGGGTGACATACTAGTTTGTAGATTAACTGAGGTGCTAGGCAAAGTCTGGGAATCAGAGACAGTTCCATCAGACTGGGGTAAGTCACTCATTATACCGATATTCAAGAAGGGAAACAAGTCCTCGTGTGATAATCATAGGGGGATCAGCCTAACGAACATAGTCTCTAAAATCCTAGGCTCAGTAATCATGCATAGACTAAGCAGAACTCGGAAGGAACAGACGAAGGAAAATCAAGCAGGCTTTAGACCAGGTAGAGGATGAATAGATCAGATCTTCACTCTTCGACAGATTCTAGAACATAGACACACTTTTCGACGTCCAACAATTGCCATATTTCTTGACTTGAAGGCGGCCTTCGACTCCGTGGATCGACAGGTACTATGGCAATGTCTGACTGTGAGGGGAGTGCCAAGAAAGTACATTGCACTGATCAAGACACTCTATTCAAACTCACATAGTCGTGTAAGGGCTTATGGGGAATTGTCATCTGAATTGGTAACAACCAGTGGTGTCCGACAGGGATGTCTACTTTCCCCATTTCTGTTTAACTTCATCATAGATATGCTGATGGAAGTATCCTTAACTGAACGTAGTGACTTAGGAATCGACTTGTTACCAGGGAATAGTCTTATGGACTTAGAATATGCAGATAACATAACATAACATAAGATAAGCTTTATTCCAAATCAGTACTTGTGATACAGAATGGAATTCTCAGCATTTTACTACAATATTGCATCCAGTTTTTTACATTAACAATAAATAAAGTTCTACATAGATTAAAGTTATCTCAACAACATATTAGTATGTCGGTAGCAAAGCCAAAATTAAAGTGTTTGAAGGTGTTAGAAAAGTAGATACTACTAGCATATTTACTGGCGTAAGCGATAGCAAAATGGTCGAGATATACAGAGTGTGAAAGAACGAACAAGAATGTTTTAAGTAGAGTTTGCAAGGAAGAGAAAAACAAAACAGCACATAACAAAAATAAATACAGAATGAAGAGCGAGAAAACGTTGTACCTATAAATGATGTGAGTTGGAAAGACGAGATCCATTGGTTCTACTGACTATTTAATAAGTTAAAGGTTTCATGCCTGATGCATTCTTTATCGCACAGAACACGGGCTAGGTAGGGTATGGATGAGTTTTTGTACTTACTAGTGCGGGCATATAGTTTCCTATATAGGCTTCTTGTTTTCCCTGAAGAGATACATGGGGAGAGTTGTGAATGTAGAGGGTGTTGTGAGTCAGATAAAATGGATTTCGCCCATTTTTCACATGAGTCCATATGCCTGTCCACCAGAATATTAACAAGCTGGCTAAGTGGCAAACTGCTTACCCTGCTGACAACCTTTAACATCCTACGTAATAAGGTATAGTCTTTCTTCAATAGCCCAGGAAAGACTAAGGGGGAGCAATAGAGAATAATAGGCAGAATACGGGAGTTAACAAATTGTAGGAGTAAGGGTTGGGTTACACCAGAATGTCTTAACTTCTTGATGTAGAAGGTAAGACGGTATATTTTCTTGGAAATCGTCAAGATATGAGACGACCAGGAAAGATCAGAAGATAGAGTGACGCCTAGGTATTTAATTTCCGACTTGGTTTCTATTTCACTGCCATCTATGTTGCACACCTCGTGAGTGCTAACCAGTTTGTTTAGGTCAGATTTATGCCTAAGGTGAAATTAACTGTTTGGCATTTGGAGGGGTTTAAGGTTAGACCGTTTTCCTTGGACCATTGGCTAATTTCCGATAAGAAGCCATTTAGTTTAGAGCAGTCACTTTGACATTTGACAGGTAAAGATACAGTTAGGTCATCAGCATATTTGACAAAGTTAATGTCATTTGAAGACGGTAGGTCATGTAGGAAGAAAGAAAAGAGAAGTGGGGAGAGTACAGCACCTTGGGGGACACCAGCTTCTGTGAGCACAGCAGAGGAGGATTGGCCTTTGTATACGGTGTACTGCATTCTGTTTGAAAAGTAGGAATGCAACCAGTTAGTGACCCAGGACTCGGTTTGTGTCATGGAGAGCTTATTTAGCAAGAGACTTCTAGGTACAGAGTCGAAAGCAGAAGTAAAGTCAAGAAACGTGCAGCGGACATATTTGGCACCTTTGTCTAATGATGAGATAATACTGTTGTGTAAGACGGCTGCAGCGTCTAAAGTACTCCTACCCTGTCTGTAGGCAAATTGTTTGGGGTCTTCGAAGCTTTTAAGGGAGGGTTCGAGTTTAAGAAGTACTAGTTTTTCCATGAGCTTTAGAAACGGGGAAGTGATGGCGATGGGTCTGAACTTTACGTTCTTGCTATTTCCAGGTTTAGGGACAGGGACTATTTTAATGTCTTTCCATGGAACAGGTACAACGTTTTCGGAGAAAGAAGCATTTAGGATATTAGTTAGAGGAAAACATAAAGCATCTGCACATTGTTTTAGAACATATGCAGGTATGCTATCAGGGCCAAGACTATGTGAGGGCTTAAGAGTTTTAAGACATTTCAAAACATCGAGAGTATTGAAGTCCTGGAAGTTATCAGCTACAAGATTGGTAACGTTAGAAGTGGTTATAGTAGAAGGAGAGCGTAAAAAAGACAGATTAAGAGCATTAACATCACAAGAGGGAAAAACATTACATCGCTTACTTTTGCCAGTAATTTCATTGAAAAGTTTCCACATGCTGTTAGGAGATTTGCATGATAAAAGTGTTTGGTTATAGATAGCATTAAGATTTTTGATTTCAGATTTGATTTGAGCATTAATCTTTTTAAGTCCTAACTTGTCTTTGCATTTATATAACATTTCTTTTTGCCTGCGAAGTTGTTTGAGACGGGGAGACGAGAAGCGGTCGAGGCGTTTGAACAGTGTTTGTTTGGGACAGCATATGTCGAGGCAGAACTTAAGATAATCCATTATATTGGTGATTGAGTCATCTAATGTACTTTCATAGAATAGATCCCAGTTGGTATCTTTTAACATGCATCTTAGATTGAGTAAGTTGTCAGATGTGTAGCATCTTTCTTGTGCTTCGTAGACAGGTGTGAGAAGATTTTAATATGTGTTTTGCTGTATATTTTTGGCAAAACGCGGACAATGCAGTGATCGGAGTTATGTATCGGTGAACGTCTACGTGTTTCATATACTCCTTCGTCATTAGTAAAAACGAGTCGAGTGTTTTGTCAAGTCGAGTGGGAAATTTGACTATGTTTGTGTGACCAAGAGCTTCAAGAAAGGAGCAATCCGATGTGTTGAAGTCTCCAGTAATAACGGATAGAGAGTTGTCGAAGTTGGCAGCAGCAAACATGGTGAATTCATCAGCAAAATTAGATAGATCAGATGGAGAGCAACTAGGAGAAATGTACATGTTTGTAATATAGAATTGTTTATATTTGGGGAGATGTTTGGGGCGACATTTGACAGTAATACAGTCAATGAAGTCATTTGAGAAGGTGAAGCAGACGTTATTTGAGACAGACCATTTGGAGTGAATAAAAGTTGCAACGCCACCACCATTTTTCTTATTACAACATTGACGGTCTTGACGAAATAAAATAAAGTCCTTTAGTGAGATAAGGTTGTCATCATACAGTTCATGCAACCACGTTTCTTGTAATGCGATTATGGCGGTGTTATGATACGTATCAGTTGACATCAGGGATTGTAGGTACATTATCTTATTTGGCAGAGAGCGACAGTTTGAGTTCATTATGACGGGGACCGTAGTTAAGTGTATTGGTGTACGTTTGAGAGCTCTCTGCCAACCACTACGATGTTTCCTTCTTGGTTTCTTTGGAATATGAAAGTCATTTGGTCGTAAATCATTAATAAAGTTACGAGAGTAAATGATTCTGTTAGAATTCATATTTAAGTGATAAATGTGTGCTGGTAAACAGTAAACTGGATGCAAGTCCTGTTAGAGGAGGATGATGACAAAATCCAGCAGAGTCTTCTGAACACCTTCAGCAGCAATCTTCGTATGTTTGGCATGCGATTCGCCCCTGCAAAATGTAAGATGCTGCTACAGGACTGGACTACGTCAACTCCTAGCTTAGTGATAGGGAGTGAAGTGATAGAACATGTTGACCACTTCACCTATTTGGGAAGTTGTATCAGCACCAAGGGACTGATTGGCGATGAAATCTCAGCAAGGATCCGAAAAGCTCGAGCTGCTTTCGCCAACTTACACCATCTCTGGCGTAGGCGTGACATCCGTCTATCAACCAAGGGACGTGTGCACTGCTCAGCAGTTCGCTCCGTCCTTCTCTGTGGCTCTGAAACATGGCCAATACGCTTTGAAGACATGAAAAGGTTGACTGTTTTTGATCATAGATGTCTACGATCTGTCTCACGTTAGGTGGTTTAACAAGATAAGTAATGTTGAAGTTAGGCGTAGAGTGTTGGGCAAACAGGGAAAATCAATCGACGAGGCTATAAAGTTACATAGACTAAGATGGCTAGGTCAGGTGCTGCGCATGCCTAACCATCGCCTGCCCCCGCCGACGGGTATTACTAGCTGATATAGAGGTGCAGGCTGGAAAAGAGTAGGTGGTGGCCAAACAAAAACATGGCCTCATCAATCCATGAAAACCTTGACAGTTAAACTGAGTCAGGTAGGGAGATGCAGACTTCCGGGTTGGGGCCCTCGGGACTGACTCTAGGAATCAATGGGTGGAGGCAATAGGTGACATGGCTCAAAATTGTTGTCAATGGCCAGGGCAGATGTATTCAGTCTCTGTAATCTTTCATATTCCTTTCTACCATTACCCATTCTGTTTCACTCTTATACTAGTCAGACTTTATTGATTCTCTTCACTCATCTTCTTGTCTACCTCTGTGTGCTATTTGAAACGTGGCAACTCGAACTGGTGCACTTCGGTGTCAAGTTCTATGTTGAATTCAGACAGACAGACAGACCTGAATCACTGACGCACTGAACCTGGGCTGCCTGGATGAAGGCCAGGAATCCTAACCACTATATCCCACGAGATAAATGCTTAGCTCAAGGCTCTGTCAAGACTCTAACTCGGTTCGCCAGGTTCAGAGTGCTAGCCGCTACACCATAAGGCCTATAGTTGAAAAAAGACGCATTTGTGCTATTGTATTTGAATAGCATAAGAATATGTCGTTTACTTTCAGTCGTATAAAAGCTTATAATAATTTCTTTGTGGATCAAGTTAAAGTGATTTGAACAAAGTTTTGATCTAAACGGAGATAGAACAAACGTTAGTGCAAAATATAATATATTTTTTATATTGTTTTATTATTCACTTGTGTTCCGGGTGAAAAATGGGGCTTTAGTAACACATCTCTACTGTGTTCTGTTTTCTGCCGTCCTCTTCAGCTGGGTCCACGATTGACCAAGCTTTCTTATCTCTTCCTCAAACGATCTTCTCCATGTCACTCCAGGACGACCCACTCGTCGCTTCCCGTTTAGACTTCACTTGAGAGCCTGGCGTGTGGTGTCATTCAGTGGCTTCCCCATTGTATGCCTGATCCATCTCCACCTTCTCCTACATATTCTTTGAGCGATCGAATCTTGGTTGGTTTGTTCCCATAGTCTCGTTGCTTATTCTTTCTGACCGTTTGATCTTCAGTATCAAGCTAGCGAAGGCAGCTGTTGATGAAAATCTGCAACCTGTTGGAAATCCTTCTCGTGACACGCCAAGTTTTTGACCTGTATAGAAAAACCGACTTCACATTGGTGTCGAAAATGCGAATCTTGTTCCTAATGCTGAGTGCTGAAGATTTCCAAACTGGTCTGAATTTGATGAAGGCGTATCTTGGCCTTTCTGATTCTAACTTTGACATCTAGGTCCATTCCAACTTTCTGTTGTTGAAACGACGCTTCCCAGATAAGTGAAGGGGGAAACCTCTGTTTCAACCTCGGGCCAACCCCTAACTCGTCTTCCATCATATGGGTTGCACTCGAACCGTAGCCTGGCGTGTAACATCATCCGACGGTCTCCTCATTGTGAGTTCTATCCATCTCCGTTTTCTTCGGCATATTTGTTGAGGAATAGGTTCTTCATTGTTTTGTTCTCAGAGTTTCTTGTTACTAATCCTTTCTCGTCAGCCTGAAGATCTTCAGTATGGAGCCAGTGAAGGAAGCTGTTACTAAAAGTCTGCACTACCAAGTTGGAAATTATTTTGGTGACACGCCAAATTTCTGACCCATCTATCTAGAAGAACTGACTGACTTAAAACATTTGTGTTGAAAAACCGAGTCTTGTATACTGAATAACTAATCATATTTGGATAAATGTTTTCTATTTCCTTTTCGTCTTTTGCGAATTAAAATTGTTCAACATATGTTGGTGAAAATGCAATACAATTGATGGGAAAGCAATACGCCATCATTCCACTATATTCGGCATCAGTATATATGGTACGTCGGTGGCACAGCGGTTAGGACGTTCGCCAACCATGCACATGGTCCGCAGTTCGATCCCCGGCCGACGCACTCCTTTACCTAGCTAAGCCGGAAATAATGCTGGTAAAGAGGAAAGGTTGGGCATGAGGCTAGCAACCCCATCTTGTAAAATTAAACACTGCTACATGATGCCTGTAGCATAGATGGCACTGAAATTGAAACCAAGTCAAGCATTAAATACCTTGGATAGTCCTTTCCTGTGACCTTTCATGGTCATCCCACATCTTATCAATCTCTAAGAAAATGTTTCGTCTCAGCTTCTACATTAAAAAGTTAAGACAATCAGGTATCAACCAACGTTTATTTCTGCAATTTGTAAACTCCTGTATTTTACCTATTGTACTCATTCCTTACTTACTTACTTTACTTCGGCTATCTCCTACGGGAGGATGAGCCGGCTTCATAAACCATGAAGTTTCATGGGAATTTGGTACGAGTGATGTCCCCAGCATCGCTCGGCCTTTTGTTTGAGAGTGCAGCTCTAGCCTTTACACAGCCAAGTGTGACCTACAAGGCAGTAGGAGTGGAGTAAGGAGTCCACTATCCATTGGCAGCCGGTGACCGGAGTCCGGTTCATTCGCCTTTTTGAATGGGGCCAGTCATCCAGGGCATCCAATAAGCCCTTTGTCCAAACGTCTGCCGGTGAGCTTCATACGCCAGTCGTTGGAGGTTTGGAATCAGGATTTAGCCATCTCCCCTAGACTGTCATCCAATGGACAGTCAACCCGGTGAAGAGCGCCGGGCATCCGCTTTTGCCCTCTCACTTTGGTGAAAAACACCTCCGCCACGTGAAGGCAGTGAGTAGGACTTCCTCAGGAGAGGCTATGTAAGACGCCCGGTCATATGGGAGCATTTCAAGAGGTGTACGGAGGGGTGGCCAACCCGCAGCGCAAGACACCCACCCCCGACCATCCTGAGGCTTTGGAGGCTTGTACTCATTGTACTCATTCCTGGGCTTCTCAAAAAAGATTATATCATATTACGAAGGGTATTAAATGCTGTGAGTAGGGCTTGTGGTTTGCCACTGCGTGAAGTCGACAATACTATAGTCGAGAGACATAAATTCCTGTACAAGATGGGCAAAGACCGTACTGTCAGACCCTCTGCGCCCCTTTATTCGCAACTATCCCATTGTATCTCATTAGGTAGGACGAGAAGTCAATATAAGAAGTTATATGCCCGAATCACTAAGTACAAAAATTCTACAATACCGTATTTAACCCGTATTTTATGTGATGAAGACACTGTTAGACGTAAAACACTTATTTTTATTTTTGATTACAGCTCGATTCCACACAGTACTTTATGGTACAAGTATGGAATTTTCAGCATGGATATCGGAAGCCCAAATTTTGCAGGCCAACCATAGATATCAGGTGTGCGTCGGCAGGGGATCGAACGTCGGACCAGGTGCATGGTCGGCGAGAGTTCTAACCACTGTGCCACCAACGCACATATAAGTTACTGTATAATTAGCAAAGTGAATCGACCCTTTCATTGTTCATCTTTCTGTAATTTTATGCTATAATAACGTTCTGTTATTATTATTGTTATTATGTAATGTTTATTTTTCTTCGTTTTGAGTAAATCAGATGCAATATTGTACTGAATGCTGAAAATTCCTTGCTGTATCATTAGTACTGTTTTTGGAATAAAGCAAAAATTATTAGTATTAAACTTCAAGCCACTAGCTTGTGGCGCTACGTTCCACTGGGAACGTGAAGGAAAAATAATAATAAAATTTCGTTTTCATCTTTTGCGAATTATAATTGTTCAAGATATGTTGGTGAAAATGCAATACAATTGAAGGGGAAGTATAACGCCATGACACCAGTATATTTGTAGAACTTATTCCGTAATGTCTTGGAAATGTTTAGCATGTATTGGATTATACATGATTGCCTTTTATTGTTATTTTTTTTTTTTTACAGAACTACAATATTTGGGGTCCATTTTTAATTGTTACACCATCTTCCACTCTGCATAACTGGACACAGGAATTTGCAAAATTTCTTCCAGAATTTCGTTTAGTCCCCTATTGGGGTACACCAACAGAACGTAAAGTTCTACGTCGATTTTGGTCGTCTAAACGATCTTCAAACTCTGATGAAGGCTTTAATGAATCTAGTGATATAAATTTTGGACACGTTGGCGTTAAAGATTCCCAGCTTCATGTTGTAGTCACAAGTTATCAAGTGGTTTTACAAGATGCAAAATTCATTAATAAAACTGCATGGTCGTATATTGTCTTAGATGAAGCACATGCTATTAAAAGTACATCAAGGTTTGTTGTCTTGGAGTGCTCTATACTTTAAAGTTATTATTTATTATTAATATTTTATACATAGATTATATATATGTGTATGCTTTGTTTCACTCAGTTTTTATAAAATCTTCATCAGGATTTGCCTGTTGGCCCATATTATTACAATAAGTTTAATGGAGAGATATCAGTCAGTATTCAACAATAGTTGAGGCAGATCTAATTCATTCTGGATTATTCACGTTCACAATTATCGATCGTGTATTGGTTTACAGGAATATGATTGGTTCCAGGTTTGATCACGAGCTGACATTATTATTTAGAGAACCATCAGTACCCGCTCATAACCATTGTAACTGTCAGCTCCCGCGTTCGAACCCCGGCAGGTGCGTACCACTGAAGAGTCCCGGACTGAGACACAACAACTTTTCAATACACCCTAGTTTCGCAGTGGTTGTCTAACTGATGGCCATTGTAAGTGGAAGAAATGAAAAGACTAGTTGTATTTGATCATATGTGCCTGTGTTCCATCTCCTGTTTTGAGTGGTATAATAAGGTGAACAATATTGAGGTAAGGCGTCGAGTGCTAGATAAGGAGGGGAAATCAAACAACGAGGTTGTGGAGTTACACAAGTCGAGGTGGTTAGGACAAGTGTTATGCATGTATGCCTAGCCATCACCTTCCTCTAGGGGCAATGTTAGCTGACATAGGATAAGGTTGGAAAGGAGCTAGCGGTTGTAAAATCAAAAAATGACTTTAACAGTCAATAAAATCCACAACAATTAGCTTTAGCCGTGTCGGAATGTTAAGACTTCATGGACTGATCCCATGTTTTGGTTTGACCACTACTAGCTCTTTTCCAGCCTGTTTGATCCTTTGTCAGTAAACATTGCGCATCGAAGAAGGTGATTTTTTTTCCCTTCATGTTCTCCAGTGGAACATAGGGCTTCAAGCTAGTGGCTTGAAGTTTCCGTAGTAGCGTTTATTTTACAGGATGGGGTTGCTAGCCTCATGCCAAACCTTTCCTCTTTACTAGCATTATTTCTGGCTTAGCTAGGTAGAGGAGTGGAAGAAGGTGATGACTGCTAGGAAATACGTAACACCTGTTCTAGATGTCTTAATCAATGTAGCTTCACAACCTCATCATTTGACTTTCTCTCCTTGCCTAACACACTCTACGTTTAGAGCTCAGTATTACTCACTATTATGCCACCTAACATGGGAGATAAAACGCAGACACGTATGATCAAAAACAGTTAACCTTTTCATGTCTCTATACTTTCAATGGCTATGTTTCACAGCGATTATAAGAAGACGGTGTGTAGTAGTACGCACGTCCTTAGATCGGTAGCTGAACTCCCTTATTATACTGTCAGTAAGTTAGGTAATTGTGTTAATATAAAGTGCAAGATTATTTCTGAACGCGGAAGATTAGAGCTTTATAAACCTGCCATTCACCATCATGCATTCTGGTGACATTTTTATAAAATTTTGAAGTCAGTTAAACTGCAGTCCCAAATAATAATTCGGACCTCCTTCGCTTTAGTAGACCGAGTTCCGAGAAAATGGAAGAAAAGGTGTAACAGCAGTTTTCCATTCTTACATCTATTGCATATGTAACAGCCAAAACTGACGTGTTGTGGTCTGAACACAGGAAACCAACCTCCGTGTTCTAATGTATAGCTAACCAGGTTACTTAACTTAAAAGGGATCAGTCATTCTAGATCTACCCACTACATCACTGTGTTAAATCAGATAAACTTATCCAAACTACCACAGTGCCAAAGTTCTACACTTACGTCTAGAATCTTCTTCATTCTCTCATTTTTTTAGCTTACGATGGAAAATTCTGCTGTCTTTTAAATGCCGAAATCGTCTCCTACTAACAGGAACCCCGATTCAAAATACAATGCAAGAGGTAAGCGTATGATTGATACAAAAAATTATTCTCAAGAGTTATTTGTTTCATGTTTGATGATTAGCTAACTCTTGAAAATTAATCTGATGCTTGCTAGGGACTGGCTCACTGGAGCTCTAGTGAGAGAGGTAGTGACCAGTGGCGGTCCATCCAGCTGGGCACAGTGACACTGGCCGGTGGTGTCGCATCAATATTACGAATTGGTAGACGTTAGAATTCATAGACCATTGGATTCCGTCCCAGGGGCTGGATGGTCTACTAGCTTCCCTTGTAATCGAAAGGTTTAAACCCCAGTGGTTGTGTACTACAGAAGCGTCTCAAACTAAAACGAAACAGGTGTATAGTACTCCCCTTTCGTTTTCCAATGATTCTCTCAATGACGTCAGCTCGTGGTCGAAATTAAAACAAAACAAATTGATTAGTTGTCGAAATGTAATATTATCCAAATAATCACTAAGAGAAAATCAGTCAACGCTTTTTATTCTGAGGTAAATATATTATCTATCTTTTTTTGTAGGGTCATTATGAAGTGTATTGGCATCTCTTAGAAATTGTGTGGATTATCTATCTAGTGTTACAATCGTTACAACAGGTTAAGCATTGATCTTTGTCTGCAAAAATGACTGAGTAAATTTCAGCATAGAGCTTTTGCACAGAAGTGCAGCGATTCAAGTGACTGCATTCCATGTAGCACAGAAAATGAGACAAAAGAGAGAAAAAACAGATTCAAAAGTACTGTAATAAACAGAAGTGTGTGTGTGTGGGGGAAAGAATACTATCATTGGAAAAAACGAGGATTCAGTGGATATGAGAGATCTGATAGAGGGGAACCATTGTGCCCTGTCTTATTTGGGGACTCCTCACGAGTGATGGTCTCACTGAGACTCAAATGCGTATATGCCAAAATAAAGTTTTTTATTAGAGGCCAAAAGTACCAACAGAAAATCACAAGTGCAAACAGATTATGTCGAAGCATACTCATTAAACAAAAAAGTGGTTGTTTTAAGTCAGTGACGAAGCCTAGGGAACAGCACATTAATGCTTGAAACGATAGGTTTTCGGTTTGCGTTATAGTGAGAACAAAATCCCTCCCACCCTGCGATACAGTCATCTTCACTCGTGAAGTCCAGAAACAAGGCGAAACTCCCTGAATTCTAATGCCAACCATCATCAAATTAATAACTTCAAGAATTTAAATTTGTTTTATGTGATAATACTTAATCAACATCACCAGTCAGCAAGGCGTATCTAAAATCTTGAAGAAACTCATATCCCTTCTGAGATTCCAACCTGTGTCAGTCACTGGTGCAGTAAGAGATGTTACAACTGTAGGACTATATTGGACACTTTGATTGAACACCAGTTACCATTTTGTTTTTCGTTCTCTGATGCATTCCCACTAATAATTTGTTGACATTTCCTTATTTTCTTTTTTCTTTTCGTCGTTTATGCTTGTTTGAATGTATACAGCTATGGGCATTGTTACATTTTATTATGCCAACTTTATTTGATTCACACGATGAATTCGCCAATTGGTTTTCACGTGATATTGAATCACAAGCTAGTGCAACGGCTAGAACAGGTGTTACCGGTGGTGGTGGGGGTAGTGGCGCTTTGATAACATCAAAGTTGAATGAAAATCAATTATCTCGACTACATTTAATTTTAAAGCCATTTATGCTGCGTAGAACAAAAACTGAAGTTGAACATGAAATATCTACGAAGGTAAGATTTTAAAAATAATCCTACTCCACTCAATTTGCTGTTTTTTTTTAAAGTTTAATCGAGGTTTTCTAAGATTTATTTGTTTTCAACATTTCTTCTATTCCCTTGTATTCTGAGTGGAACAGATGAAATGAAGCTTTGAAATCTCAGTGTTGTTTTTTTACGAGTTAATGATATTGCGGTGGGTTGGATTATATGGCAAACTGTACGTGGGGAGCGAGGAGATAGGAATACTTTGGATCGATAAGAGGACTATAGAAGATCTGAGCCTCCCGGAAGATTTACGTCTAGTGTCACACAAACTCGAAGAAATACTGGTGACAACCAACGAACTGGTAAAACAAGCTGCAAAGACTGAACTTCAAGTGAACATAGAGGAGACGGAGGTAATGAAGATAATCAGTACCAATCACTGTCAACAGAATAAGTTTGAAAGAGTTCAAATCAACTGTAGTCAAGATTTGACAGAATAGTTCTAAAATATTTGGGCGCCGAGTGAGAAGTAGACATTTGCAAAAAATTTTTATTTGTAAAATCTCAACGAGACTGAAATGAGTAATTCCAACGTTTCGTTCGACAAACTGGTCCGAACTTCTTCAGGGAAATTAATCGAAATCAACATAACAGAGGTTTATATATATATAAAAGGAACATCTCTTATTTTTAAAAACACTTTGTCCAATCATGAGTCATAAAACAGGCATCAACATGTACAATAAACAAAATTGTATGAGTTGTGATCAAAATTTGACCTCAGACTTACAAATATTGATCTACCTTTGTTAAACACTTTAAACACAGTGTGTATGTGTGCGGATAAACAGTTGTAAAACAATGTCTTAACGTCTCCATAAGAAGAAATAGACAGTCAGGAACTTTGACCAAGTATTATTAATTAGTGATACATATCCATTCTTATTTATCAATCAGGATTTCCTATGCGTCAGCTAACATCACACCTTCATGTCTGTTCAAACTGTTAGTATCTAGAAATTTTATGATTAAACGTATTTTCAAAATTATGGTGTTTAGGATTAGAGTTTAGTTGAAGCACCCTGTCGAACTTATTGCTTTGTCTTCTTTCTGAAAATTAAGCTGATTTATTCGACCTACTGGAGTTGTCAGGTGACTCGACAGCTACGGATTTAGGATACGCATTCTGTTGCAGGCAATGGAGAGTGGAAACCCGATGATTGTGCCGATTATATATAAACCTCTGTTATGTTAATTTCGATTAATTTCCGTGAAGAAGTTCGGACCAGATTGCCGAATGAAACGTTGGAATTACTCATTTCAATATCGCTGAGATTTTACAAATATAATTTTTTACAAAAGTTTGAAAGAGGTTACTTCCTTCACCTGTCTATCCAACTACAGGTGATAGCACTCAAGAGGATGTCGAAAACAGTCACGATCGGAATTTAAAGGCTGACCTTCATCACTCTAAAGTCAATTTGGAAATCTGCATTTAGCACAAACAACAAGATTCGGATTTTCAACACCAATCTGAAGTTAGTCAGTTCTTCTTTATGAGTCAGAAACTTGGCCCATAAGTCACGAAAAGTATTTCGAATAAGCCACTGCAGACTTTTATCAACAGCTTTCCTCTCAAGTTACATACTCAAGATCAAATGGTTGGCCAGAAAGGATTAGCACCAAGAAGCTCTTGTTGGCAAAGAACCGATCAGGCACCTGTTGGCCAAGAAATTTGTTGAAAAAAGTGGGGGTGGATCAGACGCACATTAAGGAAACCAGTTGATGAAATCGCGCGTCCAGAAAACCTCTCCAGTGGAACCCGAGTGTGAAAGGACAAGCTGGGCGCTGTTCTAGGATGACATGGAGGAGATCGCGTGAGATGATGAGTTATGGGCGATCTTGGGGCCAGCTGAAGAGAACTGCAGAGAGCATGATGAAACGAAGATGTGGTGTTGGAGCCGTGTGTTCCTCTTGAAACCCGAAAGAATAATAAATACATTTTCCGAGAGAGGGTTGCCAGCTTCACACTCAACCTTATGTCTCTCCCAAGTTTATTACTGACTAGTAAACTGGGTGAGGTTTAATAGTGTTTCAGCTGTGAATCGAACTTCAGACCACGTGCTTGTCTGGCTAGTGTTCTTCTATTAAACCACCTATGCATCTTTACAACACTTAATAGATCTAGATGATTCAGTCTTTTTCAAACTACAGAATAGTGTTTTAACGTCCACATAGAACAGATTCATTAAGTACCTTGAAATAGCATGTTAAATTTCTTAACATTATTGATCTCTTTTTGATGAATCTAGTCCTATGAAGTCAAATCATTTTATAATCCTAGCTGTTAAATCTCACGTGTTTGAGAACTATAACTGATGTGGATTTTGTCCCTGTTTAGACTCATCAGCAAGTGGTATTCACAAGTGTGGTGAAACTTATTTTTAACGTATTTTATGTCGTTATCCAGTGTCCTGGCCGCCGGAGTAGCTCAGCACGAAGAGCGTTAGACTGAAGATCTCAATGTCCCCGGTTTCATCCCAGTTTCCGGCGAGTGTGTACACCTTGAGCGTCAGTGGCATAGCGGTTAGGACGCTCGCCGACCATGCTCATGGTCCGGGGTGCGATCCCCGGTAGACGCATTCCTTTACCTTGCTAAGCCAGTAGTGAGACTGGTAAAGGGGAAAGGTTGGGCATGAGGCTAGCAACCCAATCCAGTAAAAATAATCAACACTGCTACAGAAACTTCAAGCCTCTAGCTTGGAGCCCTATGTTTCACTGGGGAACGTGAAGGTAAAAAAATCCAGTGTCCTAACGAATTCACTAATTTATTCAAAACTTTTCACAAAAGTGAATTAGGTCAAGTTAATATCTTTCGAAAGTGTACATCAGAGTATAGAAAAGATATGAAGCTATGATGCATACAGATATACGCTTTAGAGAGTAGTTATATAAAGATTGGTCATAGACTATAGAATTTTGAAGATGAGCAAGAGTGATTACATCTTTGACGTTGTAATAGATTTTAAGCTGTTTCACAATCAGTTTCCAGCCATTAATTCTTAGCATCCTGTGGTCGCCAGTCAGGATACTCTCACTTACTCATATGACTCAAAGTCTTAGTCAACAACTTCAGAAATCGATGCCATGGCATCATATCGATCACCCCTTACTCTTCTGAATGTAATCCCAGTTCAGACAACTTGAGCTTTCAATGAAGGTTTTTGCTCGAAGAGTGCACTAGAAGTATATACATTCAAGCAGTTTGATATCAGATTGCTCATTCATAAAATGATGCCAACTGGTTTTAAGACGAGAAGACACTTGAATATGCAGTCTTTTTTATGAGTATTCAGAACGTTTGTATCTTAATTACATCCAGTAGTTATTATAAGTGCTTATCTCCAAATATTTCTGTTGAAAAGTCGTTGAGTTTTTTAGTCAAAAGTCATATTCCAAAACTCATCTTCGTAGCTAAATATGCGATGAAACATACATAAGTCTAAGTAACAAGCTATTGCGCCTCATCACCCTAGTCATAATTTCTTCGCTATTCATCAATCAACCACACCTTAGGTGAGTGCGATAACATATCTTCTAGCTTTGATTTAGGAGTCAGTCATTTCGTCCTAATGTAGAACTCCTCAACGGTACATTCCTATAAACCCAACATGAATATAATGTCAGGTAACGAAGATAAACTTCTTGATGAAGCTATGCGTTTCAGACTATTGGGGTGGTTGGAATTGATGTTATGGGCGCTTTCGCAAAGCCTCTGTGAAAGAATAATGTTAGCTGAAATGAGATTGAGTTGAATAAAAGTAGCTTTCCAACTCTAAAATTTACACTAATCTATTCTGTCTTGGACCATTGGTATGAAATGTATAAAGATTCAGATCACCTGGTTTGGATCCTCAGTGTTGAAGAATAATGGCTATAGAATCTTAGCGACACGACTTTGAATCCCCATCGCAATACTAAATTTGTAATCACGCTTTTTCTTGTTCGAAATTGAACAAATTATTGAGGTTTTATTTACTTGGTGGATGGTGACTAGCAATAGAATCCAGGATGTGCATTTCGTCCTGCTTGGGACTCGTCAGCTGGACATACCTGTATTTCCCAGTGAGCGATGATTTTCCCACTGGGGCTCGAACCCGGTGCCCATAGTTTCAAACGACAAAGCGTTATCCACTAGACCACTTGGGCCACGAGAGCCACCTCTTGTGCAAGGGGTCATATTAATTTAATTCAATTTAAGATTTTCCCGTCGATTGATTGGACCGAAGTGCTCGGTTGACGTGGAAGCCGACATGTCAACCTGAGACCGAGCACTTCGGTCCAATCAATCGACAGGAAAATCGAAAATTCAATTAGTGAGGCTTTATTTAGTTACTGTTTCTTTTCTCACCGATTATATGTCTTTTTCTGTATTATATTCTGTGTCAAAATGTGATGACTCTTGAAACGTCTTTTGTAGGGATTTTTACCTCGATCTATCTTTCTGTATGTATGTATGTGTTGCTTCATTCCTGTTGTTGTGATTTTATGCAGAAATATATTTCAATTATTATGTTTCAATGGCTAAAGAGGAAAGGTTGGGTGTGAAGCTAGCAACCCTATCCCGTCAGAATGAACACCACTACCACCGAAGTTTCGAAGCTCTAGCTTGAAGCTAGGCTATATATTCCATTGAGGAAGTAAAGCAACAAAATAAAATGGTAAAAAATATATATTTTGCTTACTATTCATAGCAGAGTTACAATCTTCATGCATTTATTCCCCTTGATGAATCTGAATAAAACAAGAATAACAGTAGTTAGTGCAGAATTATATGGTACCATCGTTTATTTCGTTGGCTTCTCATCAACTGCTAACAGTCTAAATAAATTATGAGGTTTATGTACAGAAAAGTTTTAACATACTTGCAAATTTTACATGTTATCAGTTGACAGAGAGTTCCACAATTAGGGAACAGTGCTAAGAAAATTGTGCTTATATAGTCTTTACACAGGCAGTTCAAGTTTAAACAAAATAAATGTATGCATACAATGGCAAAGGAGTTACGTAATAAAGACGAAATATGCGTTAGATGCAGAGTGGCTAATAAATTAGGTAACTAGGTACTGAGTTCAACTTACGTCACAGAAACAAGAGACAAGCAAAATTAGAGATTATAAAAAAGGGGGTGAGGTTAAAGACAAGGATTAAGTAATCAGATGAGAGAATAAAGACATCCAGTTACCAGGGCAAGAAAAGAATAATAACTGCTTCTTTCTGAACACATAAAACTGGTGTGAAGCGTTTGATAGGAATTGCTTCGGCAAACTTGAAGAGAATCGAGCTCCTTTGTCTACTGATAATTTTATAGGATTTCTCGATCTCCACCTCATGACCCCGTGTCGAAGAGATGTCTGTTAATAGCGCTACTATAAGAGTTTTTTCCCTTGAGACACGTAGAGTTACAATCATTTCTGTTTAATTTGTATATGTTTTTTAGACAGAAATCATGTTATATTGTCCTTTAAGTTGTCGACAACAAATACTATACGAAAGATTACGTAATAAAATTCGTCTGGAAGATTTAAGTTCAATCATGTCATCGGATGCTTATTCCAACACTTCTACTATGGACAGTTTGAATTCGTCATCATCGTCAGCGACAGCGCATTTAATTAATTTAGTTATGCAATTAAGAAAAGTCTGTAATCATCCTGATTTATGGGAACGTCGTGATGTTAATTTCTCATGTATTGCTGGACAAATAGAACCGAACAGTTGTCAGAATTTATACAATTCAGAAATTAAATACTGTAACAGTAACACTACCGGTATCTATAATAATTGTAATCGTTGTACAGATTGGAGATTACCAAATTTATTATATGAAGAAGGTATGTTTCTCGTGTGCCTTTATCTTTGCATTGTGATACTTACCCTGAAATGTAATTCACCCATCATATTACAAAACGTTTCTTTTCATGTACACTAGCATCTAAAATAAATTTCTAACTTTTCTGCAGTAAATAGGGCAAATTTCAATGCCTAAACGTAATGTTTAAAGTTAAAATGGTTGTCCACAATCATGCTTTTATGTTGTTGTTGATATTTCTGATTATCTTTAGCTTATTTAAAAACGCCTTTATTCACACTCCCTGTTTCCTTTTGCATTCTAAATTAGTTAAGTGTTGAATTTCTGAGAATTTGCGTTGGTTTACTTCAATGTCGACCTCGTCAAAAATCGAGGTCAGCTAGTAGAAGCATTGAAAGCTAGAGAGAATTGGTTTGCTACTTCCTTTTATTTTGAGACTCTTTAGATGTAGAATTTAAATCGTGATCCACAACGGAAAACTCAGCGAGGCGTGGAGTAAACACAGGAGTCAGATAAGGGTGCTTATTATCACCAATGATATTCCGAATTGTGGTGGACTGAATTATGCGACAGATAGTAGGAAATGAGAAGACAGGAGTATCCTGGACCGACGTGAAGAACCGGGAAGACCTGGATTTCGCGCGTGGATGATTTTCGTTTGATGTCACACAAAATCGAAGACTTACATACGAAAACCGACAAACTAGTCGAAGAAGCAGCCGGCGAAGGAAGGACTCCAAGTGAACATACACAAGACGGAGGTTATGCAAATAACCAACCAGCAACAACAGCAGCAGCAACATCCAGTGCCAATCACCATCAACGGGAGGGATTTGAAAGAGGTTACTTCATTCACTTATCTAGCATTGAGCATTGTCTCAACTACAGGCAGCCGGAACGGACGAGGATGTCAAATCGAGCGAGAATCGGGAAGGCGGGCGAGAAACACACTCATCAACCTGAAATTAATCTGGAAATCTTCGTCACTCAGCCAGGATCAACAACAAAATTCGGTAGGATTTTCAATACAAACAACGTCAAGTCAATCAGTTCTTCTATACGGATCGGATGAGAAACTTGGCGAGCGGGCGGGTCACAAAGAATATTTCCAACAGGCTGGCTATTGCAGACCTCTATCAACAACTAACTGTCATCGCTAGATCTATACTGAAGATGAGATGGCCAGGCCGGAAAGTATCACCAACAAGAAACTATGACTGAGAACAAACAAAACAAAACAAGAACCAATCGCCAACCAACAAATATGCAGGAGAAAGTGGAGATGGATGGATTGGACATTCGCTGAGGAGTCCGCTGGATGACATCCCGCGCGTGTCAGGCCATCGCTCGAGTGGAATCCGAAAGGGAAGCAAGCGGCGAGTGGGACGTTAGTGTGAAGGTGACATGGAGGAGATCGTGTGAAGAGGAGTTGAAACAGTATGGACGAACATGCATGAATGCAGGTGAAAAGTACAGCAGAAGGAAGACAGAAGGAAGTGGAGACATGTAGTTGAAGCCCTATGTTCCACTAGGAACCCAAGGGAACAACAATAATACTAGTAATAGATGTAGAATTTATATCGTGAATTGATAAAAAATAGGATTAATGACCCAATAAGTTCTAGCCTAGTGGCTGAATGATGTAAGGTGCTTAGATTGTAATATGAGGTTTCAGGTCTCGGTTTCTTGTGCAGTCACATTACTGGGTATCATATATATACATAGGATCGAAAGTCATACCTAATTACATGATGTAATGTGGTATTTGAGAATCCACAGTAGGTCAGATTAGCAATCAGTCACTGGACTTGTTTGTTTTGTGCGGCAAGTTCCCAGTCATTTTGCTGCGAATTGTTATGGCTTCTGCTATTAGCAGTTTTCAGTACCTGATGGCTTCAAGCAGCTTGTTTTGGTATGCGGTAAGGAAGGATTCTTTAGTGCTAGTGTTATGGTCAGTTTGCACCAGGTGTTTTAATGTCGACTTGTTAGTGATAGGTCTTAACAGAATGCAACCAACAGTCTCTGTTTTACCATGTATGATCCGCCTTATTAATTCAACAAGATTTATATATGGTAACGGAAGAGAGTTAGGCGAAGTTAAACTTTCGACACCACTAACTACCAATCAGCGAATTATCCAATGAGATTCACGAACGATGTCGAATTATCCAATGAGGTTCACGAACGCAGTTCAATGTTGTATAGCGCTTGATTCATTTCTAATGCGTGACCTTACAAAGCTATTGTTTCAATTCGAGGAGATTAGCGTTTTCCAGTATTTCCTGGATTTGAGTTGCGCCGGAAAGAGCGAATTTGTTTGTGTGGTGGTATCATGACTTTAAAAAGCTATACCAAATCAACTGATGGGTTTGTTCATCGTTGTGCTATATGTTTGAAGCCTACTAACGCTAGAGAGAGTAAGCTGATAATTTTAATATTTCGTAGGAACTTTTTTCGCTAGGTCGCTTCTCTCCCTAAGGATAGCAGACAGAAAAGCAACTACCCTTATACCTATTATTACCAGACTTGTTAAGCGGGGGTCAATTATACACACCGACAAGTGGAAACGCTACAATTCACTGTCATCTCTGGGATATATTCATCATAGAGTCAACCATTCAAGTGATTTTGTGGATCTCGTTACGAGGACACATACAAATTCTATTGAGGGATTTTGGGGCAGGTTGAAAAATAGGATAAGGGCTATAAATGGATCTCATTTATGGTCATTTGGATGAATATATGTACAGGATATGGTGTAACTTCTCGATTGACAGTCCCATGCTAAACTGGGAGATGTTTCTCACACATGTTCGAGAAAGATATCCCATGTAACTTTTTTATTCTCTATTTTATGTTTTTTTCTACAAATATACATTTCCATTCGTCATATATGCCTCTTTAATGTGACTGGTCCGTTCAAGGTCGTTTTCTGATTGGTTGTTAGTGGTGTCGAAAGTTTAACTTTGCCGAGAGTTATTTACTACTGGTTTACATGCTCACCTGATTAAACTTGTGATGATTAGAGGCATGGATAAGAGACAGTCAGTTTTCAGCCAATAGGTTTCGTGTTCAAATCCTGTCCCGCTTAGTTCAGCTTGACCAACTTGATACTGTCACCAGCTCTCTTAAAATAAGTGTGGTTCATAATTTGGTACTTTTAAACTCTCTTCCGCTTTACTGAGTGCCAAGTGTGTTAGCACTAGGGTCTTTTGGGGGCTATCCACTAGAGTAGTGAAAGAGTGAATACGAACGTTTGGTGCTTGTAATCAGACTAGTAGATATCCTTGTATGCCTAGGGTAGCTGGAAGACCCTGATTTCAAACGTATGATGTACACAAACCAAAGGATCCGAAAGGATAGAATCACATGTGAACCTGTCCTGGTAGCTTGGAACCATGGCAACGTAGTTATGACGCTTTTCCACTGCTTTGTAGATCACACTTCAATTTGGAGCTTCGGTAGTGGTCTATTCTTTGGTCTGGGCATTCGACCGATTTCCTATCCCTCTCTCACAAACTATGAGATTTTACGTGTGGTGTATCTTCTGCAGCCATTAGTGTACCAAGGTGTTGTTTTAATAATAATAATAATAGTAATAATAGTAATAATAATGCGGTACATTAAGTAAGATTCTGTTCCGCCCTAATGAGTTCTGAGTACATTTTCATCAGGGTCTTGTTACTGGGTAGTAGTGTGGTGAGAGCTGTCTGTTAGTCAAAATTGGCGGACAGTAATTTACGTCAATGTTTATGTCCCCAATATTGGTCGTGAGAAAAATGAGAACAAAGACTGTGTAGGCGGATACAGTTAACATATAGATGATCTGACATTCAAGAAACAGCCACAAAGAGATGCAAGGTTAACTTTCTGTGAGGAACAACCAATCAGTAGACTGTGTTTTTCTGCTAACAATAATCTATAATATGTACATGAGAATCTATAAATATGTGTTGATTTCCATAATAAACGATCTGTTGCCTGTCCCTTGTCTTCTGTTGTCACAGTAGCAGCTAGTTCTCGGAATCAGCATCACATTTCAAGTCTTCATAAGAGTTTTTATAAATTTCTCTGTTATTATTGTTACTTTTTCGAAAACTATATTGCTGTTGTTTCTTTTTTCTCCTTTATATTAACAGATACTTTGTCAGCATTTAGTTGGAGACGTAGAAGTTTATCTCATCTCTATTCGAATTGGCCAATATCATTAGAGTTTTATTCACATGATTTACTTATCCCATTGACAAAATATTTTTGTCTACATCATCCATATTATATTCAAGAAGATTTATGGCATCATGATGCTGAAGAACCGGATTTAGGACCAGCCTGTTTGGATAAGCTAAAAAGTAATTGTACAAAATTTGTGCCTAAATGTAAGTAATATTTCCTTAAAAAATTAATTGTTCCTATTTTCTTGTATAGTATTTGATAATATATTATTGATAACTAAACGATGGTGTGACGTTCGTCGGTGACACAGCGGTTAGGACGTTCGCCGACCATGCACATGGTTTGGGGTTCGATCCCCGGCCGACGCCGCACTCCTGTACCTCGCTAAGTCAGAAATATTGCTGGTAGAGAGGAAATGTTGGGCATGAGGCTAGCGACCCCATCCTGTAAAATTAAACGCCACTGCTACAGAAACTTCAAGCCACTAGCTTGAAGCCCCCTATGTTTCACTGGGAACGTGAAGGAAGAAAACGATGGTGTTATGCAATTAAAAGGAGAGAAATGTAGCTCATTGACTCATGCACTTGAATTCCAGTCAGTGGATCACAGGATCGAATAGACAGAGGTGGAGGTGATCTATGGAAAGCTGTGGACCTATGTTTCATGCTGGTTAGCACTTGCCAGTCAGATATTTTATTTTATTTTTGATTACAGCTTGATTCCAAACCATATTTTTGGTACAAGTATGAAATTTTCAGGATGGATATCGGTAGCCCAAATTTTGCAGGCCGACCATAGATATCAGGTGTGCGTCGGCAGGGGATCGAACCTCGGACCAGGTGCATGGTCGGCGAGAGTCGTAACCACTGTGCCACCTGCAACATTTCTGAATAGTTTAGTGGTAACGTCTCTGATCGTACCATTGGGTGATCCAGGTTCAAATCTCAGGAGGGATATGAGTTCCTCCTCCAAGATTACAGATATACACGTTATTTTGACGAGTGCCAACAAGCACTCGATCTAGGTTCGACAGTCTTCCTGTCTGTTGTCTTTAACCATATAACAACATTTCTGAGTTCACGCTTATGGCGAGCCACCTAGCTTTGGTGGTCATACTGCAAACTTGACTGACAGAATTCAGTTTATACCAACATAAGCCATTGGCTGCTTTCTGGTGACAGATCAGTGTAATTAACTGTACTGTATACGACTGATGGTATATATGATGGGTTTTATTTATTTTTGAATTGTTCAGTTTTTGTGTTTTTCTTCTCTTATTAGAATGGTAGTTAACGGTGTGCACCGATTGTAGGACAGGCTTGTTGAAGTCAGAAAATATGAAAAGGTCAACAGATTTTGGAATATTGATGTCTTCATTCAGTCTGTCTTATGGATCAGTGTAGTCAGTTTGAATGCGGCAAGAGTTCTCATTGTATTTAAACTACTTAATGCCCTGGTTTGAATAGGGTTATATTATGCTACCACCAATCTAACTATTGCTTTTCTGAGTGCGCCTGTGTTTCAATAATAGAACACTGGCCAGCCATGCAGGAGGTCCGAGTTCGATACACGGCCAACACACTCCTGAACCTCGTATAGAAGCTGGTGGTAAACCGACAAAAGGGGGGAGGTTGAGTGTGAAACTAGCACCCTTCTACCCATAGAAGGTAGATAGCCACTGCTGAAACTTTCAAGTTGCGAAGTCCGAGGGTGAAGGAAGAAACATTTGACTTCAGAATTTTTCTTTTCCTTTATGATTTTCAATTATTCTTTTGGCGCTCAAGATTTGTTTGGTATAATTGAAACACTTTATTTATTTGTTTATTTTATTGTTTAAAAGGTTTTTCATTCGCTCGTTTATTGGGTTTATCCGTCGGTGAATATGTGAAAATGATTCAAACCGGTGGTGGTTGCCTCTTGTTTCCTGAAAGTGAATCTACTTTTGAACGAGAATGGATTAATTGTTCAGAAAATATCATCTTAAGAAATTATTTCAATGAAGTGGAAAATACGCAAAATGCAAAAATATCAACTATCCTAAGATTGAATCCATTTTTTCCAATGAGTTCTACGCATACATCGTCTAATTCTATAGCTCAATTACGCCATCTTCATGGACTTCTTCTGCATCCAATTGTTTGTGAATCTTCCCTGTTTGAATCTCATGTACCATCAGTTTTTATCAGTTCACCAGGCGAAAGACCGTTTATTCCAAATTTCACTACATTGGCAACAATTCAAAAGGTTAGTTTTTACTTGAACTAGACAATTACTATTACCTTTTACCTATAACGAGTTGATCACGGATTGATATCAGTTAGAGAACCATTGAAAACCAGGAAGTACTGGACAGCTGCTGTTTCATCCTAGTTTGGGAGTCATCGGCAGTACGCATCCGTGATCAACTCGTAAAACATAACTAACCCTTACAAACCAAACTATAGAAAATTAATATTTTTATAAAGTAATTTTAGAATTGTGATTCTAAGTCCTTCGTTTGTCATTTCTTTAAGCTTTAGGTTTAGTGTAGTCCACACTACCATAATCATTATAAAATAGATATAGCTTAGTTTTCATAATTATTACTTCATAAAACGTTAATGCATTGTTAACATTCTCTGGCATGACACTGAAACGTTCACCGACTAAAAATCTACAAAAGGTATAGTATCATTTAATCAGAATATTGGTTATTATTTTGTTAATTTTGTTTTTATGCACTCTATTACGGTAATTATGTTCTCAGTATATCCAGATATGCGTGATGGTCAACACAAAGACTGAGATGGTTAGGACATGTGTTACGTATGCCTAGTCAGTGTTCGCCTTCCTCGACGAGCAATGTTAGCGGATATAGGGTCAGGCTGGAAAAAAGCTAGCGGAGGTCAAAAAAAAACATGGAACCAGTCAATGAAATCTACAACAGTTAGTCTAAGCCAGCCACGTAGGTTGTAGACATCCTGACTGGTTGGGGTCCTCGGGACGGGAAAAACCAATGGTTGGAAACAATTGGTGACATGGCTCAAAATCGTTCTCAGTGGCGCAGATGCATCCACTCCCTGTGACTTATGATTTCCAATGAAACTGTTTTGTTCTTCGTTATTACTCCTTTGTCTCACACCTCTGTTTACTGTCTCTATTATGCTTTTCTTGTACTTTCTTCTGTTGCTTTGTGTGCTACATGGAGTGTGTCGACTTGAACTTCCGCACATATGTGCGAAGTTGTACGTCGAAAGCAGACAAGCAGTAATGGTCAACAACTTTATCTTTAGATCTCTGTGTACTTTTAGTAACAAAGAATTTATGAATTTATAGGTTAGACAGCAGACCTCTGTTGTTTAAAATGTTCGATATCTAGAGGCCTTTACTAGTTTCCTGAATACCCGATGTCTGTCTGTCTGTTTTCGACATAGAACTTTGCACAAATGTGCGGAAGTTCAAGTCGCCACACTCCCTCCTTGTAGCACACAAAGCAACAGAAGAAAGTACAAGAAAAACATAATAGAGACAGTGAGCAGAGGTGTGAGACAAAGGAGTAATAACGAAGAACAAAAAAGTTTCATCAGAAATCATAAATCACAAGGAGTGGATACATCTGCGCCACTCCTGTAGCATCATCTTGCATTTGGCGGGAGCGAATCGCATCCCAAACATTCGTAGATTACGGCTCAAAGTGTTCAGAAGACCGTGTCTGCATTTTGTCAGCGTCTTCGCTTAGAAGGACTATATCGTCTGCATATTCCAAGTCAACGAGATTAGTCCCTCCCTGGTAGCAAGTCAATCGCTGAGTCTCTGAAGTGAGTTAGGGTTAAGTCCATTAACACATCTATGATGAATTTGAATAGGAATGGGGATAATGGGCATCCTTGACGCACACCACTAGTTGTCACCAGTTCAGATGACAACTCGTCGTAACCCCTCACCTGGCTGCACTAGTACGAATAGAGTACCTTAATCAGTGTAATATATTTTCTCGGGATTCCCTTAACAGCCAAGCATCACCAGAGAACCTCTCGGTCGACAGAATCGAATTCCGCCTTTAGGTCGAGAAATATAATGATTGTTGGACGGCGGTAATAATGTATATGTTCTAGAATCAGTCGAAGGGTGAAGATATGATCAATACACCCTCTTCCTGGTCTAAATCCTGCCTAGCTCTCTCGGGTTTGTGCCTCCCGAGCACCACTTAGTCTACGCATTATTATTGAGCCTAGGACTTTAGATACTATATTAGTCAAGCTAATCCGTCTTTGATTATCACAGGAAGACTTGTTTCCCTTCTTGTATTGTATATGGGGATAATCAATGACTTACAAACTACCCGATGGGACTTCTTCTGATTTTCAGACACTGCCTAGTACCTCAGTTAATGCAGTCAGTAAACTGTCTCCACCGTACTTAATTACCTCTGGAGTGTTTCCATCAGGTCCTGCTGCTTTGCCTAGTTTCAGATTGGTGACAGCTTTAGTAACCTCACTTAGGGACGGAGGATCTGTGTCTATATCCCATTCAGGGGAGGGGTTGGATGTTCGGAAGGTTGAGCGTGGCTGTGGGCCAATTAAACTGCTCCTCATAATGCTCTTTCCAACGATCCAGTCGTCTATCCTGGGAGCTAATTATGGTGCCATTTTTCTCAGAGATTGTTTCACTAATGATTTGTCTTCTCCCACCTGTTTCCCTGATGAGTCTAAGGAGTTTCCTGGTGTTGTCTATCGTCGAAGCTTTCTCCATCTCTTTGGCTTTTGTCGCCCACCACTGTTCATGGTCCTTGCGGAGACTTTTAGTAAGCTTCCTTTTGTGCAGCTTTCGCTCCTCATTGAATTTGGAGCTCGCCGGAATAAGTCTTCTAGCATCTATCAGTTCGGATGAGGCGGTGGAGATCCAGTGGTTTTTACTCACCTTTGGGTTTACCTTATTCACAGCTTTTACAGCTGTATTTATGGCTGACTGAATATTCTTCCAGGCTTCTTCAGGGTGAGCACAGCTGTCGAACACAGATATGTGTTTAGCTAGTTCTTCCTCAAATAGGGATTTAGTTTCCTGATTGAGCTGGGGACGTGATGGTTTTACCGCCAGCTGTTTCCTACGTCCGTTCAGTCGTAAGCACACCCGAGCGCGGACCAGCGCGTGCTCGGTATCTACACACGTGTTCTAGAAGGAGCAACAATCTCCTACCGACCCACGCCAACGATAGCTTATTGCTATGTGGTCTATTTGTGTCCAGCGTTGGTTTGATGAGGGGGGTCTCCAAGTCAAACAGTGTCTCTCCTTGTGTTTGAATTTAGTGCTTACAAGAAACAAATGATTATCTGAACAGAACTGTAGGAGACGGTCACCGTTGTCGGTTCGCTGGCACGGAACTCCATAGGTGCCACCGACATCCTTCTCAGATTGACACAATTTCCCTACCTGAGCGTTAAAGTCACCAGCTAGAACGACTATGTCTGAGCGTTTAGCCTTTCTCACCAAACTAGACAGCTTTTGGTAGAACTCATCCTTCGTTTCATCTGAACTGCAGTCAGTGGGAGCGTAGGCGGAGATTACGAAAAGGCATCGGCGAGTAGTGCAGTCGTTTCTCCTTTTTACTGACCCGTTCAGACGGACAGCACACATTCGGCTATCTACCGGGATCCAGTCAAGTAATGTCTTTTCTGCCCTAGTACTCAGAGCTATCCCTACACCAGCTAATCCTCGTGAGCTAGCTGTGGCATCTCCTGACATCCTCAAGGTGAATATTGCAGATTCAACCTGTTGGCCAGGTGGGGTTAGGTGAATAACCCTACTTGGGTCTTGTATGCGTGTTTCTGAAACACAGCATACATCAATGGCTCGTGATGCCAGGGTCTTGGCTAGTGATGCTTGTTGTCCTATTTGGCAAAGTGTCCTAACATTAAAAACTCCTATATGAAATTGGTGGCGTGGCTTTAAGAGGCTGTCGGTGGTGGTTTTTTTGGCTCCCATCGTTTTTAGTGGATGTGGAGTGGAGAGCTATCAAGCCGAGGAGTTGCATCAGTGGAAGGAAGGCAAGATGATAGAGATGAAGATGAAAACAAAGATGAGTGAGTAATAAAGAGGTTTCGCCCGATAGATGGTCGAGAATGCCCGTTGAATGGTAGTTTTTATATGGCCTGTTTTGACTAGGCTGTCAAATATAGAACTTATAGAACTCATCGGAGAAGACATTGCGAAGTGGTCGCGCTATATCGTGAACTGGCAGAAGTTAGAATTCAAGGACCATTGGATTGGGTCCCAGTGGCTCAATGGTCTACGAGCTCGCCTTGTAACCAGAAGGTCCTGGGTTCGAATCCCGGTGGGTGCGTACTGATGAAGAGTCCCAAACTAGGACGAAACAGCTGTCCAGTACTCCCAGGTTTTCCAGTGGTTCTCTAACTGATGTCAGCTCATGATTAAATCCTCCATACAATCAAACAAAATCCCTACAAAAACCAATACTTGAAAATATAGAACTGTTGGTGTTTTCACTGCACTTTCATTTCGCAGCACTGACTGGTGTTCCGGAGCAAAAATAATTAGGTTCCAGGAGCAGTTGAATAGATAGATACAATACAATTAAAGGTGGCTAGCTTTAGTACTTCATCTTTCGGTTTCGAAATCACATTCAGTTGTGTGGAAAAGACAAGCTGTGACTTACTATCATTAATCAGTCTCCTTTAATTTTTTTTTAATTTTTAACTAATTCCACTTCTTAGTTTAGTCATCATTTGAATGCCAAATAACTGTCTCAGAGATAAACTTTGTCGACTTAAGGACCCAATAGATGCAATTAAGAAAAGTAATATAATTTACTAGATATCATGTAGTGACTGTGAGGTCAATTACATCGTATGTCAAACTAGTGGTGGATCGAGGTCGACGTAGAATGATTGACCCTGCTAACTTATAAATAACCTAGAAAAAAACTCAGCCATTGCACTGAAATCACATGCATGTGATCACAAAATAGGGTGGGTGGGACAGGATGAGAGTGTTAAAAAGTAATATAGTTAGATGGAGATGGATAGCTTAGTCACTGAATTTTTGTTTGTCGATTCAACACTGCACACTCGCAGTTGGAATGGTTCAACACCGCCTATACCGGAGATATAGAAAGTGGCAACAAACAACAGACGGAAGTTGGAGAGGCAGAATGAGAGAATGCATATATATATATATATAAGACAAATTGTGAAACCGTGTGACTAGATTGATATGATTATGAGCAGCAAAAATTTATGCTTGAAACCTTGTCATCCAGTTGTTAATGCTTCACATCACTGTGTAATTAATTGTCCTACCATAATGCCCAAATTCTACACTTACATTTGAATGCTTAGTATCCAGTACACATTTCCATCTGAATTTTATCATTACTGTATATTGTACCATTCTTCTCGATAGTGTTATCATCGGTACAGGTTGATTATTATCATTATTATTGTTCCCTTGGGTTCCTAGTGCAACATAGGGCTTCAACTGCACGTCTCCACTTGCTTCTGTCTTCCTTCTGCTGTACTTTTCACCTGCATTCATGCATGTTCGTCCATACTGTTTCAACTCCTCTTCACACCATCTCCTCCATGTCACCTTCACACTAACGTCCCACTCGCCGCTTGCTTCCCTTTCGGATTCCACTCGATTGATGGCCTGACACGCGCGTGATGTCATCCAGCGGACTCCTCAGCGAATGTCCGATCCATCCACCTCCACTTTCTCCTGCATATTTGTTGGTTGGCAATTGGTTCTTGTTTTGTTTTGTTTGTTCTCAGCCATAGTTTCTTGTTGGTGATACTTTCCGGCCCGGCCATCTGATCTTCAGTATAGATCCAGCGATGACAGTTAGTTGTTGATAGAGGTCTGCAACAGGCTGTTGGAAATATTCTTTGTGACCCGCCCGCCCGCCAAGTTTCTGATCTGATCCGTATAGAAGAACTGACTGACTTGACGTTGTTTGTATTGAAAATCCGACCGTATTTTGGTTTCTGATGCTGACTGAGTGACGAAGATTTCCAGATTACAAGTTGATTACATCATCCATATAAAATATTAATTTATCTTATATACTTATTGGTTTGTTTTGTTTTGTTCCTTTTCTTAAATTCTTCCCAAGGTATTAATTAATCCAATAACTCCATTTATAAATACTACTAATTTTAATACATCTCATATACAATCTATAGCAAATTGTCCTGTACAAAAATTGAATTTAATTACACCTTTACCAAGAAGTTTAGAGCTTGTATCACGTACTACACGAATATCAGATTCTGGTAAATTGACTGCATTAGATAATCTACTTACTGAACTCAAATCAAATGGACATCGTGTATTAATCTATTCACAAATGACACGTATGATTGATATTCTTGAGGTAAGTGTTGCATGTTTGCTTGTCTTTCTTTCTTTCTGTCTTTCTTTTTGATATCACTTTCACCCTGAGTTTTCAATATATTTTGACGCATATATATATATATATATATATATATATATATATATATATATAAAAGGCATTTCAGCCAGGAAAATTTTCATTATCGACGAAATTATCTTTGAAGACTGTATAGTTGTATTTATATCTATCGAAAAAGGTATAGTTATTCTATTAATGAGTAATAGGGGAGTGTTGTGATCGATATAATTATTCGACTGATGACTTTGATATTGCATAGAATATCAATGGTGTTTTAGTGAACCCTTAACCTCTCCAGATACTAGCTTGCTAGGCTACTAGCTTACTAGTTTTCTCGCCGGTCCCAAGCCCGGGTAAAGAGGGAGGGTTGGGGCGTGGTGCTAGCAACTCCACCCCTGTAAAACAACCAAATCGCTACAGAAACTTCAACGAATAAATATATTAAAAATTCTAAAAACATAAGCAATAGCCTTACTTTTCGCTGGAATCGGGGAAGTGAAATGACGCAGGCTGGTGAAAGCTAGCCTTCGGGAAGCCAGTCAGCCGATGTGCCTTCTTTCGATGAAAGCAAAAGTAAGGATGGGTACCTGGAATGTTCGTACAATGTACGAAACTGGAAAGGCTGCCCAGATAGCCGCTGAAATGAGAAGGTACAGAATAGAAGTGTTGGGAATCTGCGAGAGCAGATGGAACGGAACTGGAAGGTGCCAACTACCTACTGGAGAGACAGTAATCTTTCCGGCCACCCAGAGGACAACCATGAGCACACCGAGGGAGTGGCCATCATGATGTCACCAACAACAGCCAAAGCTCTCATGCAGTGGGAACCAATCTCCTCCAGGATAATGACAGCCAGGTTCAACTCAAAAGGAAGGAAAGTTACAGTCATTCATGTCAATGCTATGCGCCTACAAACGTCTCAGAACAAGAGAAGAAGGAGGCGTTCTACAGACAACTACAAGCAATAATGGACAACGTCCCAAATGGCGATATCAAAATCCTGATGGGCGACATGAATGCGAAGCTGGGAGGAGACAACACAGGAAGAGAACTCACCATGGGTCGTGAGGCCCTCGGCGAAATGAACGACAATGGTGAACTCTTCTCAGACTTCTGCGCCTTCAATGATTTGGTGATTGTGGCAGTGTGTTCAAACACAAGGATATACACAAGACGACATGGATTTCACCAGATGGAAACACCAAAAACCAAATAGACTTCATCTCAATTTCAAGAAAGTGGAGACGGAGCCTACTGGACACAAGGTCGAGGAGAGGAGCAGATGTGGGTTCAGACCACTATCTAGTAGAAGGGACTTTCAAGGTGAAACTAAAAGCCTCGAGGATAGCTGGGATAGGCCACAATGCAAGTTCAACACTCAAACTGAAGGACACAACCACAAAAGACACTTTCACTGCAACTGTCAGAGCAAAGCAGGAAACACTACGCGACATCACTGAAGAATCATGCGTGGAAGAACATTGGAAGTCTCTGAAGGCGATTCTCAACGAAACGTGTTCAACGGTTCTAGGAAGAAAGAAGAGACAAGACAAGGAATGGCTCTCAACGGACACTTGGAAATTAATAGAAGAGAGGAGAATGGTGAAAGAGAAAATGATTCAATGCAAGGACGGACAGGAGAAGGAGACGCTGAGCTCAACTTACAAAGCACTGGACAAAGAAGTGAAGAAAAGTGCTAGGAAGGACAAAAGACGATTCTACGACAACCTGGCCACTGAAGCTGAGAAGGCAGCAGGCAAAAGGGACCTGAGGACACTATATCAGATAACCAAATCTCTATCCGGGAAGAGATCAACACAAGCGAAACCTATAAAAGACAGCCAAGGGAACCCAATTACCAAGGAAGAAAAACAGATTAAACAATGGGCGGATCACTTCAAAGGACTCTTGAACCGACCATCACCTGCAACCCGTCCAGAAATACCAACAACAGCGCGCACACAACTGCAAGTTGACACCAATCCTCCAACGAGAGCTGAAGTCTTGAATGCAATCAAGCTTCTGAAAGCTGGAAAAGCAGCCGGACCAGATGGAATACCCCCTGAAGCACTGAAAGCGGACCCAGAGACTACAGCAGACATGCTGACTCCATTATTGCAAAAGGTCTGGAAGGAGGGAAAGGTGCCTACTGACTGGAGGAAAGGTTACCTCGTGAAACTACCAAAGAAGGGCGACTTACGCCTCACTCTGCAAGAACTGGCGAGGAATCATGCTCCTGTCGACGCCAAGTAAAATCCTGAGTCGCATCATCCTGGAGAGATTAAAGGACGCACTGGAGACAGAACTCCGACCAGAACAAGCTGGATTCAGGAAAGTCAGGCAAATCATGTACTGACCAAATTGCAACTCTACGCATCATCATCGAATGGCAATCAAACCTCTACCTCAACTTTATAGACTTTGAGAAGGCCTTCGACAGCGTTGATCGTGAAGTAATTTGGAAACTACTCGAGTACTACGGCGTACCCCAAATATTCATCAACCTTATTCAACAGCTGTACGACAACGGCATATGTCAAGTGATCCACAACGGAAAACTCAGCAAGGCGTTTGGAGTAAACACAGGAGTCAGACAAGGGTGCTACTATCTATCACCAATGATATTCCTAATTGTGGTGGACTGGATTATGCGTCAGACAGTGGGAAACGAGAAGACAGGAATATCCTGGACCGACGTGAAGAACCTAGAAGACCTGGATTTCGCGCGTGGATGATTTATGTTTGATGTCACACAAAATCGAAGACTTACAAGCGAAAACCGACAAACTGGTCGAAGAAGCAGATAGTGAAGACAGGACTCCAGGTGAACATAGACAAGACGGAGGTTATGAAAATAACCAACCAACAACAGCAACAGCATCCAACGTCAATCACCATCAACGGGAGGGATTTGAAAGAGGTTACTTCATTCACTCACTTATCTAGGGAGCATTGTCTCAACTACAGGAGGAGCGGAAGAGGGTGTCAAATCGAGAATCGGGAAGGCGCGAAACACATCAACATCATCGACCTGAAACCAATCTGGAAATCTTCGTCACTCAGCATCACCAACAAAATTCGGATTTTCAATACAAACGTAAAGTCAATTCTTCTATACGGTCAGATCAGAAACTTGGCGGGCGGGCGGGTCACAAAGAATATTTCCGAAAGGTTGCAGACCTTTATTAACAACTGTCTTCGCTCTATACTGAAGATCAGATGTCCGGAAGGAATCATCAACAAGGAATTATGGGAACAAACAATGCAAGAACCAATCGCCCAACAAATATGCAGGAGAAAGTGGAGGATGGATCGGACACTCGCTGAGGAGACCGCTGGGTGACATCGCGCGTCAAGCCCTCGAGTGGAACCCGAAAGGGAAGCAGCGTGTGGGACATCGGTGCAAGGGTGACATGGAGGAGATCGTGTGAAGAGGAGTTGAAAGAATATGGACTAACATAGATGCAGGCGAAAAGTACAGCAGAAGGAAGACAGAAGCAAGTGGAGACGTGAAGTTGAAGCCCTATGTTCCACTAGGAACCCAAGGGAGCAATAATAATAATAAATAATTTCGGAAGCACGGTAGAGGGCAAGTGAAGTCGGGCATACCTATTGAAAAACAAAAAAATATAAGGGCATTCATCCGTCAATAGATAAAGAAAGCCGTACAAATCATAGAGGAGATATAGATCCTACTTGGTTACTCGTTCCAGCCTTCTGAGTTCCTTAATCCCCTTAAAATATCTGAGTAGCCATATAGAGCCCCCCCCCGCATATTAGCCTCCTCCTAGAAACGAATTCCCTTAGAATATCAGTTCGAATGGTCTATCTTTAGAATATATGTCTAGAGTTTTATATCGAGTGCACTTGGGGACTATTGCGTCACTTTGAATCTCCTCAACATGAGGATACCGAATATACGTAATACATCTGGTCGAACAGGTTTAGGTTATTCACCTAATATTTTACGAAGAAATGTAATAATGCCTTTCGTCAAATTAGTTTACTGCCAACCTTTCCAATTGAAATTGTTATACTGGACTGTTATCTTTCGCCCTCTAGTTTAAGCATCCTCTACTGTCTGTTACCGAATGGTCAATATCTGCAAAACAATTTTTCTGTCAAGAGTATATTTGTACAGGTATAATCCATGTTTATCGTAAAAGGAGTTTCTGAGAGATTTGCATCACCAGACGCTATTGATGTAGTAACAAGGTTAGGGGAGTTGGCTATTTAGGGCAATTTTTGTCGTTGTCAATGGTTTGAACACACATTTAGGGATCACTTTTATGCCTTTCTCCCACTAATATTTAGGTGTCATCAGCTAAAATAAAAAGGTTTATGAAATGATCAAATAAATAAACAGGTTCCACTGTTTCAGTATTACTATACTACCTCATCAGTGAGAGGTTAAATGCTTACTCAAGATGGTTGTGTTATTGCAACAAGGGTTGCTTCGTTAGAACTATTGTGCAACAATAGTGGTGCACGTTTATTAAAGTGAAAAAATGTTGAAGTTGAGCTATGTTTAACATGTATGTATAAGTTAGAGAACCATTGAAAACCAGGGAGTACTGGACAGCTGTTTCATCCTAGTTTTAAACTCCTCGGAAGTACGCACCCACCACAGGGGTTCGAACCCAGGACCTCCCGGTTACAAGGCAAGCTAGCTCGTATACCATTCAGCCATTGGGACCCGATTCGATGGCCAACCCATAAATTCTAACTTCTACCAATTCGTGATTCAGCGCGACAACCAACCAATGTCATCGGTGGGAAATTCCTCTTCACACTTGACTGGACGAACCTCACTTGTCACGACTGATATTAATCCGTGGTCACACTCAAAAAAATAAATAACCCTTACAAATCAACGCTTGAAAATAATTCTGAGGCTCGCAAGTGATTTACTACAGGACGGATTTTCCTGGAGTTCTAGTGAGAAGTCGTGACCAGTGAGATCTATCCAGTCAAGTGTGAAGATGAATTTCCCATCGATGACATTTGTTGATAGTCGCGCTAAATGCATCATGAATTGGTAGAATTTAGAATTCTTGGGCTGGCCATTGAATCGGGTCTCAATGGCTGAATGGTATACGAGCTAGCTTGCCTTGTAACCGGGAGGTCCTGGGTTCGAACCCCTGTGGTGGTTGCGTACTACAGAGGAGTTCAAAACTAGGATGAAACAGTTGTCTAGTACTCCCTGGTTTTCAATGGCTCTCTAACCGATATCAATCCGTGGCCAAACTGGAAAAAACAAACTTAATCCTTATAAATCAACTCTTTAAAATATACGTCTAAATGTAACAATAATAAGAAATCAGCACTGATTTTGGAATCCTGGGCAGAGATTGCCAAGTTCTAGAATGAGCTTCATACAAAGCTGAAACAAAGTATGCAGCAAAATACCTAATTAGTTAAGTGGCAAGCCGCATTCACGTTTATATAAAAGTTGTAGATATAAAGTATTTCTACGTGTTAAGGGCACTTAACCTTACGTAGCAGTCAATGACTCTGAACAAATTGAAGTAAAGATAATACAAACACTGAAGAAGGTAAGGAATAAATCAGTTATTCACTCTGAATTATTTAAGCAACTACGACCCTTTTAGGTTCTGTAGTTCCCCGTTTATATAGAGAACGTACCGCTGTGACCAATTTCGGACACGGCATATTCACCATACTGTGTTACTGTCAAATGGCTCCTAGACATCATATTACCTATCAGAAATAATCCTAGTCATCATAGAGTGTCAGATACGTTGATTTAATAAGCACTGTTAATTAATATTTAGCAAGAAGGTAATGTAAGACAATTACTAGCTCAATGCTCAAGCACCTGATAAACTCAAATCACACAGCCTCACCTTAGCTGTCTTTTAAGATAATCTTCAAGGTGAGATCGAATAGCACAAGAGTGTTATGTCTCATTATTTGAGTATGATGAAGGCGCTAGTGATTCGTCAGTATAACCCCTAACTGTGTGTATGCAGAAAAAGTTTTCCAGTCTCTTATTCTACCATTGTCTTAATATTTATCTTAATCTTTCGTTTTTCAAGTATTGGTTTTGTTGGGATTTTGTTTGATTGCATAGAGGATTTCCTCATGAGCTGACATCAGTTGAAGAACCACTGGAAAACCTGGGAGTACTGGACAGCTGTTTCCTCCGTCCTAGTTTGGGACTCTTATCAGTACGCACCCACCGACCAGTACTCGAACCCAGGACCTTCTGTTTACAAGGCGAGGTCGTAGACCATTGAGCCACCGGGACCCGATCCAATGGTTCTTGAATTCTAACTTCTGCGAATTCACGACATAGCGCGACCATTTCGCCATGTCTTCTTCGATGAGTTACGAGGTTTGAACCCCGTAGTGTGGGTGTGTACTTCTGGAAACCACTTCTGAATAAATAAATCAATTATGTCGCACACACACACACATCTATTACTCAATAATAGATTACTATGGTGTATTTGGTTAATATAAATACGATTGTATAGCTTCTGAAGATGACTTCTCTTGTAAAGAAAATTCTCTTTGCTGATTGATTTTTTTCTCTAGAATCTACTACTTTTCTCATAGACATAATATACATAATGAACTGTAGAAGGATATATGTACCCGGACATGCTATACCATGATTCTTAAACATAAGCGTTGATGACAGTGAGGCTTTTACAACCCATTATAGAATAATTTTATTCAATAATGTAATGTAATTCATAGCTTGTAAAATGAGTAGTAGGACTTGTACATACTTGTATGTGGTGCATGTGAAACTAAGCGAGGTAAGAAATACCCAAGTGTTGTAAACTGCTTGCTTGATTTTTGAAAAACTGAAAAACTGTTGATGAGAAAATATACTTTTTTCTGCTAGTACAAACAAAAATCGATTGTCGTGTTCTTGTTTTTGGTTTAACATACATCTTGATTGATGTTAATTTGAGTTTATATAATGAAACAGTAGGTAAATTAATATCAGAGATGGTTGAAGATAATCGTAAGGAAGACTTGGATTCTAGTACCGTACTTGTCACTAGGGTACAGTCAATGTCTGATGTCCAGTCCATTAGTGTTGACTGGATTATAGATCAATCCATAGAAGGCTCACCATCTCAGTGAGCTTTGAATTAATGCTGGGTGCTCGAAGGTGATGGATTGGAATCTCAATACTTGCATTATGCATCCACTGGCGCTCATCAGTATAGTGTATATTTATTTCTATGATTCGAACTGATATCATCATATGACTCAATTATAGGGTCATTGCTGAGCTATTGGAGTAGATAGTAGCCATCTGTAGAGGACTAGTTGGATGCATTAGTTGGCTACTAAGATGTAACGAATTGCTCGGTGATAACGCCTCTGACTGCACCACTGAGTGACATAGATTCCTTCGAGATTATAGATGTTCTTAGGTGACTGGTGAGTGTCAACAAGCACGAAACCTAGGTCAAACAAGACTTCCTGCCGATCGGCTCCAACCGTCTAGTAACGAACTTCACTTTGTCTAATAATCCTTAGTGCTGACCAAATTCTATTGGTGAAGTTTTTAATTTGGTCATCAAGCTAGAATGACAAGTCTCTTACTGATAGTATTCGATTAGACACTATAGACTGTACAATGTGACATCGGTTACTCCTTGATAATTTATTATCATTATTATTAAAGGATAAATTTGGTACATTATTAGTACCAAGAGATATCCCACATAAAAGCCCATAGTTTGTGAGAGAGATGGGAAACTACCTGGCTGCCCAGACCGAAGCAAATAGTTATCTTAAGGAGTCATTCTTTGACCCTTTGAATTGAAGTCTGATCTATAAGAAAGTGGAGCTGCATTCTTATAGTTTTTGGTAACCAAAACAGAGTTCTGGAGCCCACAGATCTGGAATCAGGATTTTCCAGCTCCCCTACGTAGACCGGCATGTCCACCAATCCGTCTGGTTGTCAGTACCAGACGTTCGAATTTTGCCGTTTTACTTTTGTGAGGATTCATTTGGGAGAGGCTTTGAACGCTTGGCCACATGACAGTATTTTGAGAGGAAAATTAAAGTAAGCCACTTTTGGCCATATTCCGTCATTTATGGTGAGCAACTTGGTAATTTATGAAAGCTGCGGAAATTATTCTTTTTGCAAGATTAGTAATGGTATGAGACATAGCATGTACATTTCAAACAATAAGTACTAAGTTTAGACTTCACCTCATATACTTTAGCTTAAAAAGTCCTAACTCGTTAAGTGTTATTCATTGCCCATACCTCACATCTAAGTCTCAACATAATTATTTTGATAAGATTAAGTTTTGTTTTTAGAATATTTTCTAAAATAAAATAATCTTTTTCTTCTATACTTCAGGAGTTTATGTTATATCGTAAGCATGCTTATCTACGTTTGGATGGTTCATCACGTTTATCTGATCGTCGTGATATGGTCGCCCAATGGCAGACAAATCCACATTGGTTTGTCTTCTTATTATCAACACGTGCTGGTGGTCTTGGCATTAATTTAACCGCTGCTGATACAGTTATATTTTATGATTCTGACTGGAATCCAACTGTAGACCAACAAGCAATGGATCGAGCACATCGGCTAGGTCAAACAAAACCCGTATGTTTGTTTATATATAATTTATTATTCCTTCGCGTTCCTATTGGAACATAGGGCTTCAAACTTTTAGCTTTGAAGTTTCAATAGCAGTCGTGTTATTCTTGTTTTACAGGGTAGGATTGCTGATCTTTAGGAGTGTGTCAACCGCAAACCGAACCACGTGCTATTGGGTATTCTACTGACCGGCTGTATTCATATATATATATATATATATATATATATATATATATAAGCCTTTTCAGAGAGTTGTCGATGTTTCTTCTCAGATGGAATTCGAGGAAGTGCTCGGCTGTTTTATGGTCAGTCTGGAGAGAGAAAGAGAGAGGACCACTCATCTCACTTGTACCTATGGAATTTTGACACTCTCCAGGTTCTAATCTTTCAGTAGGTTAGGCTTCCAAATCGCACGCTGACAAAGCTGTACATTTCTGCCGTCATCCCTTCAGAATCTTTTGTTTAAAAGGCTAATTCCGCAGTATTTTCGTTTAGTTTGGTTGCAGTTAGGCTTAAAAAGTAATAGTTATGTTACAGAAAAGGATGCATTGTTAGAACAACTGTTGCTGTGATCATCGTAGATTTACTTCTCAGAATATATTCTGGATGCAAGATAATATCGAAGTTGGGCATCGAGTGTTAGATAAGGAAGGAAAGTCAATCAATGAGGTTGTGAAGCTAGCTACATCGATTGAGATGGCTACGATATGTGTTATGCATTCCTAGTCATCGCCTTACTCAACCAATAATGTTAATTGACATAGATGGGATTAGCTAGTAGTGGCGGTGAAACTGAAACTTACAATCAGTCCATGAAGTGTTCGACAGTTGGTTTGAGCTGGTTAAATAGGGAGATTTAGGTTGACTGTTTGAGGTCATCGGGATTCTAGGAAAGAAATGACTAGAGACCGTTGTGGATGATATACCTGAAAACTGTTCTCAATAGTGCAGATATATATATATATATATATATATATATATATATATATTAAATTTGTCAAACGAAAATTAGTAAGTTCAAATAAATTGGATGTTGATAAGAGGATAGTAACAAAAGTGATGAGTTGTCAAAAACGATTGTTAAATAAGAGTTACGTGATGGCGTGAATAGTTTGATGAAAGAGTTGTGCTTAGGGTGTACATGGCAACAAAATAATACACAGAATTACACAAGGGTTTGATATATATATATATATATGGTGCTCTCTCTTTCTGTTGCTCTCTTAGTCTGTGACCATTTCACTTTGATGAACCTGTCTCCTTTAACAATGTATATTCCCCTCATAGTATATATAATATGTGTGTTTGTTGACAGTCTGTCCTCGGTGATATATATATCCACATAATATGTGTGTTTGTTTGACAGTCTGTTATATTTCGCTATGTATATATGGATCGATACTCCATTATAATTAGCCAATCATGTTAAGACTGTCTATTGATTTGTTCACACACTTGTTTGGACATTCATATATATTTTACTCTCACACTATTGTGTGATATATTTGATTCTCCTTGTGTTTGGAAAATAGAAGTATCATCAAAAACCTAGTGGTCTTCTGATTTCCGTCTTTCTTGCGTCAGGACTATTAAATTCTCGACCAGTACATAGCAACAATTTGGCGACGAGTACATAACAATTTGGCGACGGGGAAAACTAGTACATAACAGGGTTTTAAGTAGTTAGAAAAAAATAAGCATACAAACAAAAGTAAGGTCAAATCAACGGAGTTGTTACCATGTGAGTAGAAGTGGTTGAATAATTTTCTTTTGTATGCATAGTTCTGGTTCCTCCAACTGAATGGCTTGGGCTTCTGCGATGCAATGAAGACAGAAACGTATTGTCTTTGAAAGATTGTTCTTCACTTTGTAGATTACTTTGAAAAAAAAGGCGTTTGTTGAGATGGAATGACCAGTGTTGACGAGATGTTCGATTATTGCACTCCTTATGTGGCCATTACTTCCTTTCTGCAGCCACTCTGAATAGTGTTCTTTGACCCTTTTTGACAGAATGAACGACCGATGCACCTGGCTTCACAGCAACAGGTGAACTGATATATACACATAGAAGTGGTCAGGTGCGGAATCTTGTCCTTTGGGCTTCTACAGATCAGTGGGCGACTGGAGAACACTACTCTTAATGTTGCCGTAGGGAAAGTTCTTCCTAAAGAGGTGGAAATTCCCCTTCTGAGCACGTCACTAAGTAGGTCTCCTTTGAAGTCCAGGTTCATATAAAGTATCTTTTTAGGCACGGATGGTGTCTCTTGCCTTTGGATTTTTTGTTTGATGTTTTTGTCTACAAATCTTGATGGGTAGTCATTACGTATGAAGATTTCTTTCAGGAAGTTTAGTTCTTCTTCCATGGTGTCAGAGTTGCAGATGCGTCTGACGCGAGCGGCAAGGGATTTAATTAGGTTTCTTTTCCGACTGATTGGTACCCACCTGTAGAAGCTTGTCAGTTGGCCATTCACTCTTTGTGGTTTCATATATCCCATAAACCGTCGCTTTGTTTTTTTCCATGTTACCATTCTTTCTTCCCCATATTTTTGCTTAGTATATTTCTTTGTCATGCCTTTTGTTCACTTCTGTGTGCGACATGAGATGTAACAAGTTGAACTGCTTCACTTTTGTGCAAAGTTCTATGTTGAAACTGAGTCAGTCTACTTAATTGTCAAATTGTTATGATAAGAAAACAAACTTGAAAATGTATAAGTTTTGAAGTATTGGTTTTGTAGGGATTTAGTTTGATTGGATGGAGGATTTCATCATGAGCTGACATCAGTTAGAGAACCATTGGAAAACCAGCTGGGAGTACTGGACTGCGGTTTCCTCGGGCCTGGTTTGGGACTCTTCATCAGTACGCATCCACCACAGGAAGATTGAACCCAGGACCTTCTGGTTACAAGGCGAGCTCGTAGACTAATGAGCCACTAGGATCCAATCTAATGGTTCTTGAATTCTAACTTCTACCAGTTCACGGCATGGTGCGACGATTTCGCAATGTCTTCTTGGATGAGTTACTGCCTCATTTTCGACCTGCTGTACCCTACTGGTCATGGCTTCCCACTAGAACCCCAGGCTAACTGCCTGAATAGATAGGGTCAGTCCAATCTGTTTCCGTGTAAGAAAGTAGAATTTAGCCAGTGTGGTGGAGTATAACTCCATATTAGATAAGTTTATTTGATACATAACATGCACAGTGATATGGAATTTAATAATTCGAAACTTTGAATTTTACTCATTAGTTTTCAGAGTTACTTATGTATTATTTTCCTCCATTTACATGATATACATGTTTATGTGTCAAAGAGTGTGGCTTCAGTTTTTCTCGTGAATTTCATTGTTTCAGGTTACTGTGTACAGACTTATCTGTAAGAATACCGTGGAAGGTCGTATGCTTCTGCGTGCTGAAGAGAAACGTGCTATGCAACAAATGGTAATTCAATCAGGTCAAGGAGGATTAGGCAATTTGTTGCCTAGTGTTACAAATCGATCCGGTTCAACAGATCACATGACTTCATCAGATATGGTTTCTTTATTATTAGATGATGATGAATTAGTAAAACGGTAAGTTAAACCAGTTAGTAATGAATGAGTGTTGTTATTGTTCTTGTTCAAATTGATTTTCTTCTGGAAGAGGTCTTTCACCTACCAGACTACTAGCCACTCTGATCCTGTGAGCGCTGATGATACTACTGCATTTATCCAGTCCAAAGTAGGTAGAACTGGATTCGAAACAAGAATCTGTTGGCTGAAAGCTAATTGCTTAAGCCAATGATCCATGTCTCTACTTTAAATTAATTATTACAAATTGATATACAAAGCATGGTTACTAAGATGGGAACATCCTGTTCACCAACTTATACATTATATTGTTATTATTCCCTTGAGATCGGAGTGGAATATAGACGGATTCAACACTAAATCCCCACCCATTTCATCTTGTTCTCCACAGTCCTTTTTAGCTGGCTCCAGGACTGCTTCTCCTTATCTCATGACCTCCTGCATGTCACTTTCGGACACACATCCAAATCATCGACTCCCTGTCTGTATGTCTGTTTTCTACATAGAACTTTGCACCAATATGCAAATATAATAAGGTGAGCAATATTGAGGTTAGGCGTGCCATGTTTTGGTTTGACTACCGCTGGCTCTTTCTCAACCTGACCATGTGTCAGCTAACATTGCCCGTCGAGGAAGGCGATGACTAGGCAGACATAACACGTGTCCTAACCATTTCAGTCGATATAATTTCACAACCTCGTCGATTGATTAACCCTCCCTCCTTACCTAGAACTCGTCGCCTAACCTCAATATTGCCCACCTTATTATACCACTTCACACGGGAGATAGAACGCAGGCACCTATGATCAAAGACAGCTAATCTTTTCATGTATGCCACTCTCAGTGGCCAGTTGTCACAGCCATAAAGGCGGACGGAAGGGACTGATGAGCAGTACACACATTCTTTGGTCGATAGCCAGTCAGATATCACGTATACGCCAGAGAAAGGGCGTAAACTGGCATATGCGAAACTAGCCCTCTGTATCCGTACTCAGCTGAGATTTACTTACTTACTTTACTTTACTTCGGCTATCTCCTACGGGAGGATGAGCCGGCTTCATGAACCATGAAGTTTCATGGGAATTGGGTACGAGTGATGTCCCCAGCATCGCTGAGATTTCGTCAGCGATCAACCCGTTGGGGCTGATGGTACTTCCCAAATAGGTGAAGCGGTCAACGTGCTCTACCACTTCACTTCCTATTTCTAATCTACGAATCGCTGTAGTCCAGTCCTGTAACATCATCTTGCATTTGGTGGGATCGAATCGCATCCCAAACATTCGTAGATTTCAGCTCAAGGTGTTTAGAAGACTCTGCATTTCGTCAGCGTCTTCGCCTAGAAGGACTATATCGTCTGCATATTCCAAGTCAACGAGATTATTCCCTCACTGGTAGCAAGTCAATCCCTGAGTCACTGAAGTCACTTAGGGTTAAGTCCATTAACACATCTATGATGAAGTTGAATAGAAAAGGGGGTAATGGGCATCCTTGACGGACACCACTAGTCGTCACCAGTTCAGATGACAGGAAGACTTGTCTCCCTTCTTGTATATCGGGATAATCAATGACTTACACCAACCTGATGGGACTTCTTCTGACTCCCAGACGCTGCCTAGTACTCATCGTCTCTGATTTTGATTCCACTAGAGCAACAGCCTGCTTAGTGGGTGATGTCACTCCACTGCCTGCCCCGATGTGTCTTATCCATTTCTATTTCTTCAGGCAATAGGTTGTTAGTCGTTTCGTTTGTAGGGTTTCCTGTTGCTTATCTTTTTTCGGTTAGTCGCGTGATTTTTACTTTTTAGTGAAGCCATCTGTTAAAAAATGTCTGCAACATGCTGTTGGAAATGCTCTTGGTGACGTGCACGCCAAGTCCCTAGCCCATATAGAAGCACTGATTTGACATTAGTGTTGAAAATCCAACTTGTATAATATTGATATGTATCCACATGGTGTGTGTTTTGTTTCTGACAGTCTGTTATATTTTGCTATGTGTATATGGATCGATATTTCATTATAACTGACAATATGCTTTTATCTGTCCACTAACTAAATAAACATGTGTGACCTTGTTGTCACATGACATTACAACCAATCATGTTAAGACTGGCTATTTACTGGTTCATGTGTATTAGCCATTTTCATATATGCTCTTGCTTTATTACTCTTGTACACACATTTCGTACACTCGTACCATTTCACTCACACTCTTGTGTGACATTTATTTTCCTTGTCTGGAAAATACAAGTATCATCGTAAACCTGGTGGTCTTCTGATTTCCCTCTTTCCGCGTCAGGACTATTAACCACTCGACGAGTACATAACAAATATATAGTCCATACTTTATGTGTTGTATGTGTTGAAAAAAAGCATATTGAATATTATGCAATAAATTGTTTCGTCTCAGAGCTTCGATATAAGATTACTAATGTGAAGATAATCATCTTTGGAGGTACACTTCAAATTTTTCTTACAATTACAGAGTACTAATATGTAATAATATTTCCGATGGAATATTCTGGGTTGATTTTGACTTATCAGTTAACTATTGTTTCGTAAATAAAATAATCAAAACATATACTGTATCGTCAGTGATATTCCTAATTGTGGTGGACTGACTGGATTATGCGTCAGACAGTGAGTGGGAAAGAGAAGACAGGGATATCCTGGGCCGACGTGAAGAACCTAGAAGACCTGGATTTCGCGCGTGGATGGTTTATGTTTGATGTCACACACAATCGAAGACTTACAAGCAAAAACCGACAAACTGGTCGAAGAAGCAGACAGTGAAGACAGGACTCCTAGTGAACATAGACAAGACGGAGGTTATGAAAATAACCAACCATCAACAAAAACAACAGCAACATCCAACGCCAATCACCATCAACGGGAGGGATTTGAAAGAGGTTACTTCATTCACTTCATTTATCTAGGGAGCATTGTCTCAACTGCAGGAAGTCGGAACGGACGAGGATGTCAAATCGAGCGAGAATCGGGAAGGGAGGCGAGAAACACATTCATCAACCTGAAATCAATCTGGAAATCTTCATCACTCAGCCAGCATCAACAACAAAATTCGGTAGGATTGTCAATACAAACAACGTCAATTCAGTCAGTTCTTCTAAACGGATCGGAACAGAAACTTGGCGAGCGGGTGGATCACAAAGAATATTTCCAACATCCTGTTGCAGACCTTTATCAACAACTGTCTTCGCTCTTTACTGGAGATTAGATGGCTGGGCCGGAAATAATCATCAACAAGAAACAATGGGAACGAACAAAACAAGAACCCACCAATCGCTCAACAAATATGCAGGAGAAAGTGGAGATGGATTTGACACTCGTGGCGGAGGAGGCCGCTGGGCGCGCGCGTCAGGCCATTGGTCGAGTGGAACCAGGCCGAAAGGGAAGCGTCGAGTGAGTCGTCAGTGCAAGGGTGACATGGAAGAGATCGTGTGAAGAGGAGTTGAAACAGAATGGACTAACATAGATGCAGGTGAAAAGTACAGCAGAAGGAAGTGGAGACGTGCAGTTAAATCCTTATTTTCCACTAGGAACCCAAAAGAACAGTAATAATATTAACGTCACTTGGAAATTATTCATTTGATGATGGAGATACTTAACGAACAAGAAGAAGAAGAAGAAGAAGCACAAATCACCATCAACGAGAGAAGTTTGAAGCAGATCATCACTTTTACTTATTCAGACAGCGTCGTTTAAACTACAAACGGCCTGGATGAAGATTACCTCTAGTGTTGCAAATTATGCAGTGGATAACTTTGATGACTTTAATACTCTTGATATTCTAAAATGTCTTAAAACGCTTAAGCCCTCACGTAACCTTGGCCCTGATAGCGTACCTGCTTATGTTCTAAAGTAATGTGCAGATGCTTTATGTCCTCCACCTACTAACATCCTAAACGTTTCTTTCTCCAAAAACGTTGTACCTGTTCCATGGAAAGACATTAAAATAGTCCCTGTCCCTAAACTTGGAAATAGCAAGAACGTAAAGTTCAGACCCATCGCCATCACTTCCCCGTTTCTAAAGCTCATGGAAAAACTAGTACTTCTTAAACTCGAACCCTCCCTTAAAAGCTTCGAAGACCCCAAACAATTTGCCTACAGATAGGGTAGGAGTACTTTAGACGCTGCAGCCGTCTTAAACAACAGTATTATCTCATCATTAGACAAAGGTGCCAAATATGTCCGCTGCACGTTTCTTGACTTTACTTCTGCTTTCGACTCTGTACCTAGAAGTCTCTTGCTAAATAAGCTCTCCATGACACAAACCGAGTCCTGGGTCACTAACTGGTTGCATTCCTACTTTTCAAACAGAATGCAGTACACCGTATACAAAGGCCAATCCTCCTCTGTTGTGCTCACAGAAGCTGGTGTCCCCCAAGGTGCTGTACTCTCCCCACTTCTCTTTTCCTTCTTTCTACATGACTTACCATCTTCAAATGTGTTGACGATCTGACTGTATATTTGCATGTCAAGTGTCAAAGTGACTGCTCAAATCTAAATGGTTTTTAATCAGAAATCAGCCAGTGGTCCAAGGAAAGCAGTCTTACCTTAAATCCCTCTAAATGTCAAACAGTCAATTTCACCTTTAGGCATAAATTTGACCTAAACAAACTGGTTAGGACTCACGAGGTGTGCAACATAGATGGCACTGAAATAGAGACCAAGTCGGAAATTCGATAATACCTGGGCATCGTTCTATCTGCTGATCTTTCCTGGTCGTCCCATATCTTAATGATTTCTAAGAAAATATTCCGTCTTATCTTCTACATCAGGAAGTTAAGATATTCTGGAATAACCCAACCCTTACTATTACGATTTATTAACTCTTGCAGCCTGCCTATCATTCTCTATTGTTCCCCCTTAGTTTTTCCATGGCTACTGAAGAAAGACTATACCTCATTACGCAGGATGTTAAAGGTTATCAGTAGGGTAATCAATGTGCCACTTAACCAGCTTGTTCATATTCTGGTTGACAGACACATGGACTCATGTGAAAAATGGGCAAAATCCATTTTATCTAACTCACACCACCCTCTTCATTCACAACTCTCCCCTTGTATCTATCTCATCAGGCAGGACCAGGAGCCTGCCTATATAGAAAACTATATACTCGCACTAGTAAGTACAAAAACTCAACCATACCCTACTTAGCTCGTGTTCTGTGCGATAAAGAGAGCATTAGGAGTGAAACTTATAACTTATTAAATAGTCAGTAGAACAACTGGATCTCGTCTTTCCAACTCATATCATTAATAAATACAGCGTTTGAGTTCTTTTCAATTTCTCTTTTTTGTTATGTACTGTTTTGTTTCTCTCTTCCTTACAAACTCTACTTAAAACCCTCTTCTTCGTTCTTTCACATTCTGTATATCTCGACCTTTTTGTTACCGCTTACGCCAGTAAATATGCTATCATCTACTTTTCTAACACCTTCAAACAGTGTGTAATTTTTGTCTTTCCTACCGACATGCCAATATGTCGTGTCATAAAGAACTGAGACTACCCATAATCTATGTAGAATTTTATTTATTGTTAATGTAAAAACTGGATGCATTATTGTAGTGAAACGCTGAGAATTCCACTCTGTGTCACAATTACTGTTTTGGAATAAAGCAAATTATTATTATTATTATTTTAAAGTAGGATTAGAAAGACCAGGTAGATTTTCATTACTCTGAAATCAGTTTGAAAATCTACTGCATTAAGAATCAAAAACGACAAGATTAAAAATTCTCTACACTAACTTCAAGGTCACTCAGTTCTTCTGTGTGGGTCAGAAACTTGGTATGCCACGAGAAGTATTTTCAATACACTTCAGACTCTTATCAAAGGTTTCCTTCGTTGACCTTCAGATACTGAAGGTCAGCTGGCCAATCAGTCGGAAGGCAGAAGCATCAAGAAACTCGGGGAATGAATCAACCAAGAACATACTGCTCAACAAATATTCCGAAGGAAACGGAGATGGATGAGACACACGTTGAAAAGACAATCGAATGACGTCGTGTGCTGGGTCATTGCTCAATTGAAACCCGAATGGGAAACGATGAGTTGAGTGTTGGCCGAGAAGATGAGAGCTTTTGGACAGTTATGGAGTCATCTGAGGAGGACTGCAGGGAACAGGATGAAGTGTAGATGTGTTGCTGAAGTCCTATCTTACACTCAGAACGTAAGGGAATAATAGTGACTGATTACAAGATGGACTTCTTGGATTAATTCACTGTGCTATGGATGATATTTGGGTCATAGACTTTAAAATTTGTCTTCCTACCAGTTGGTTGCGGATTTAAATTCCTCTCTACATACTTCAACTAGGTCAACTTAGCCTTGCTCGCAAAAGTGTGATTTAAAACCACGTACATGAATAACCTGTTCCCGACTAACTGGTTTCTAACTCGAACTAGTCGATTTTATATAAAGCTTTGTGTAGTAATTTGAAAATATGATTAATTTTTTTCTATGTGCGTATCCATGTGTGTGTTTTTTAATTAACTCAGACTTCAGGTACGTAAACGACTTCAACCTCAACGTGGTCGTCCAGCTAAAAGTAAACCAACTAGTCGTCTAATCATTTCTACAACTGTTCCGTCAACATCTACACATGGAAATACTTCAAATACGGATACAAAGACATGCGCCACTGGACAACTATCAGGTGGAAATATTAACTCTACAGAATTAAATTTAAGCTTTCAAAGAAATTCAGATATTATTGTCGGTAGTGTTGGTGAGAATTTACTTGAAAGAAAACGTCAAGCAGCTTGGGCAGAACAAGTAAGTTGTTTTCTGAGCGCATTTCCTTTTTATTTGCAAAAATTGTCAAATGAAATAGAAGAATGTAATAAATATCTTAAGATGATCTGTTTCAAAAAAAAGATGGATGTATATCTTTTCAGCCTCTAATTGAATATAAATGCTTTTATACACAATTGTGATTCATTAGGCATGCCTAAACTTTGGTGATACATTTGCTAAATTCTATATGTAATTATATATATATATATATATATATATATATATATACAACGCGAATCGGCAAAATTTAGAACTAATGAGTCCTTTGGATCCCGTCCCAGTGGCTGCATAATCAACGAGTTCGCTTTGTCAACTGAAGGACCTAGATTCATACCATAGAGTGTGTGTGCACACTGTGAAGTCGCAGAGTAGGACAAAACAGCTGTCTAGTACTCCCTGGTTTTCCAGTGGTTCCTTAACATTCTAGGCTATTATGTAAACTATAATTCATATTACCTGAAAATTACTAACGTATAAAATGTTTGTCATTGATTTTTATTTCCATTTTGCACAGGCTCGAAGTGGTCGTGTGAAAAGAATACGTCCGCTGAAAGCAATAGGACCGGCTGCTATTGTTTCATCAAATGATTCTGGATCAAATGCTACGCCCAGTAGTAGTAATAATAATAATAATAATTTAGCATAGACAGTAGTTGTCACAGTGATCTTTTATTTTATCAATTTATTATTATTATTACCATTATTTTTACATTTGTTTCTTACTATTTCTGTGGATTTTTACTTCTGAGATTCTGCCATTTTATCACAGTACTTTTGTTACATGCATTTGTTGTGTTTTGTGTACAAATACAAAGATATACTACACAAAATTATAAATAAAATTGTACATATTTGGGTTTTCTAGCCTTTTAAATCGTCGAATATACACACTAGATCAGAAAAAAAATGTTTTTGTTTTAAAGTTGCAGTAAAGAGACTTTTCTGTTGTACGAAATCATCAATTGTACAGCTGTACATTCATTCGTGTGTTTATTTATGGTGAATGAGTGAGAAAATTATTTCAAGAATTATTTCCGGTCAAAGATGCGATCAATAAAATTACAAGGTGTAATAAACAGGAAAATCGGATAAAAAAGCAACCAGTAGAATGATAATTACTCAGAAACTTGACTCTTCATGCATTTGGGGTTTAAAAAGGTAGTTAGTGATAACAAACAAAGTGGACATGAAGTCTGGATAAAAACATAGTAATGCAGATAGGAATTTTTAAAGTAAAAAGTAAAAATAACAGAAGTGAACAGAAAGACTGAATAAGAAAGACGACAGGATAATCATTATTGAGAGGAATGGCTTCTTATGATGGCCATACTAGTGACAACGATTATGCATGTTGCTTTTGAGCACATAGTGTGGGCTTAAATTTTGGAATTTCTAGTGCCTCAGCCATTTCAAGGTGCATTGAGTTCACTGCTTTTGTGAGGTCTGATTGGATCTTCTAGATGAAGGAATCTCACCTACATCCTCATTTTGGAGGGACATTTGAAAAAAGCAGTTAGGGAACCGATGTAAACCAGGTAGCCGTCATTCCCTGGTTTCCGTATCCTCCCTCAGCAGTTCTCTCCAACATCTTTACTAAAATTTTCAGATTACGAAGTGAGCTAATGATTTGGAACCTAATCGTCCAAGTAGTCAAATTCTCGTCAAGTTGCACTACCATCCAATAACATAGATGAGTATTTATCATCAAACCTAGTTTGGTGAATCCTATAGATCTCATTATAAACCTATCTCGAAGTTTCTCAGTAATCAGCAATAAGTTATGTATCGTCTTTATATCTATAGAAAACAACTCTCCATTCCCTGCTTGCCAATCATCTTGACTGTACTTCAAAAATCCTGTATATCAATTCGTCACTGAAAGTCTTCGCAATTATATACCCCCATACTAGATAAGATTGTGTTGGCGATAGAATACCCGTCAGCCATGCAAGTCGTTCAGGGTTTCATTTCCAGCCGACACACTCGTAAACCTCACCTAGTTTACTAGACGGTGGTAAGCTTGTGAGAGACAGAAGGTGTTAGGTTTGCAACTAGCAACACCGCCAGCAGAACTCCAAAGTTTGAAGTCCTACGGTCCACTCGGGGGGCAAGAGATTAAAAAGACAGCAAATAGTGAATAAGATAATTACACTACTTTATTTACGTCTTTAGTGCACACAACATCCAATTCTATAATATCACGGTACTAAGTGTTGACAAATTTTCGTGATTCATGTAAATCGATCTTAAAGTATAGATTCAAACTAGACTACTATACGTTTAAGTATTATGTAACAAAATGTCCAGTTTGTTAACTAAGCTATAAATATGCAAATTCTTTTATTCTTCAGTTTCTAGGCAAAGTTAAACTTTCAGCACCACTAACAGCCAATCAGCGAACGACCTTGAACGGACCAATCACATGAAAGAGGCATTTATGATACAGGGAAACGTATATTTATGGAAAAAAAGCATAAAACTTACTGGGGGTATCTTTCTCTAACATGTGACAGCAACATCTCCCAGTCAAGCATAGGACTGTCAACAGAAAAGTTACGCCATATTCTATACATATATTCATCCAAGTGACTATAAATGAGATCCATTTATAGCCCTTATCCTATTTTTCAACCTGCCCCAAAATGCTTCAATAGAATTTGTATGTGTCCTCGTAATGGGATCGACAAAATCACTTGAATGGTTGACTCTATGATGAATATATATCCCAGAGATGATAGAGAATTGTAACCTTTCCATTCGTTTGTATGTATTATAGATCCTCGTTTTACAAGTCTTGTAATAATAGGTATAAGAGTAGTTGCTTTTCTATCTGCTATCCTTTCCACAAATCCCTTTCGGAGGGAGGTGTCGTACAAACCAATTACCCAAATACTGTTGGCTCGCTGCCGACGACGGTTGTATTTCTTCTTCACCAACACAGTTTCGTCAACATTCACAACGATGTCTTCTCCACCCAACAAAGAAGTAATTTTCTCCATTTCCCACGACGCAATGCTGATACCACTGAACTGTTGAGAGGAGGCTATTCTCCATTTCAGCAGCTGCGGGTCTCACCGGCTGTTTCAAGACCCAGTAGTTGCAAATATACAAAATTCGCGTTAAGAAGAGATGTGACCTTGCAAAAAAAGTTTCTACGAAACCATATTTTCGTTAGGCACACATTTGAAACGAATCAAACGCTATACAACATTGAATTCGCGTTCGTGAATCCCATTGGAAAATTCGACGTTGTTCGCTGATTGATAGTTGGTGGCGCTTATAGTTTAACTTGGCCAGTTTTTATAGGACAAAACTGCTAATAAGCTAATTGCTTATTATTATTCCTAAGCCTTTCTCTTATCTGTAGCCTATATATTCTCTGTTCTTTTAAAAAATCATACAGCTAACTGGTGTTAGTGTTCACGCATATTCTGGTTTATATTATTTGCAGTTGTCTTAATACTTTTATCATATCATGAAACATCAGGCAGCCTGTTTGAATCACTGAATTCCCGTCCAACAACACAATACATCATATTTTCTCTAATTCTTGTTGATTCAATCATTCAGTTATGTGTCCCTGAGTTACAAAATATGCGTACTTACGCATATTTATAATAAGCTTTAAAACTATCACGCTGCGCATATCGTGGAGACGAAAGAAAAAAACTATGGGTGATTAGTCACCGCTTCACATCGAATAGCCTCCCACGTCACATGGAATTCTATAGATTGATGTTTTACCTGAAGATTCTCGATGAAGAGAAAGTATTTAGCAGTAAAACAATGCTGAGAATTTTGTTCAAAATAAAGCTATTATTGTGGTGAGAGCTGGCTGTTAGTCAAATTTGGCGGACAGTAGTTTACGTCAATGTTTATGTCCCCAATATTGGTCGTGAGAAAAATGAGAACAAAGGCTTTGCGTAGGCGGATACACTTAACCTATAGATGATCTGGCATTCAAGAAACAGCCACAAAGAGATGCAAGGTTAACTTTCTGTGAGAAACAATCAATCAGTAGACTGTGTTTTTCTGCTAACAATAATCTATAATATGTACATGAGAATCTATAAATGTGTTGATTTCCTTAATAGATGATCTGTTGACTGACCCTTGTCTTCTGTTGTTGCATTATTACTAATTATTCGTCGCACAAGAGATGGTTGTCCTACCCCAGTGGATTACGCTTTTCGATTCGGACCAATGAGTACTGGTTTGCAGTCTCAATGAGTATACCATCAGTCATTGGTGAACAAGTACCTTCCTCCAGTTGATTAACCCCCAAAAAGGACGAAATGTACTTTGTGGATTTTACTACTAGCCACCAGCAAACAAGTATTTGTAAGTTTTATTAATAACAGGAGTCAAAAGAAGACTTTTGATTTCATTTTATGATGAAAACTAACTTACAATCTAACAAGATGGAGTATTCAAAAAAGTGATTCCTAGCAAAACCACCTGTTTTGGTTATATCTCACCACTGAACTACAAGAAATGTCAGTTAACACATCAAACCAATAACCAATCAGATGGGATTACAACACGCTTTTTGAATTTTTCTGCAGTCATACAGATAACAAATATGAGATTATGATTAAATGGCTCAACGATACCATATTTGGCCCGTGTTCTAAGTGACAGAGACAATGTTAAGCGTGAAACCTATGATTTGCTTTGTTGTTAATAACAATTTTAGGCTTTTATTCCTCTCTTATTTGTATTCTATAGTGAACACCTTCTTAAACATACTTAGCTACCTAAATTATTAACATTGGCTTACTTTTTATTCTTTATTCTATTCCTTCTTTTGTGTATCTACTGGTTCCGACTATATTGTCACTATGAGTATTACAAAATTGTCCTGTCATTAACCATCATGTAAAATTAGTTTTGTGATTGATTTGGTTCGGCAACATTAACAGATAATCTTGGTTGTGAACACCGTTATCACCATCTTAAAAATTTGGTATTATGCAGGATTACTCACACTACCACTACAAACACCGCATTAGAGCTGACAATGAAAACAGAACCCTGAAATGTTTATTTTATGATTGTTTAGCGTTGTTTAATCAAATTAACTGATCATCTTGGCTATTAACATTCTTAAGAACATTTCATAACTTCTTGTATGATATAGTCTTACTGTTCACCAAGCATAAACATATCATAGCTTACATTACCCAAAACTGAGATATTATTTATTATTGTTGTTTATTTTCCATTCTACTTTTTGGTATTTTTTCGCAATTTTTTTTTGCTATTTTGTGTTGTTGTTGTTTTTTTATATTTGATTCTTGGAAATACTCTTTTTAAATGTTCGATAAAATTAGATGCAATATTGCAGATAAGTGCTGAAAATTCCACACTGTACCACTAGTACTGTTTCTTGAACAAAGTAGATTATTATTATTATTAGAAAAAGTCACATAAATAATTCCTAGGATGACCATATTGGTTGTGCACATTGCCTTTTCAACAGTTGCAGACCAATTCAACTACGAGTAATGTTAGCTGACACAGAATCGGATTGGAAAGGAACTATTGGTGATTAAACAAATCCGTGAAATTTTCGACAATTCATTTTAACCACATAAGGAAGTAAAGGTTTCTATCTAGGTTGGGGTCCACGGGAGTGTGACACTTCTGGGCGAAATTCTCTGTTGAAACAAGTTAATCAGTGAGTCTATTTTAAGAAGTCTTTTCCCAGCCCACCCGACCCCTCGAATAATCACCCCTCAACTCACAACAATAAAATGAACAAACAAAAGTTGCATATTTCATCAGCGTCAAGTGAGTAAGAGTATTCAATTATCAATTACACACCATCACCTCCAGGACAGAAAATATTACTAAGAAATAGAATTCAAAAAAAAAAGAAATATAAAACAACCATGAAGGAATGAGATTTAGTGAAAGACAAAAAAGGCCGACTGATAAAAAAGAATTCCTTGGAATGTGTACATTCAACACATTTGAAGAAACCGTAAGATCACAATTTATACATATTCATCATTGAAATTATCCTATACAGAGTATAACCAAAAGGGAAAAAATATATTTATCACAGGAAAACTAAATGAATAAATAAATAAACCGTGAAGAAGTCGAAGAAGAAGAAGCATAAAAATGCAAATATTTTTGAAGAGAAAAAATAACCCCCCCACACACACACACACAAATGTGTGAGATATAAAAAATGATTAACTAATATAGACAAGGAGAAAATGAGTAGTGTAATCCCTGTGTGTCTAATAATCTTTTGATTGTAGTAAAATATTTAATTTAATTGTTTCTGGTACACGATTTAATAAGAAATTGCCATCATAACTAATCGATGCGAAATACCAGGCATCTACAGGACTCCATTCAGCTGCGTAGACACTTTCTTCATGTTGTTCTAGTCGAGCGATTAAGCCATCTTTATTTCTGTACAAAGAAAAAGTGTAATTATATAACAAAATAATGATATATATATATACATATATATTTCCTTAACCAGTCATTAAATACTAAATTAATAAAGAGTTCCGTTATGACACACTTCAATAATTAACACCTGCAACAGCACGAGGGAAATAACATAACATAACTATCATTATTATTTCGTGTAATGTTATTTCCGACCATTCTTCTCGAACTCACACTACCGTGAAAGCGCTTACAGAGAGTTGTCCTCTGAAGTGATGACACCCGCTGGTGTCTGTCAGAGATGTCCAAGGTCCTCATTCTTCTTTAACTTCATCATAAATGTACTAATGGAATTCACTCTAACTGACGACTTCAGATACTCAGAGATTGACATGCTACCAGGGGACAATCTGGTCAACCTAGAGTAGTTGAACGATATCGTCCTCCTACGTGAAAAAGCTGATAAAATTCAGAGTCTCCTAAACACATCGAGGTGGAATATTCGAATCTTTGGAGTGAAATACGCTCCTGTGAATGTGAAAAGATGCCTTCACTACTGTTCTCCATCGACTCCAACTTTAAAGATAGGGAATGAAGAAGTTGGTAAATGCATTGACTACAACACTTACTTATCTGTGAAGTTACATCAGGCTTAATGGACTGACGAATGACAAATTCTCTCGTGTTGTGTGTATTAACCTACTTTATCTCTGGCATATATTTGATATCTAGCTATCGATAAAACGATGTGTGTTCCGTGCAGCATTTCTTTCTGTCCTTTCTTATGGCTCTCAGACGCAGTTATTGAAAGTGGAAGATGTGAAGCGTTTAGCTATCTAATGACTGGAAACATTTGGTGGTATGGCTCGAACTCATTTTCAATAGCACAGATGCACTCACTCCTTGTGATTTCCCGTATCAATTAAATCCTCATGTTTTCTTGCCTATCGAATCTTTTTCTACACATTTCTGATTGTTGTAGATTTTTTGAATTTATTTTTTCTCTCTATTGTCTGCTTTGTGTGCCATGTGTAGCGTAACAAGTTGGACTGGTGTACTTCTATGCAACATTCTATGTTGAAATTAAGTCAGACATAACACAATAAAGTTGTGACGTCAGCATAACACTTTTTATTGAATAATTCAATCACAATCCAATACTTTATGATATCTAAGCTCTGTATATCTCGGATATACTGTCGACTAGAGTTATGGGGGAAGTGCTTTTACAATCAACCTGCTTGTGTCAAACAGATCACAATTGCTAATCAGAACTTGGCAAAATTCATTACTATCGAAGAAACGCTTGTTATTACGACTGAAAGTTTGTAGAAGAGATTGATTTCAAAGGTTTTGTCATTAAAAAACACAAATTTAGCGCTTAAATTATATCATTTGATGTGTATTTTGTTTTACACAAAAATACTTGTTTTTGTCTAGTTCTCTGATATGGCTATGCAGTTTTCTTACTCTTTTATTTCTTCAAGAGAACCTGGAAAGATGATGAATACTAGGCCTAACAACCTTGCCTAGTTAACTAGCCGGTCTCACGCGCCTTTAAAGATGGAGGGTCGCGCGTCGGACCAGCAACCCTACGCCACAAAAGCTATCAAACTGCTAGAGAAAATCCAACGCACAAAAATATATTAAAAATACAAAGTGTTCAAATAACAATCTTATTTTTCTCTGGAATCAGAGAGGTGAAATGACAAAGAGGGCTGGTGAAAGCCTTCGGGAAGCCAGTCAGCTAATTTATCTTCTCTCGATGAAAGCAAAAATAAGAATGGAGACGTGGAATGTACGTACGATGTACGAGGCTGGCTGGGAAGGCTGTCCAGGTAACCAAAGAAATGAGAAGATATGGCATAGAAGTGTTGGGTATCTGTGAAAGCAGATGGAATGGATGTGGATTGTCAAAGTCGTCAACTGGAAACTCAGTAATCTACTCCAGTCTAGTCACTCAGACGACAATTACGAGCTAATTGAGGCAGTGAGTGGCTATCATGATGTCACCAGTGGCAGCCAGAGCCCTAATGTAGTGGAAACCAATTTCATCTCGCAGGATTATAACACTAAGATTCAACTCAATAGGAAGGAAGGTCACAATTATTCAATGCTACGCACGGTGTTACAAACAACGTGGAACAAGAGAAGACAAAAGATTTCTATAGAAAAATACAAACAGTAATGGACAAAATCCCAAATAGTGACATCAAATCCTCATGGGCGATTTGAATGGCGGCCAAAATGGGAGGATGTAATACGGGAAGAAAACTCATCATGGGTCGAGATGCTCTCGGAGAAATGAATGAGAACGTAGAATATTCTCAGACTTCTGAGCGTTCAATGATCTGGTGATCTGAGGTAGCGTGTACAATCACAAGGATATAACATAAGGCTAGTGACATGGATTTCACCTGATGGACACACAACACAAACCAGATAGATTTCATCTCAATGCTGCTCAAAGAAGTGGAGACGCAGTCAGTCTTCGTCAGACACAAAGTCGAGAAGAGAAGCAAATGTGGGATCACACCATCATCTAAATCAAGGAACCTTCAAGGTGAAGCTGAAATCCCACAAGACAACTGAAGACAGAACACTGTAATTCACGTTCAACATTCAGAAAGTGAAGGGCAAAACTACAAGGGATATCTTCACTACAGATCAGATCATAGCTAAGTTGGAGACACCACGTTGTATCCCTGAGGAAACGTGCGTGGAAGAACAGTGGAACTAACTCTCTGAAGATGATGCTCGAGGAAACGTATAAGTGTTCTAAGAAGAAAGAAGAGACAAGACAAGGAATGGCTCCCAACGGATACCTGGAAGCTAATAGAAGGAGGAGGATGGTAGAAGAGAAGATGGCTCAATGCAAAGATGGACAAGAGAACAGAAGGAGGAGCTGAGTTAAATGTACACTGCGCTGAATAAAAAAGACAATTCTACGGTGCAGTGACCGGCAAGTGAAGCAGAACAGGTAGGCCGCAGGTAAAAGAGACCTCAGGACATTATATCAGATAACCAGGTCTCTATTTGGGAAGAGATCAGCCCAGATGATGAAACCAATAAAAAGAGGCCCAAGAAAACCTTCATATTAAGGAGGGAAAATAAATAAAATATCGGGTTGATCACTTTAAAAGACTCTTGAATTGCCCATCATCTGCGACTCGCCCAGAAATACCAAAAACAGTAACAGCACGCACAAAACTGCCTGCCAGTGGACACCAATCCTCCGTCGAAAGCAGAAATCCCGAATGCGGTTAAGTTACTGTAGTCCGGGAAGACAGAAGAAACAGATGGAATTCCCCAAGACGAAACACTGGAAACGGACCAAGAGACTTTGGCAGATGTTCTCACACCATTATTATTGCAAAAGGTTTGGAAAGAAGGAAAGGTGCCTGATGATTGGAAGAAAGGCTACCTCATCAAGCTGCAGAGAAGTGCGACCTAGGCCTGTGAAAGAACTGGCGTGGAATAATGCCCTTATTCACACCAAGTAAAGTACTAAGTAGCATCGTCCTAGAGAGTATAAAAGATGCACTGGATACAGAGCTCCGCCAACCCCACCGGAACAAGGTGGATTCACGAATGGAAAACTTTTTACTCATCAAATTGCAACTTTACGCATCGTCATCACAGAACAAAGCATAGAATGACAGTCAAACCTCTCTCTGCCTCAACTTCATCGACTTTGAAAAGGCCTTCACCAGACGGCGCTGACTGAGAAGTAATTTGGGAACTACTTCAACACTACGACGTGCAGTGCACCAAATTTTTATCATCCTCATTCAACAGTTGGCAGTGCGACAATTCCTGCCACGTGACAGGTGACCCACAACGGAAAATTCAGCGAGGCCTCCGAAGTGAATACAGGAGTAATACAAGTCTGTCTGTCTGTTGTCACCTATGATGATATTCTTAGTTGTGGTGGACTGGATTATGCATCGGACTGTACGTTGGGAGTGAGAAGACAGGAATTCGCTGGACTATCGGTAAGAAGATTCTAGAAGGTCTGGATTTTGCGGATGATATGTGTCTAACGTCACACAAACTCGAATACTTGGAGACGACAAGCAACAAACTAGCTGAAGAAGCAGGCAGAGAGGACAGGACTTCATGTGAACATAAAGACAGAGGTGATGAAGATAACCAACCAACCAGCCAACAACAACCAGCACCAATCACTGTCAACGGAATATGTTTGAAAGAGGTTACTTCCTTCACCTATCTATCCAACTACAGGCGACAGAACGCAAGAGGATGTCAAAAACAGCCACGATCGGAATAGCAAAAGCTCACCTTCATCAATCTGAAGTCAGTTTGGAAATCTTCTGCACTTAGCATAAATAACAAGATTCGGATTTTCAACACCAAGAGGTTAGCCAGTTCTTTATGAGTCAGAAACTTTTATCAACAGCTTCCTTCTCAAGTTACATACTCAAGACCAAATGGTTGGCCAAAAAGGATGAGCAACAAAAAACTCTGAGAACGGACCACTTAATAGCCTACAGCTCAACAAATATTCCGAGCAAAAAACAGATGGATTGGGCACACACTGAGCACACCGTTGGGTGATATCGCGCGCCAGGCCATTGCTCGAGTGGAACGCGGATAAGAAACAACGAGTTAGGTCTGGGTCTGAGGATAACATAAGGGAGTCTGTGTGGGGAGGAGATGAGAGTTTGTGGGTAGTTGTGGGTCTGGTTAAAGAGTACCTCCGACAATAGACCAAAGTGGAGATGTTGAATTGAAGCTCTGTGTTCCATTCGAAACCCAAGGGAACAATAATAATAATAATAAGTAGTCCAAAGACTATTTGGTTAGAAGCCTGTAGAAACTAAATCTTTCACTCTAATTTCTTTCTATAATGATGTGTCCTACAAAATCACCGAATCTAAATATCAATCCCCAGCTCTTTGATGGCTATTGGATGGATGTTCTGAAGGTATGCTGAGGAGTAAGTCATGGTCAGTGGGGTCCAGCATGTCAAGATGAAGTGGATGAGCTATATCATGAGTCCTTAAATTCCTGCCAAAGTGTCTGAATGGTCAACGAGATTAGCCTTGTAACCTGAAGATCCTGGTGGGGTCATGGGTGTTTCCCAGACCAGGACACAACTGTTCTCCACTGCTCCCTGGTTTTCAATGATGTCTGTCCAACTAATGTTGGTTTGTGACGAAATTTACATTGAAATAATCCAAATCATTACACCAAAAAAAAAAAAAACAATTCATAATCTAAAACTATCATACAAATAGAAAATAGCTTACACATCATTCTCCTCTTCATTAGAATCAATTGAATGATTATCAACTTCACTTTGAACATCTGTTGTTGTTGTTGTTTCACAATGACCAACAATTGACTGTGAATTTACTTCATTGATGATATCTTCATTCATAGCATCAGAGGAATAACTTGGTAAATTGTATAGGCAAACACGACCATCACTTCCTGACGATAGAACAAGTTGATCTCGTGTTGGATGATAACGTACTGACCAAATCTGAAGAAAAACAAATATGTAATGTTATTATTATTACTTAAAAGAATTAGTTCTTCTCTTTGTGAATTTGTGTTACGTCTGCTTAGTCATCGCCTTCCTCGACAATGGGCAATGTTAGCTGACATAGGGTCAGGCCTGAGAAGACCTAGCGCAGGTCAAACCAAAACATGGCCTCGCCAGTCAATGAAATCCACAACAGTTAGTCTAAGCCACGTAGGAAAGTGTAGACTTCTTGACTGGTTGGGCTCCCCGGAACGGTTAAAACCAATGATTGGAAACAATTGGTGATATGGCTCAAAATCGTTGTCAATGGCCGGCTGGCGGAGATGCATCCACTCCTTGTGACCTATGATTTCCAATGAAACTGTTTTGTTCTTTGTTATTACTATTCCTTTGTCTCACACCTCTGTTTATTGGCTCTATTATGTATTTCTTCTACTTTCTTCTCTTGCTTTTTGTGCTAGATGGAGTGTAGCGACTTGTACTGCTGTACGTCGGTGCAAAGTTCTATGTCGAAAATAGACACTTTGTGAATTTAGACAAAACAATAAGAAGACGTAATTTGTCTGAATCGTGTAACGTATTTGCGCACAAAACATTTCGAGCAATCTGATAACATACGGACTTGTCATTTATATATATATATATATATATATATATATAATTCATAAAATTCCAATGTGTTGCGTTATTATTATTACTATTATTTTCACACACTTTCTATGATACATTCGGATTACACTTAAAATATACTAATAGTAATTATCATGACTAAAACACAAAATTGGTACATTATGTGCACCTACAGCGGCGCTGTACAAAATCTCATAGTTTGTGCGAGGGCTGGGATATTAATTGAGCATCCAGATCCAAGTAGATGATTGTGTTAAGGGGAAACCTACCACCCTTCCTCCAAGCCTTTAACATGAAGTCTGATCAATAAGGCAGTGGAGCAGCATCAGGTGTGACGTCCCCATGGTTTCCGGTGTTCAAAACAGGTTTAGACACCAATCGACGGTTTCGGCTTCTAGAGCTAATGAACACCATAGGTTTGGAATCAGATTTTTCCAGCTCCATTAGGTGATAAACCAAGACATCCATCCACCTGTCTGGTTGCTAGAACCAGAGATGTTCGAATTCGCCCTTTCATTTTTATGAAGAACACTCCTGCTGCATGAAGACAGTGGATAGGAATTAACCTGACAGAGGTTATGAACTCGTGGCCACATGAAAGTGTTTCAAGGGGAAGATCGAAGTCTATCCACCCTCAGCAGTACCAGATCGTTTATTGGGGGATACTAATAGTAGTAGAGATAATAATACACGAATAATATGAAGAATGGCTTAGGTGTTTGTTTATTGACCATAAAGTTACTGAATCGTTTCGCTCAATGATCAGTATTCGATCAATACTAAGGAATAGTCAACAAGTGATCATTTTTTCGGATTGCGAAACTGCTCTTCGGTGAATAGCACAAAAATTTTTCTCAGTAACAGAGAGATGACAGACAAACTGTTGAAAGTTAGGACGCCTCGTGAATTACTGAAAGGCAGAAATGAATTAAATATTGATCTGAAGATTTGACTCATTGGCTTAACACCATCTTACTTTCAGCCGGAAGGTCCCTGGCTCGAATTCAGTTCCTGAGTTTCAACACAGAACTTTGAACAGAAGTGCACCAGTTCGAGTCGCCAAACTTCAATCAGTACACAAAGCCAGAGAAGAAGAAGAAAGTAAAAGAAATGCAAAATAGAGACAGTAAACAGAAATAAGAGGCAAAAAGAGTAGTAAAGTCGAACAACAATATAGTTATATTGGGTATTATAAGTCACAAGGAGTGGATGCATCCACGCCATTGAGAACGATTTTGAGCCATATCACCAACTGTCTCCAGCCATTGGTGTTTACTGTTGCGAGGACCCCAACCAGTCAGAAAGTCTACACCTCCACACATGACTGACTTAAAATAACCGTTGTGGATATCATTGACTGATGAAGCTATGTTTTGGTTTGACTACCGCTGGCTCTTTCCCAACCTGACCATATATCCGCTAAGATTGCCCGTCGGAAAAGTCGATGGCTAGGCATGAGTAATACATGTTCTAACCACCTCAGTCGATGTAACTTCATAGTCTCATCGACCAACTTTCCCTTCTTACCTAACACTCGATGCATAACTTCAATATTACTCCCTCTATTTTACCACCTAACACAGGAAATAGAACGCAGACATCTATGATCAAAGACAGCTAGCGTTTTCATGCCTTCCACTCTCAATGGTCAGGTCTCACAGCCATAAAGGAGGACAGAGCGGACTGATGAGCAGTACACAGGTCCTTCGGTCGATAGCCAGCAGGATATCACGTCTACGCTGGAGACGGCGTAAACTGGCATATACGAAATTAGCCTTCTGTTTCCGTGCTGAAATTTCATCAGCGATTAACCCGTTGGGGCTGGTGCAACTTCCCAAATAAGTGAAGTGGTCAACACGCTCTACCACCTCACTCCGTATTTCTACGCTAGGAGTCAATTTCGTCCAGTCCTGTACCATCATTTTACATTTCACGGAGCGAATCACATGCCGATCATTCGAAGATTGTTGCTCCTCAAGGTGCTCAGAAGACTGCATTATGTCAGCGTCCTCACCTATTCTAAGTCAACGAGATTATTCCCTGGCGGTAACAAGTCAGTTAGACTTAAGTCCATTAGTACATCTATGATGAAATCGAATAGAAAAGTGGATAGTGGGCATCCCTGAAGGACACCACTAGCTGTTACCACTTCAAATGACAACTCTCCGTAAAGAGAGAGAGAGAAAGGAAGAAAAAAAAGATATTCAAAAGAGTGAAAATAAGCAGAAACGTGTGGTTGGTAAAGTAGTAACATGGAAAACATGAGGGTTTAGTGGATCTGGGAGTTTACAAAGAATGAATGCATCTACGCCATTCAGAACGGCTATTGGTCATAAGACCGACTGTCTCTAATCATTAGTTCTAGAAATCCCGGGGACCGCAATCAGACATTCTACATCCACTTATGTGACTCAAAAAGTCAAAGACTTCATGGATTGATGGCAAGTTTTGGTTTGATCACTCCTGAACCTTTACCAACCCTAATCTCATGTCAGTCAACATTGGTGGACAAGGAAAGTGGTGATTCAAAGTGTGCAACACGTATCATAGCCATCTCGATCGATGTAGTTATACAACTTCAGCGACTGACAATACCTCTTTACCTAGAACTCCACGCCTAACCTCATCATTACTGAGCATGTTATATCATTTAACATAGGAGATTGAAAGCAAACATATGTGGTGAAACACGGCTAAACGCTTCACATCTTCCACTTTCACTAACTGTGTCTCAGAGCCATAAGAAAGGACAGAAAGAAATGCTGCACGGAACACACATCGTTTTATCGATAGCTAGATATCAAATATATGCCAGAGATAAAGTAGGTTAATACACACAACACGAGAGAATTTGTCATTCGTCAGTCCATTAGGCCTGATGTAACTTCACAGATAAGTAAGTGTTGTAGTCAATGCATTTACCAACTTCTTCATTCCCTATCTTTCAAGTTGGAGTCGATGGAGAACAGTAGTGAAGGCATCTTTTCACATTCACTGGAGCGAATGTCATTCAAAGGTTCCTCCTCAATGTATTTAGAAGACTCACTTGGGAGGACGATATCATCAAACTACTCTAGGTTGACTAGATTGTTCCCTAGTAACAAGTCAATTCCTGAGTATCTGAAGTCAGTTAGAGTGGATTCCATTAATACATTTATGATGAAGCTAAAATGGAATGGGGACAGTAGACATCCCTGACAGACACCATTGGTTGTCATTACTTCACATGAGCACTATGAATCCCGCTCCATCTATTACAGGTTGGGAAAATGGTTAGCATCATCAGATCTGACACAATGAGTATAGCTCAGACTGGTTGGTACATAAGAAATAATTTTCGGGAAAGTCGGTTCTAATACCTGAACAGTGAAAATGTAATCTAATATATGTAAGGCAAGTTGGTGCATTTGTACCTACAACAATAACATATCATGATAGCAGTCACTTAAGCTGTTGATGTAACTGGCGTTGAATCCACAAAACAGGCATCAGAATAATAATGAAATGGCATGAATTAGTCACATATGAACAAGAAATGTTTTCACTTTGTTCAAACAAGATTGGCCAAATGAATCGAGTTAAAAAAAACAACCTATTTATGCATTGTTGAAGATAGTAATCTCCACATAAAAGAATATGCGAATAGATTTTAAATACCAGTACAGTATACGCAGTAATGGAAACATCAAATACAACTAACCCAATGAGAATGAGATGAAAGTGCATACAACGGTTGAACAGTTGGTTCTGTACCGAATTGCATAATTCGTTCCGATGCATTCGGGATAGTTGGATTTATCATATTACCAGTATTAGCAGGAGTAGATAAACATCTATACCTCGTGCGTAGATAACGTAGATCCCAAATTCGTAGAATTCCATCATCTCCACCAGATAGTAAGAGATTTGGACGATGTGGATTGTAGTCCAAATCACGAACACATGGCCAATGGGCGTTTTCCATCCAAAAACAAGGTCTGATTGTAAAATATACAGAATGCTTACAATTGTAATATTGAATACAAAATTGTTATCTAGTTGAAAATGCATCTGATTCTCACTAGTGTCTGACTACAGGACGAAGTTGTCCAGAGTTTAAGTGAGCCGTCATGACCAGTGAAGTCCACCAAGAATAGTGTAACTACTAATACTCGTGGATGACAATGGCTGGCGGTATCGCCATATATTGCAAATTATGGACCATTGAATTTCGTCCCAGTGGCTCAATGTTATACAAGCTCACCTAGTAAGCTGAAGATCCTGTATCCATTCCTCCGTTAGGTTATGGGTGAGCACTGTCGAAGAGTCGAAACAACAGTTGTTCAGTGTTTATTGGTTTCCCAATAATGGCCTCTAATTGATGTTGGTTTGTGGCAACGTCTAACAACTGAAATTAATCCAAAATCCAAAAACCCACAAATCCCATAATAAAAATAAAAATCATAAGTATAAAATGTTAACTTATAATATTGATAAAGTGGAAACTGAGGAGTGATTTCAATCTAAAATTGACAAAACACCTGACTTACTTCATACATCTTACATCCCAACCAAGTATACCATTATCAAAGGCCATTGCAATTTGATTCAACTGTTCATGTGGAGACCATCGTATAGCATTAGGTGATACAGTAGCCGATAAACAACTAGACGATAATTTCATATTTGAACGTAATCCATCAGTTGTAGATGAAGGCGGTAAATACAACTGACCACTTGTACTAATCGCATAATCACCAGAATTTGAATCTGACGGTGCTTGAAGGATAACTAAATAGCTAGTTGTTGATGTTGTTATTAGAGATGGATAGGCATTTGAACTAACGGGATATCGAAGAGGAAATAGTGATAATTATAAATAAAGAGTATGATAATTTCGTAAAATAAGTATAAGGTAAACAGACATCAAAATAGCTGCATAATAATGAAAATGATATTACCTTCACTGACCGATCTTCATTATTTATTTAAATTATTTAATCGCATAAAAACTTGGTAAAATATGGCACCAAGAAGGATGCACCACACAATAATAATAAAACAACACAGATCAAATGAAGAAAAAATATATAAGTAGAGAACGGATAAAGAACTTCATCTGGAAGGAAAACAGTCATGCTTAACAAGTTCAAACAGTGTTCGTTAACTATCATCGGGAAGGGAAGAAAGAAGGAAGTTGCAACACGTTCGCCATTGATTACGTTTCGAGTCATCGATTCAAGCTATCTCGCGGACTCCAACCAGGGAGTCATGACGCACCAACCGATGCTAATCTAGCACAAAAATCCTTCACCCACGACGCCACGTCATGTACTGACCACTCCTCCGCCTTTTCCATCCCGTCCCAGGGCTAGCGAACAGAGACCTGTACGGAAGCCTCTGAGATGACACACACAGCACATGTCCAAGCCACCGGAGCCGGTGTTTCCAGGTGACGACACTCAATGAATGGTGATCTCCACTGTGTTCAAACACACGCCGCCGAACCTCAGAATTACTCACGCGATGATGCCATCCATCGAACGCAAGCAATCCTGCGGAGGCAGCGATGATCGAACACGCAGAGTCGCCGCACATCCTTAGCCTACTCGAAGAGGCCAGGTTTTACAGGCGTAGAGCAAGACAGCCCGCACCGAAGCATTGTGTACCCGACCTTTGACAGCCAGGCTAACGTCGCGACGCTGCCAGAGATGGATGAAGTTGATGTATGCCATCCTAGCCTTCAATATAGGGTTGGAAATAATAATAATAGCTTTATTCCAAACGGTATTTGTGGTACAGGTATGGAATTTTCAGCGTGCATTACATCCCATCCGTCGCGCCTCCGCCAGCACTCACACAACTACCCAGATACACATACTTATCAACAACTTCAAGTGGTTCACCCGCAAGAGTGAGTAGAGGTACAGGCTCCTGCCAATCTTGTAACAGTACTTTGCACTTAGACGGTGCAAAGCACATACCATACTTACAGACAGAGTTCGAGTAGAGTGCATTGATCAGTGCAATGTATTTTTTCGGCACTCCCTTTACAGCCAAGTATCACCATAGTGCCTCTAGGTCGACAGAATCAAATGCCACCTCTAGGTCAAGAAATATAATGACCTTGTTCCCAGCTCAACTTCAACTCACTTTCTCTACAAAACTTGAAGGATAAGCTACCCCTACTGGTCTCACCAACGTATATTTGTTAATTCACCTGCTACTGTGGACACAGGTATGCCAGCTGCACTTAGCGTTTGCTATCCAAGCATATCATCGAACGCTTAAAGTCAAGGTTTTATAAAGGCGAAAAACATCCTCTCCCACTGCCCGCAGGTCTAATTTTGGGACACGTGACCGAATCTGAACTCTTCAGAATCATTCACAGGAGTCCAAATCAAACTTCCCCAAAAGAACAAAAGCAATGATGATTCACGTGTTAAATTCTGAACTCTGCATACAGAAGCAGTTGGTTCAGTCACTAAACCTACAAGGACCTCATTAGTTTTAATTTTAGTTTTTTCATTGTATGAAGGATTTCATCATGAACTGACATCAGTTACAGAACTACTGGGAAACCAACGGGGAGTACTGGACAGCTGTTTCCTCCGTCCTAGTTTGGGACTCTTCATCAGTACGTATCCACCACAAGAGGATTGAACCCAGGACTTTCCGCCTACAAGGCGAGCCAGTTCGTAGACCATTGAGTCACTGAGACCCAATCCCATGTCCCATGAATTTTAACTTCTGTCAACTCACGACATAGCGCGACCATTTCGCAATGTCTTCTTGGATGAGTTACTGCCTCATCTTCAACTTGCTGTACCCTAATGGTCACGGCTTCCCACTAGAACCTCAGGTCACTTCCTGAATAGGGCCAGTCGCTAGTGAACATCAGATTAATTTTCATTGTATTTTATTTCTTCCCCAACACCTACCCACCCACCTGTCGACTATGACATTTCTACTTCTTATGACACTGATTTTAACTTTTTCAATTGTAATTGAGTTCTGCCCATTCCAATCACGCAATTCCCTTACTTAATTTTATTTCAGTTTCTACCCGATTAAAGTTTTCTGCATTATGACAATTATATATATATATATTGTCCATCAGAAGAGAAAGAACCGCTTGATGACTCTTTCAGGTAAATCAAACGACCAAACAAATTTATAACATTATAATCTGCTTAAATCTACTCTATAACTTCAAGATATCGCAAATGAAATTAGATCATGAGTGGAGACTGTTGAAGAGTTCCAAACTGGTATTAATGCATAGCCATCTATATACTTACATACATACTTCACAAAGGGTTACACACCTCTGAAGTAATGCCCTAATAAAATACAACTTGACTGCTCTAACTTTTCTGGGTGGAACAAAGTTCCAACCTAATGAATAGTTTGACTAGAAGTCCACCTGACTAACCGGTTTCAACATAGAACTTTGCAAAGATGTGCAGCAGTTCTAGTTGTCACATTTCCTCCTTGTAGAACACAAAGCAAGAGAAGAGATTAAAGATAGATTCAAAAGAGAGAACGATAGTAAACAGAAGTGTGAGTGAGGGAAAAAGAATGGTGGTAATATGGACGAACAATAGAGTTTTACTGGATATGACATACCACAAACAGTGAATGCATCTGCTCCATGGAGAACTATTTCGAGTAAACTGCCTACACACATGAGTAACAATAAGCCATTAAATATAAAGTGAAAAGTAATTTAGACAATTTCTTACCCAGGTAATTCTGTAGGTGGTCCAACAATACACGCCAAATCTGAACATGTCGTAGATGGATGAGAAGTAATCCTATGGTGAATTGAATGTAACAATAAAATAATTTATACTTAGATGAATACATACAAGTTAGATGTTGACAGTCAAATAAAAACAGGCAGTGATGAACTTACGCTTCTTTTGTGCTCATTTTTATATTACTACATTATATATTATTATTCCCTCTTCTGTGTAGTTCACCTTATCTGGTCCCACGATTGCCTATAGCCACTCAACTTCTCCTTCAACGATCTCATTCATGTTACCCTCAGACACATACCTAATTTGTGGTTTCCCATTCAGGGTCCACTCGAGGGACTGTCTCCAGTGAGGTTTCACCCTGTAATTATCTGTCTGTTATTCTACGTAAAAATGTATTCGCTGCATACCTGACTATTATTGTGACAATAAATACTATATTTTGATAGTTGTAAGAACTCATCAGTATGTTGAACATTTACTCTTATTGTCTTCATAACCTATTCTAATGAATCACAAACCCGATGAAGACAACATTTGATAAATCAAGTAAATAGTTATTCAATAAAACAAATTAACAAAAATAATTGTACTATACAATAGTTTGGTGGGTGGTAACCAGGAGAGGAATATAGTGGGTCAAGTGGTCTGGTGGATATAACACTTTGGCGTTTAAAACAAAGGGGGGACTGGGTTCAAGCCGCAGAGGGAGGGGAACACCATCACTCACTGAGGGATTGCAGATACATCCAGCTTAGAAATGGATTTCACTGCTAGTCGCTACCCACCAGATTACTACATGTTAATCGTCAGACATCGTCGAGGCGTTTTTTATGCCAGAAGCCGAAATGTCAATAGTGGCTGAACATCGATATCAACAGAAAAATCAAAATTCACTGAAAACAAATACTATGTGACATTCGTAAAAAGAAATGACATGAAAAAGACAAGAAAAGTAATCTTTCAAAAGTAAACCAAAATATCGCTTTAAGTAATGTCAGTGATTAATTTTAATCAAAATGCAGCTCAGTGACAAGAGATCTGAACATACAAACTAGTAAACTATAAAATCAGTATTATGACAATAGTCTGTCTGTCTGTTTTCGACATAGAACTTTGCACCGATGTGCGACAGTTCGAGTCACCACACTTCATGTAGCACACAGAGCAAGAGAAGAAAGTAGAAGAAATACATAATAGAGACAGTAAGTTGAGGTTCCATTATAGATAAGATCATATCAACTTGATATGATTATGAGCAATAGTTTGTGCTCGAAACGTCATCAGTTCATATAACTGTAAACACTGTGCGATTTATCAAAATAAAATAAAATCTATAATGGAATTATACTCTACCTGAGTGCCCAAGTTTTATACTTATATCAGTAAGTTGAGGTGTGAGACAAAGGAATAGTAATAACAAAGAACAAAACAGTTTCATTGGAAATCATAGGTCACAAGGAGTGGATGCATCTCCGCCAGCCGGTCATTGACAACGATTTTGAGCCATGTCACCAATTGTTTCCAATCATTGGTTTTAACCGTTCCGGGGACCCCAACCAGTCAAGAAGTCTACACCTTCCTACGTGGCTTAGACTAACTGTTGTAGATTTCATTGACTGGCAAGGCCATGTTTTGGTTTGACCTGCGCTAGGTCTTCTCAGGCCTGACCCTATGTCAGCTAACATTGCCCGTCGAGGAAGGCGATGACTAGGCATACGTAACACATGTCCTAACCATTTCAGTCGATGTAATTTCACAACCTCGTCTATTGATTTCCCCTCCCTCCTTACCTAGAACTCGTCGCCTAACCTCAATATTGCTCACCTTATTATACCACTTCACACGAGAGATAGAACGCAGGCACCTATGATCCAAGACAGCTAATCTTTTCACATCTTCTACTCTCAGTGGCCAGGTCTCACAGCCATAAAGGCGGATGGAACGGACTGATGAGCAGTACACACATTCTTTGGTCGATAGCCAGTCGGATATCACGTATACGCCAGAGACGGCATAAACTGGCAAATGCGAAACTAGCTCTCTGTATCCGTACTCAGCTGAGATTTCGTCAGCGATCAACCCGTTGGGCTGATGGTACTTCCCAAATAAGTGAAGCGGTCAACGTGCTCTACTACTTCACTCCCTATTTCTAAGCTAGGAGTCAGTGTGGTCCAGTCTTGTAACATCATCTTGCATTTGGCGGGAGCGAATCGGATGCCAAACATTCGTAGATTTCAGCTCAAGGTGTTCAGAAGAGCGTGTCTGCATTATGTCAGCGTCCTAGTCAAGAAGGACTATATCGTCTGCATATTCTAAGTCAACAAGATTATTCCCTGGTAGCAAGTCAATCCTTGTGTCTCTGAAGTGAGTTATGACAATAGTCTTAACATAGTAGAGATATTTTACCACGGTAAACAGAATTACAATGACTGATCGACTGACTAGTTTCAACAGAGAACACTGTACAGAATCGCACCAGTTCTACTCGTTACACTACATCTACCACACAAAGGAAGACAAGTGAAAGAGAGAGAGAAGAAAAAAGAGATTCGAAAGAACGACAATAAACAGAAATGTGAAGGAGAATGATGGTTTTGTATGAGAATAGGAGGTCACAAAAGGTGAATGCATCTAGGTCATTCAGAATAACGTTGAGCCATATCTCTAGTTGTCTTCAGCCAGGAAGCCTACACCTCCTGGATCAAAAAAAAAATTAACTGTGAAAGATTCCATGTACTGATTTTACAAGTTTTGGCTTTACCAACACTATCTGTTTTCCAACTTGATTCTAAATCAGATAACATTGGCTGTCGAGGAAGACGACGGTCGGGAATGAGTAAAATGTATCGTAGCCATAGCAATTGATGAATTGAATGGTTGCTTGTAGAATCTTTTCTCGAGTTAACTAAATTATTGTTATTATTATTATTATTACTGTCGTGTAGGACCTTCTTTACTGAATTATCTTTTCAGACTGTGAGTGTTAAACACACAAATGAACAGAGTAGAAAAGAAGCTGTATCCTCTGGGCAACATCAAATTAAGGCGATACTCAATTGATGAATGGTTTAAAACACACATGTATGACCATGAACGACACGGTAATGTGCACACTACACATCAACACTATAAGTGTACAAGCAGTAGAATATCAACTTATTAAACAATATGTAATTGATGATTTACACAATTTGTTCAGTTAGTATGTTTCTAAGAAAAAGGTAAAGACAAATACCATGGCTAACTTTTTATTATTATTATTATTATTATTATTATTGAAACACAAGTCTGATATATTACTGGCACAAAGAGATGCACTATACAGAATCTCATAGTTTGTCTGCGGGCTGGAGTACTGCCCTAACGCACAGACCGAAGCACATGGGTGTCCTAAGGAACCCCATCCCCACTAAGCCTTCGATTTGATGTCTGATACACAAGACAGCGGAGCTAAGATTTTATGGTTGCTGGTGACTACAACACGTTCATACACCATTCGATCCTTTCGGATCCTGGAGTTCATGGAAGCCATCAGCTTTGAATCAGAGTTTTCCAGCTCTATTAGATGGTAGGCTAAGATGTCCACCTGTCTGGTTGTTAGCGCCAGAAGCGTTAGAATTCACCTTTCATTTTTTATGAGGAACACTCCTACTGCGTGTAGTAGGCAGTGAACAGGACTTATCATCTTGGAGAGACTATAAATATGTGGTAACATGAGAGCCATTTCGAGAAAAAGATTGAAGTTTACCTATCCTCGGTAGGTAAGGTTTATACACCTATGCGACTAAAATCCATTTGGACTAAATCATAGATAAAATTAACAATGAAATAACAATAAAAGGAAATATATTGGACAGTGATGATCATCTAAAACTTTATCATCAATGAAAGTATGCACTCATCTTATGACCATCTCTGTGGTAAAGCATTAATTGATGTTGTACACTGAGGAATTTCGTTCACAATTGTTTTCATGTACTTATATATTTACATAACCGAGGAGCACTACTCACACACAAACACATATGCAGTTATATACTTAAGAAAGAAAAGTGCTTGAAGTAGGACAAACAATCCCTAATAGACTATTTCAACTCTGAGGGTCAGTTTTTGGAAAGATGATATTTCGTTTAACGTTCTAATAGTAAGGATGTCAAGACACAACCTAGGTATCACTCAGTTTCTACTTGCACAGTTTACTCACCATTGCATTCTACCTATTTTCCTTTGTTGCTCCTCCTTAACCTTTCCTGAGCTTCTCACAAAAGACCTTGTTACACTGCGAAGGGTACTAAAAGCTGTCACGTTAGGGCAAACTGTTGTAGATAGATAGGCACTTGAACTCATGAAAGAAATTAGCGAATAGAATACTGTTGAACTCTAAGCAACTTCTCTATACACAACTCTCTCAATATTATATTAAAACTTCTGTTTAGAATAAAGCCATTATTATCATTAAAGTCATTCTTATTTAGTGCGAGTTTACAGGGCAGTCCTATTAACTACATTTATCAAACTTAATATTTCAAAACAAAACAAAAGCATCGGACATATAGCTAAATAAAACGATAAGCTGATTAACAGTTGCATGTCATAGTTCAAACAGAAGACGACCGGACTACTTGATTGCAAGTAACTAAATAGAGCCCTGCATCAACCCAGACATTCATTTCATTCCATTCATTCATCTATTACGTTATTAAAAGTGCACCAAACCAAGATAACTTCATATAGTCTCACCATTGACAGTATTTTTTATGATGGATGATAACCGATGTAGCTGCCAATATAGCATCTGACGTCTTAGGCTCAATAATCATACATCGACAAAGTGGTGCTCGAGATAAATAAACGTGAGAAAATCAGACAGGCTTTGAACCAGGAAGAAGGTGTACTGATCATATCTTCATCCTTTGACAGATTCTAGAATACAGGCACATTTACCGGCGTCCAACAGTTGCGATATTTATTGACCTGAAAGGCGGAATTCCACTCCGTCAACCGAGAAGTACTGTGGCAATGTTTGGCCGTCAGGGGGAGGGTCCCAGAAAGTACATCCCACCAACGAAGCGCTCTACTTGACCTCTCGCAGCCAGGTAACATCTTATGGAGAGCTGTCACATGAAGTGGTGAAAACCAGTGGTGTCCGTCGGGGATAATCACTGTCCCCAATTTCGTTTAATCTTATTATAGATATACTTATGGAGTTGAAACTGACTTAAGTGAATTAGGAATTAACTTGTTACCAAGGAATAATCTTGTTAGCTTAGACTATGCAGATGACGCAGTCCTCCTACGTGAAGATGTTGAAAAAACACAGTCTTCTCAACACCTTGAGTAGCTCCTGTCGAATGTAAGATGATGCCACAGGACTGCAATACATCAACTACTATTTCAAAGATAGAAAGTGAAGTGCTTGAGTGTCCTCACAACTTCACATCGGCCTCAACGGGGTTGGTCGCTGACGAAATCTCAACACCGATACAAAAGGCTCGTGTGGGATTTGACAACCCACTTCATCTCTGGAGTAGACGTGATATCCGGTTGACTATAGACCAAAGGACGGGTGTACTGCCTACCAGTTCGCCCTGTTCTGCTTTATGGCTGTGAGACATGACCATTGAAAGTGGAAGACATGAAAAGGCTGGCTAGCTGTCTTTGACCATAGATGTCTGAGTTCTATCTCTCGTGTTAGGTAACATAACGGGGCAAAGTTAGGCGTTGAGTGTTAGGTAAGGAAGGAAAGGACGTGTGCTACATATTCCTGGCTATCGCCTTCTTCGGTGTGTAATGTTAGATGAAATAGGATGAGGTTGGAAAAGAGCTAGTGGTGGTCAAACCAAAACTTCGAACCAATCCATAAAATCTCTAACAGTTAGTTTGAGTGGTTGGGATCCTTGAGATTCTGAAAACTAATGGCTGGAGACAACTGGTGATATAGCTCAAAATGATTCTCAGTGGCGGCAAGGTATTCACCCTTTGTGATCTTCCAAATCTCATAAAACTCCGTTGTTTTTCTTTGTTACTATTCTTGCTCCCTCACATTTCTATTTATTATCGTCCCTCTGAATCTTTGCTCTCTTCTGTCTTCCTTTGTATGCCTTATGGAGGGTGGTAAGTTGACCTGGTGCACTTGTGTGCAAAGTTTTATGTTGAAACCAGTCAGTCAGGTGTAGCTGCTAGGATGAGCTTTATAATCGCTAAGAACAAACGTTAGTTGAAATTGTACATACACGGATAGGCATATATGCATACTGAGAAATTGAAACAAAAGTACAAACAACATTAGTACATACCTTTTAATACCACAAAATTTATCTAATGGTAATGTAGTCACATACTCCAATGTACAACTGTTGAGTGTTGATGAATTATGATCTAATAGTGATTTAGGTGAATTTAACTCATTTTCTTCATCATCTAATAAACTTTCATTGGAACTGGGAACTCTCCACATTCGAGCACCTGTACGCAACTCTGGTCGTTCACTAGAATCTAAATGAACAGAAATCCAGAAAAATTTCTCCAAGTCAGAGAGGAAATATTTTTTGAAGAATACATACAAGTAATGTGAAATTTAAAGTTGAAACTAGTCAGTTAGTTAGTCAAAGTAGAAGTAAAAGTGGATTGATTACCGGACATTTTGTTTGAAAGTTATACCAGTCTACTCCTTTGAGGAGTTTGTGAAGGAATAATGGTCAAGAGTAGAAGTAAAGATACAAAATTCATTAGGTATTTTATAACGAAACACCCCAATCAAGAATAGAGGTTCTAACATAGTTTATTTGTATTTACAACGAATTCCACTAATATACACTATACACGTCCTCAGTAGAACATAGGGCTTCAAGCTACAGCTTTGAATTCTCTGTAGCTAACCTCACTTCCAACCTTTCCTTTTCACCAGGCTTACTAGCGGGCTAAGCGAGGTAAAGGAGTACGTTGGCGGGGGATTGAAACTAAGAACGATTGTGTGGTTGGTCAGTGTTCTACCACTAAACCACCGATCCAAGTATATATAACTAAGAAATAGGCCAAAAACATTCGTTACTATTGACAATGAAGAAATGTTGCCAAGCAATGACCGCAGGAGTGTAAATGGGTTCATTGTTGAATCAGCTGGTTCATACATGTCACTTTGGATAATCTTTTGTTCTGATTTTTACTTAAGAAACATTTATCCTTGAAATGAAAGTAGAACTTAGACACTAAGGTGGAATTTAATTTCTTCTTGAAGTACCCTGGTAGGGGAAAATGGTTAATTTTGTGTAACTTCAGAGTCAAAGGGTCGACTGTTTGGAGCATGTTGGCAGTGGGGCTTCTAGGGTTGTAGATGTACGGAAGATGCCATTGCAAAGAAGTCGAGCATAAAAATGTTCGGGTCAGATCTTTTTTAACTAACGAGAAAATCAAAACTGACTTAGAAACAAATAAAAGTAACAACTGTGTGTTCTGTACTAGTCAACTGCAATGTTAAAACTTACAAATATGATAGGAAATACAGTAAAAGGAATGGAAATTTTTCGTTGTATTTACAATATTCCTCACTTTATAAAAGAAAATATTTGTCACCTTCTTCATTATAGTGTAATTTATAACAACAACAAAAATTGTTTAGCCCTAATCAAAACTGGTTTTCACATATTTATTTATCTACTGATAAACACCTGACCGATAACTGCTATCTTGACGTGGTGGTCGGGCTTGCATACCACAATGACCCAACGAGCTGCATTTGGATGGAACTAATTTTCCTGCTGGTCTTACCATGCCAGAAAGGTTTTCAGGATAGCCATTAGAATAGAGCCAGTTACTGCCAAATGGTAAGATGTTTACACTATGCCGGTGGGTCTGTGGGCAAATTCGTACTGCTGGGGAATAGGGATGTAACAGCAGTGAGGTGTTTCCCTCAGATGACCAGCATGCCAGCTATGCTGCCTCTCCAAACCATACATTCCGGTGTACCTTGCAGTAATCCGTAGCCAGATGTAAGTTAACAATATGAAAACAATTCTAATACCTAATTTAAACAGGTCATGTATGATCGGCCTCAAGAAGTTGTCCCCTGAGCTCTGCGGCCATGCACCACTAATTTTCTTTCTGTCTCAGGTACCCCAATAGAAAATCAACTTCCACAGTGTAGGCAACCACGAAATAACAACCGTCCACATTTCCGAAACCATACGAAGAGAGGACAGTTAACTGTACATATTGTAAAAGGATTTAGGACCAAGCCTTTATAAGTGTTGTGAGTTTGAACCACCTGTGGTGCAGTGAATGGAAATTAAGCTCAATAATTATTAGCCCTAACACACTGTCGCTTAACACTTAATTATCAGTTGTTTCTACTTGTATAAATTCAAGGTATAGTTACGAAGAGAGTGGTAAGCAGGCTATAAAAAAGTGAAACTGATTAGTTCATATGAAGTATGTTCCTCAGGAAAATTAAAGTGCTTAGGCATAACGATAGTGATGACTAGTCGTGGAATTTAGAACAACCATTTTGTCTTATTTTTTACTTGCCATTTAAATGTACCTACATCCCTGTAAGTGATGATAATTCCACAGAAACTCTAACGTTATATCTGTCATTTCAAACATCAAATTGTAATCCATTAGGCTACTGGGCTACGACAATCACATCTTTTGCAATTAAATATTATTACTACCTTGCATTCTGAGTGGAACATGAGACTTTAATAGAATATTTGCATTTTGACCCATTCTCTGAAGTTTTCCTTAACTGGCCCCAAGATTGACCATAAGCTTTCATCTCCTCTTCACACCGTCTTCTCCATGTCACCCTCAGATCCACGCCCAACTCGTCGTTTCCCACTTGGATTCCACTTGAGCGATGGCCTGAGGCACGATTCCAATCAACAGTCTCCTCAATGTGCGTCAAGTCCATCTCCATTTTCTCCTCCATGTTTGTTGAGCGATGGGTTTTTGATCGGCTTGTTCCCAAAGTTCCCTTTAGCTAATTCTTCCTGCCTATTTGATCTTCAATACGGAACCGGTGAAGGCAGCTGTTGACAAAAGTCTGCAATGACCTTTTCGGAATTCTTTTCGTGAACACGGCAGGTTTCTGACTCTTAGAGAAGAACTGCCTTAACATTGGTGTTGAATATCCGAATGTTGGTTTCGATGCTGAGTGCAGCAGATTTCCAAATTGATTTCAGAGTGATGAAGGTCTATCTTGCCTTTCCAATCCTGGTTTAGACAATCACATCACTGCTGCGATTAATAATATCCGTTATTTAATAAATTTTTAATAAACAGACATTTATTCAGATAACTTTTATTTGTTCACATTGGGAACTTGCACTAAGTAAGAAAAAATATTTAGGATTGTAAATACTTGTGTAACTTACACGACGCAAACAGTGATATAAACCAGTCAGGTTTAGACGCCAGTGTAACCAGTGAGATAATTTCCCCATCTGGATGTGAGAATATTTGTTTTTTCAAGTCAATATCTAACGACTCCACAAGTGTTACTAAAGTTATCTGAGGAAAAAAGAATGTATGCAAAATAGAGAACGTAATGTCATAAGAGAAAAAAGGAAGGTAACATTTGAGGACTAATCACTCAATGTATGTAAAAATTTACTGTTAAATTACTATCTCTGATATGCTTATGGGATTCATCCTTCTGCAGAGAAGTGTTTATACGACCAGCTGATCACGATAAGACTCTGACAATCAATGCTAATATAGTTGTATGCAGATATATAAGCTTCATTTGTGTTATTCAACAACCACAAATAATTAGGCAAGAGTAACACAGGTCCTAACCGTCTCAATCGACGTAACTTCACAACCTCGTCGACTGACTCCCCCCCTACCTAGCGCTTGACGGCTAACCTCAATATAACTCACCCAATTATACCACCTAACACGGGAGATAGAACTCAGACATCTATGGTCAAAGACAGTTAGCCAGACTTTTCATGTCTTCCACTTTCAATGGTCATGTCTCACAGTCATAAAGCAGAACAGGGCGAACTGGTAGGCAGTACACCCGTCCTTTGGTCTATAGTCAACCGGATATCACGTCTACTCCAGAGATGAAGTGGGTTGTCAAATCCCACACGAGCCTTTTGTATCGGTGTTGAGATTTCGTCAGCGACCAACCCCGTTGAGGCCGATTTGAAGTTGTGAGGACACTCAAGCACTTCACTTTCTATCTTTGAAATAGTAGTTGATGTATTGCATTCATGTAGCATCATCTTACATTTGACACGAGAGAATCGCATGCCAAATATTCGAAGATTACCGGAGAGGTGTTACTGGTAGTTCAACCAAAACATGGAGTCAGTTCACGAAATCTCTGATGGTTAGTTTCAGCCAGCCGCGTACGGATGCATAGACTGAATGGTTGGGGTCATCGGTTTGGTAAGAACCAAAGGCTGCAAACAGCTGGTGACATGGCTAGAAATCATTCTCAGTGGTGTAGATGCATTCACTCTTCATTATCTCCCATATCTATTACACGCTATTGTTTTACTATGTTACAAATCATTTTCATTTCTACTCATTATCTGTCTTTCTTATACCTGTTTTTCTCTTTAGTCCTTCTTTTTGTGGTAGGTGGAGTGTGGTGGGTGGGACCGGTGAGCTTGTGTGCAAGGTCCTATGTCAAAACTTGGTCATTCAGCATAAGTTGGGCGACTCAATCTACAGTTTAAATACGACAGTGTTTACTGATAAGTAAGGCATGGTATCCTTCGATGAAAAATTACTCAAATGACGGAGTAGTTTAGTATTAGTTGATGACTCTCCATTCAAACAAAACAGAAAGATTCTTCATTGAACTTAGGCGATAGACCAAGTCGATTTCAGTAAAACAAAGGTTATGAGTGAGTGATTTTCATTACAAAACCTTTTAAAACAACCTTCCTAACTAAGATCCGTAAGCTGAGTGATAGACTGATTGCATTTGTGATGACAGTTTGGTATACTGAGTTATAGAGTGTTTATCTTTGTTTTGATTTGGTTCATTCTAAAAGTGTATTCCTTTTTTTCACTACTTTTTTGTTGTTATAAAGGTGAGAATACAATTAACTTAGGTTATACGTTCAGTAAATTAAAACTTATTTCTACATTTTCAAAACCTACTCCAGGTAACAAATGGAATTAAGTAAAATCTGAACCTGTGACCTAATGAATAGTAGTCTAGGAACCAAACGAGTGAGTTATTGCCGCATATGGTGGCTGTGAATTAACGACAAGTCACAATGTAATCAGCAAATAGACAGTAAAAGTAAAAGCACTGTGCAGATATAGTTTTCAGCAATAAAATTCTTCACTAGAGAAAAACTTGCCTGACTACCTTGTGGTTTCAAAGACTGTGAACCAACCAGAAATCGAACTTCATCGGATTCCTCATGATTTATTGCATATCTTAAAATCTCTTGTTCATCTTGATCTTCTTCCAGTAAGCGATTGAGGTCTTCCATACTAGAATCCTTGAGAGATCCATACAAACCAGCTAAGCACCGAACATTTGGCTGAATAAGCGCCAAAAAATACATGAAACAAAAGAAATACATCAGCAGAAATAACACACATTTAGCACCAACGTATTGTACAAATAAGGAAATTAGATGGGATTTCTGATGACATCCATCCGAGGCGGTACTTAAACTTCCATGCACATCAACACATGTTACCCATGAGAACCTAGTGAAAAAAATTTAAGTAACAAGGCAGAAAACTAAGCAGTGGAACAGGGGACCTATACGATAAGATTGTACATGTGAAAGTGAGGAAGTTTGAATTAAGCTTAAAGAGCAAACAGTCTTGACAGTTCATCGACTGTTTTCTTTTCAATTCTGACCTCTGTCAATGATCGTATATGTGTATGTCATACAATATATCCCATTATTGTAAGACTGAGTTAATGCACCTCTCCTAAATTTGAGTGGAAACTTTGTACTACTTCATACATTTATACCTTGAATATCCTAGGAAGTCTGAGATTTTGGTGTTTCTGTGGGAAGCTTATTAGTATTGGTGAAAAAGGCAGTGAAGGGATGGTTAGAGATAGGGGGCTAGTGAAGAGACCTTAATACTTGACCAACAACAACACAAAACATAAGCCATTAACAAACTAGTTCCATGCGTTACACTTGCATTTTAAGTTAACACAACCATTATTAACACTAACAAAAGAGAGTAAACTTTCGACGACATCGCCTTTACAAGCAAATATATAGTAGCGGCTTACATTTTGATAAAAGACAATATTCCAAATATCAAGCCACAGTATTCGATCTTTAAAAATCTGCACATAAGATACAAGTCTCTTATTGACTGCTTGCCTACAAAAAGTTGTTACGAATTTTGTAAGGGTTACCAAGACCACATAATCTCAAATAATAAGTTCAAGTAAACCGAAAATATGTGACATTTATTTATTCAATGAGGTAATACAGAAGTGCTGAATAACCTAGCACTTGTCGAACTAATTTTCCCCTTTAAAATGGCTAGGAGTAGGAAGTAGCAGTTTTTTGCAGGAAATAATTGTGCTCCCCAGTCTAGATACTGAAATATATTACTATATGTACATTACTAAGTGCTTTGCAACTAATCAAAATAATTTGATGTAGTGCTTTGTAATAAAGCTTACATTTAGTTATAAAAAGATTTCTCAGATGCATTTAAACATCACAATAACATAGAAAGTGTCTGAAACCTTACCTGAACAGCAATGCCTGATGACGGTGGAAAGCTACTTAGCTTCATTTATGGTCAAGGTGGAAACGGTTTCTGGAGGAAAAATTTTCACAAAATTAAATCTGCAAAATAATAGCGAAACCTTGCAAATTAAAACAGTTACACCAATGAATTAGTTAACTGATTTATGAAACAAAACCACAGAAATTTACTAGAAAAGGATTAACACAGGCTCCAAGCCTTCTATCCTCAACCAATAAGTCTGAAATCTGAAAACTTCTCGAAAACCTATTCTTAAAGCTATTTGAAATTTTTTCCGGAGAAATTAATAACACTAATACTACTACGGGGAGCTTCCTATTATTACTACTCACTGAACACAGTGTACTTATCCGCAATGCATCAATCCATAGATGAAGGCACTTCTCAAAAACTGTTGGTTAGTCTGTTCGCCAGAAAATCTCGCTTGCATTGTTACCATTCGAGTAGTGAAAGATAATTTTGATGAAAATGTTTTTAAAGTACACACAGGAATACTCAAGAACTTAAATAAGTCATATGAAATCTTCAGTTTCATATACTGTAGGAGTTATCGGACACATATAAACTGTATGATAACAAATTATTTTATTTATTTATTTAAACGCATAAAAAACTTGGTACAATATGGCACCAAGAAAGATGCGCCACACAATAATAATAAAACAACATAGATCAAAAAAAGGAAGGAAGGAGAAGAAAAAATATATATAAGTAGAGAACGGATAAAGAACTTCATCTGGAAGGAAAACAGTCATGCTTAACAAGTTCAAACAGTGTTCGTTAGCTATCATCGGGAAGGGAAGAAAGAAGGAAATCGCAACACATTCGCCACTGATTACGATTCTTGGCCATATCCGATAACGTTTCGAGCCATCGATTTGAGCTATCTCTCGGACCCCAACCAGGGAGTCGTGACACACCAACCGATGCTAATCTAGCACAAAAATCCTTCATCCCACGACGCCACGTCATGGACTGACCACCTCTCCGCCTTTTCCATCCCGTCCCAGGGCTAGCGAACAGAGACCTGTACGGAAGCCTCTGGGGTGACATTCGGAGCACATGTCCAAGCCACCGGAGCCGGTGTTTCCAGATGACGACATTCAATGAATGGTGATCTCCACTGTGTTCAAACACACGCCGCCGAACCTCAGAATTACTCACGCGATGATGCCATCGAACGCAAGCAATCCTGCGGAGACAGCGGTGATCGAACACGCAGAGTCGCCGCACATCCTCAGCTCGGAGAGGCCAGGTTTCACAGGCGTAGAGCAAGGCAGCCCGCACCGAAGCATTGTATACCCGACCTTTGACAGCCAGGCTAACGTCGCGACGGCGCCATAGGTGGCTCAAGTTGATGTATGCCACCCTAGCCTTCATTATACGGTTGGAAATCTCATCCGTCACCCCTCCGCCAGCACTCACACAACTACCCAGGTACACAAACTTATCAACAACTTCAAGCGGTTCACCCGCAAGAGTGAGTGCAGGTACAGGCTCCTGCCAATCTTGTAACAGTACTTTGCACTTAGACGGCGCAAAGCACATACCATACTTACAGACACTGATCGCCAACTGATTAAGTGCGATTTGGGCAGCCTGCATGCTATCGCACAGTAAGACGATATCGTCTGCATACTCGAGGTCGAAAAGTCTATCTCCAGGTAGCAGATC